ACACAGCGCCGGCTTCAGAGGCCAGACACATGGTAAGATGAATAATCGGAACTACAGGCATTACCTGTAGAGGAATTATGCGCTATGGTTTATCTGTAAGACGCTATGCACGTACGTCTAATATAGAAGAGCCCTCCTGTTCCTCCTTGAAGGTATTCTACCTTATAATAGCTCCATTTACTCCGTACGTAACCGAAGGATTTGCATGTTTGCAGTCAGAGAAACCAACGTCTGGATGGATCTACCTGTAAGTATATGTCCACGTCCTTCAGGGCAAAATATTCCTAATCCACAAGCGCCGATCCATCAGGTTCTGATCATTAGATGTTATTCGACGCTGGCAAAGATCATATCGAGCTTCGAACATAAGAGCTCAGATGTCGACCTTAAAACTCAAGACTACGTCAGTGAACAGGGGTACACGCGTTCTCATTAAGATAGAACTTGAATTTCCTATCCTATCATGCCTTAAATCAAGCGACTGAAAGTCAATTCAATCATGCTGTGCCAGTCCATAGACACACGCAGAGAGACAGGTAGCAAATCAACAAGGAAAGTAAAACACATCACACCCGCGAGCCTCAAGACAAACCCCGAATTAGCATAGCTCACGACGTCAACGATAGTGTACTTGGTGGCATCGTGTCAGGACATCTTTGTCTGTCGTCTTGAAGATGAGAGCCGGTGGGGCTTAATGTGCAGTTTAGTGCTGAGGATGGTTAGCTTCCATATAGACTAGGATCGGCTCTGGTATCTGGGAGATACATACACCGCAAGAGGAGCAGGAGCAGCCGTTGCAGTCGCTGGCGCAGGCGCAGGTGTTGCAGGAGCAGGGAGTCATTTTGATTGAGTTGGTGGTGAACGAAGCGTTGCTTGAAGATAGGCTTTGAGATTGTATTGTTCAGTAGGTATGAGGCTTGGTATGAGAGGGAGAAGAAAACGGACAGAAAGAGGGAGACCAGGGCTGTCTTTATACCCAGCGATGGACTCTCTGGTGGAGGTGGTCAGCTATCAGTCAGTATGAGGATATGAGGTCAGGCCAGCCAGTCAGGGCTTTGCTTTTCTTTTTGTTTCGGGATGCAGAGGTCAGTGTTGGAACTTGTTTCTGTGTATCCCCACGCCAATTTTTGATCTTTGTCAGATGATCCAATCTGATTTCAGTTTTCTGAGAGTGCCTTTCTGGTGGTCAATGTGGTGCTAAAATGTCACTACTGTATGTATACCAGTGGGGGTATCAGGAGAGGAGGAAGAAGAACAGCGATGGACCGATGAGAGGCAGCCTTTCAAGATTCACTTTCAGCACTGGGCTCTGCGCTGTAGGTACATGGCCAGGATTCGACTAGGCAGCTATCTAGGGTACACGAGCATAGCCAGAGCTAGCTAAGTTCATACCGTTGCTCCAGTCATCCGTCGTATTAGCTGATGTTGATCACAGCAGAACCGTGAACAGGCCACTAGGCGAGTGACAAAGTGAGGCAGCAAGTAAGAAGGAGAGTTTGCAAGCCGATTATCGCTAAAATGTTTTCCTTGCTGGTAAGTATATTGTCTTATTCTTATTATTCTGACTTTTTAGTAATGCAATGTTACAATCTCCCATGCACTTACGCGGACACTAAATCCTAGCAGTTCCTACATACTTGTTTCAAAGATGTACGTACTAAGGTAGTGTAGTGAACGACAGTTCAATGTGCACGTGCGTCTTGATGTTAGAGATAGAGAGAATCCATGGGGACAATTAGGAGGATTCATTATTCTTTCCATCTCTGAAGCAGCTCTCTGCAAGGAATCTTCGATGGTGTTCATCTAACAGGCAGACGTTGGAGCAGACGACCAGGCCACGCAGGCTGAGGCAAGAAGCCCAGGGCTGCAGGCATCCCACCCTTGCTTGATGCAGATTCCGTGAAGCACTCCACAATAGGTTCTCCTACTGTAGCATTGAGCTTGTGAAGCACCACGAGTGGGCAGTTATGCAGGCAATTTCCTGCACTGGCCGCCTTTAGCCCAGTTAACGCTTCACTGCCCCTCCATCGGCCCCTCCTCATACACCAGGATGTACCACGAAGTCATTGGTTCAAAAAAGTGTAAGGTATGCTTTTTCCTCGAGCTCAGGCGCAAAGAAAGTGGAGGTTCCAGCTGAGGTTGATGGGAGCTATGTCATCCACTTCTTATGACGAAGTCAAAAGAAATATGGAGACAGGGAAAACTTCCGATATACGGGAGGGACAGCATATACCTACCTTATATGGTGCGCCAACTGCGGGATCCGCGACAAACTCGTACATGATCAGCTCGGGTCCAAGTCAGAAATCAGGCGCACTGAGCCCTTAGAAGGTTCCGTATGAAGTGGCAAGATTGGCAACTCTCCACATTTGCACCGCGTCAGAAGAGCGATCGGGCGACTTGGTCACACGTGGTTGGTCTGATGATGGTCCGAGGGCTTCAAGCGGCCTTCGACGGGTACTATCGTTCTGCGCATCATCTGGAATTTGCTAACTGCTGTGGTATGTCGGAAGAACGTTCAAGGATAGCCACAATAGAGCGTGCGTGTTCTCTCATGGTCATCCATGGCAATGAACCCAGGGCATACTGCAATTTGTTGTTTACAGATTTTGAATCTAAGCACTACTACCATTTTCAACTAATGTTTCGCAAGAGCAATTCCATAGTCCAGATAATGAGAGTAGAAAGATTTTCCTTTCTTTATTGCTTCGAACTTAGCCGAAGACTTGTTCTATCTCGACAAACGCGGTAAACAAAGTCCGTCCCCTAAGCTTCGCAGCATCCTCCCGAGAGGTAGCAAGTAAAAATTGTCATCCCCTCTACCTCTTCTGCAACCAGTAACCTTGTCAGTAGGAATCCAGAATAGAAAAGCTATCAGTTGAGATGCGAACGTACAGGGCAGTTGCATTGTCCAGCAGGGCACTGGCAAGAGGCTCCGCAGGTGCAGCCGTGGTCGCCTATCAGGAAGAGCTTCATGTCAGTTGGAAGGTCGAAAACTTCAAAAAGGACTCGTGCAAGAAGAAATGGAGATGAGCTTTAACAGGCAAAATATATGAACGCAAACAAATATCGCAAGGCTGATTGCAAAGGGGAATTACCCCGCTTCCCCTCAACTGACGACATAACAGCAATGATTGATCGGTATATGAAGCTGGCACTTACTCATGATGGTAGTAGTGAATATAGTGAAGGGAATAGCTCTTTCTGATCAAGTTGGTCTCGCGAGAAGCTTTTGTGTGAAGTTTTGGAGGAGTCAAAATCTGAAACCCAAGCTCACGACGGGCGGGGTCGCTTTTATATAGGCCAAGGTTGCCATTCTTGGCCTACCCCCGAATAGTACATCTTACCTCTGGCATCAGCGAATATTTTATCGCCACACCAACATCGATGTGAGCAGATTTCTGCACGTCGATGATCTCGGAGCTGCCAATAAGTTGTCTTGAAAGCATATTCCACAGTCTGGGAGTGTTTTTCCTGGCTATAACGAGACATATCTTTACATGAGAGGCTAGGTAACTGCCCAGGAGCTTCAGTCTTCTAGAACCAGTACATTGACACAAAAGTCAGATATTACGCGCAGCAAATTGCCGATTTCTTAAGTATAGTGACTAGAGGGAGCTTTGACGGGAGTTTTCACCACCTTGCTGTTCGAAACCATTAGTAACATTAGTCACCTCCATGGCTACGGACGCAATGACTCGCCCCATCTCGTGCCTGTGCGGTGATGCAGCACAAGACGTTTTGCTTGACTCGGCTTATGACCTTTCGACACTTAATCTATGCCACTGCGTCGACTGTCGGGCCATTACGGGCATGCTGTATTCCTCTTACTATTTCCTGCAGACTCCCGGCCCGAACTTGGATCGTCTTCAAAAATACCAGCAGTCGGACTGTATCAGCCGCTATTTCTGTAGAACTTGTGGAGCCCATGTGTTCGCCCGGCTGGAAGCCACTGGCAAAACTTTGGTCGCAGACGGAGTACTATTGGAGAAACCCCGCCGGTTAGGTTTACACGGCATTGGAAAGCTGAAGATACCCGTGATGGCGGCTTGAGCTCTTTTCTGCCCGGAGACGCCAAACAAACAACATCAGCCTGCTGGTTAGACGCCGAGCAGAATATCTGTAACGGACACGCCGAGGACAACAACAAGCTGGAGGAACAAGGTCATGGCTTTCACCGGCTGCAGGCTCGATGTCACTGTGGGGGCATTGAATTCTACATTACACCGCCAGACTCGAACTCCGCCAAGCCATGGTCCCCCTGGCCAGATTTGATTGTTCCCTACCATCTGGCATCTCCTGAGAATGTCGAAGACGTCAAGTGGTGGCTGCGAGATGGAAACACCAAATATCTGGTAGGAACATGCGCCTGTCGATCATGTCGTCTGGCCAGTGGGTTTTCCATCCAGTCCTGGGCTTTCATTCCCAGATCAAACATCATTTCCGGCGACGAGAAGTCCCTAGTCTATGGCTCAGGGACAATGCAGCAATATGAAAGTCGCCCCGGAATCTACCGGGAATTCTGCAATCGCTGTGGCGCAACTGTGTTCTGGCACTGTCAAGAAAGGCCGGGCGTCGTAGATGTGAGCGCAGGTCTTCTCCGGGCCAGAAGCGGTGTCAAAGCTGAGGAATGGTTAGAATGGGCAACTGAGCGAGTGAGTTTCAAAGAAATGGCCTTGGATCAGGAGTTTATTGAACGGTTGGAAGTTGGCTTGAAAAATTGGGGAGAAAGCAAGAAAGACCCTAATACTTGAGGTCAGGTTGACCAAGATTTTGACGGTATCCTAGTTCCATTGAAGTAGATAGATAGGCTCTTCTTGTATATAGCTGACTGTTTGACCGAGTATGGATGTTGTTGATAAAGGTTCCTGTAGTTGTACCACTCAACACATCGAAGACAACTGACAAACACTCACCGCCTTCCCGATACGCTATCGGTCCCCTGCGACTTTTTTCCTCCCGCGTCGTTCGTCGTTTTTTCTTTGTTGGTGCAACTTCCCGTCTCCGGTCCCTGTTTCATAATCTCATTTTCTCTGCTCATACTCGAACTTTGCTAGCTGCGGTACAATCATGCCGCCAGCTTTCGAGTTTCGAGGCAACGACCGACGGTCGCACAATAACAATAATCCAAGACATGAGTTCACTTTCCGATATGCGCGACCTGGGACGGCCGAACGACCGCTCTTGACTACCAAAAGAGAAACCACTCCAGAGCCCATCTTGGGGGCTAAATCAGGAGACGAAAAACGGGCCATGAAATTTGCACCTATTTCAAGCCTCAGTGACAGCGAGGAAGCCGAGATGGACATGTCCGATGATGATAAGGACGACGAGGCTTCGCATCCGCGTAAGAGGCGTGCGCTAGGAACAAATACTGCGATTGCTCCTACTCCGGCACCAGTCACAGCTCCAAAATGGTCCAACCCAGATCCTTACACTGTCCTACCCCCGCCTGATGAGACGTTGGCGAAGAGGGTTGATGTCGTCAAGCTGATTCGTAAGGCGCGGATCGCTGAGAACGCTAAGCAGACAGCACCTGCGGATGCAGTGACAACCAACGAGGACTTTATATCCTTCAGTGGCCTGATCGACGAAGAAGAAGCCAGGATGAAGGTCCCGGACAATGCTCCTTCGGGACCGAAACGTCTGCAAGGAAGAGACTCTGCTCTCGGGAGCCGGAAGAGGACATACGATGACGAGATAAAGGGCTATTCCAAGAAGACCGGACGGCCCATGGTCAGGTTCTACGATGATGGCTCGATTCTTGACGAGTGGGGAGCGCGCCCACATGAGGATGCAACTCCTTGGATGTCGCTCATGGAGCCTTCCTTGCACCTCGGTTCTCGGCTACACAACGAAATTCTGAGTTTCTACCACTGGGTTAAACCGATGCAGTATGAGCAGATTGTCCGAGCAGATTTGATTACAAGGCTGCAGGTAGCATTCCAAAGTAGGTACTATGGTGTGCAACTTCGTCCGTTCGGCTCGTTCGCTTCTGGCTTGTATTTGCCCACTGCAGATATAGATCTTGTTCTACTGTCGTCAAATTTCATGCGCAACGGCATAAAGACTTTTGGTGAGCGTAAAGGGCAGATCTACGCTTTCGCGGCCTTTCTCAAGAATCTTGAAATCGCCGTTCCTAATTCAATAGAGACCATCGCGCATGCGCGAGTTCCTATTCTGAAGTTTGTGGACAAGATGACCGGCTTGCGGGTTGACCTGTCGTTTGACAATGATAGCGGGCTCATCGCCAACAACACGTTTCAGAACTGGAAATCAGAGTATCCGGCGATGCCAATGATTGTAGCGGTGATCAAGCAATTTCTGCTACTTCGTGGCCTTAACGAGGTCCCAACTGGTGGTCTGGGAGGGTTCTCCATAACCTGCCTCGTTACCAGTCTTCTTCAGCATCTACCACATGGTCACACAGCGCCTAATCTGGGCAGCATTCTCATGGATTTTTTCGAATTCTACGGCAACACTTTCGACTTCGAGAATGTCGGAATTCGCCTGAATCCGCCGGGTTATTTCAACAAGGTAAGTATCCCAATGCAAACTCTGGCGGACCTTCCCATCCACTGATGACGCGCGTCCTTTAGAGAGTGTACAAGGGGTTCCAAGGGAATAACGATGCTCGTTTATCAATCGAGGATCCCAACAATCCGGATAACGATGTGTCGGGTGGGACTAGGGAAATTCATCTGATCTTCAGGTTGTTCTCGAGGGCATTCCAACTTCTTAAGGAACGTATGGTCTCCTCGGTGGTGTCTGGCGATACGGAAGCCAGCATTCTGCAAAGTATCATCGCTGCAAATTATGAGGAGTACGCACAGCAGCGTTCGCAGCTACGTGCGGTGTTTGAGACCCATCCCAGATTTGCACAGTATCGTCGAGCTCCCACACCTCCGCCACCTCCCCCAGAGAGTCCTCCTCCACCTCCTGCCGACCTTGCTCCTCTGCCATCTAATCTGCCTGCTAAACCCCCTTCAGTGAAATCCTCCAAAGCTCCTCCAGCACCGGCATCCAAGGATTCCAAGGACTCGAAGGAGAAGATGCCCAAGATGCAAAGAAAACAACAAGCATCTCGGGAACGGGCCGCTCGTCTTAGACGTCTGCGCCCCGATATACCTGCTATTCCAAACTCCATCAGTAATGAGGAAGCCTTGAGTCTAGGTGGTTATAAAACCCAGTCTGAGATGGACAGAGATCTCGCGAGTCGAGAAAAAGAGACGAAATGAGCCAGTAAGGCAGGTGAATTCGTGGCCCGAGGTTTGATGTCGGATTTCAACGACATTGACGCTTCTTGCGGTGCCCACGAGCGGTGATATGCCTCTGCTGAGGTCTATGCGGGTGATTCGACTCTCTATTCTTTGTTCTCTGCAGTTTCATTCTCTCGTTTCATCGCGATTTGCATCAGATACCCGTGTTTGAGTATATGTGGAGTTCTCTTTGGATTTGTGAATAGGGTTGGATGTTGTGCTGGTTGTCGGTACTGGTTCTCGGGGGTTTTCAGGGCGTTCTAAGTTTACGAAAGAGTCTGTGATTCGTACTTCTGTTCATACTGCTCTTACATCCTGTCCCTAAAGTGTGCAGCCCTCGAAACGACCGAGCCCTTGGGGTCGATATGGGCTACCTGTTATTTCAGATATCACCCGTTCTAACAGCATACATCTTAGGCTGTGTGCCGTCGCTGACAGATACAGTGATTTCCTTGGTCGAGTGTCTCAATCAACACAGATTTCGTCTACTGCCAGCCATCTCACAAGACCGGTTGGACCGTCCTGTCACAGGTTTCACATCCCGAGACGGGGCGAAGCTTATTGATCCATTATGAACCTGAAATGGCTAGTTGAGAAACAATATTGACTTTAAGAATTTCGAAATGCTACAGGTTACAGAGATGCACTCGCCTCCGTTCCGTTTTGCAAAATTCCCTTCCACCTCTTTCTCATCAAGGAAGCGCTATATGCGATTGCTTGGAGAGGATGATTCGGGGGAATACTGATTCAGACTGACACACATGCCAAGAATTTATTTGTCCTTTGGGAAGACGTCTATAAGACAAAGGGATGAATAAAACGGTGCTTCCGAATCAAAAAGCAGAGGAAGTCGATAATACCTCGTGAAAGGTCCGAGAAGAGACCCTTTGTATACCTTTCCCCTATGAATTCTATCAAGGTGTGCACTCATCATGGGTCATAATGTCAAAAAGAAAAATATCATAAAGCAACATTGGATGGCATTGTGCCAAAGGGTATCTGCTTGTCCACCGCGTCCAAAGGGGGTGTTACCATAGGCTCGTCCTGCTTTCCGGTAACCAAACCAACATTCTGAGTTTTCGAGCCGGCCGTTTCGATATCAAGTTTTTCTAGGAGAGCGAGATGCTCGGCGGGCTGCGAGTTAACAAAATCTGGGCCAGGGCTGGGCCATGTATAGTCCACCCATTGCGGGCCAAGAATGGACCGGATGCCTTGAGCGAGGGACAAGATGCGACTGCGACGCGATTTGGACCAAGCACGGTCGGTGATGACTCCTTCAGATGGCGTGAGGATGGCTGGCGCTTGGGATGCGGTAGGTATAGCAGCGGCCTGAGCATGTTCGCTGGCATCTTCCTCGTTGTCCTGGTTCTCCAGTCCATCGACAACGCTGCGCCAAACGCGCAATGTCTCGTTCAGTTCCTCTATATTGCTTACACCCATCACGCTGACACCTAGCCGCTCGCCCGTTCCCATGTGGGCGACGGAGAGGAATCCAGGATCAGCGCCGGGGGACCGCGCAAGAGGCGGGCCTAGAGCCCCAGCCTTAGCACCGTCGTGGAGCCACGACTCGAGAGCGAAGCGGATGGCAATCACCTCGAGTTTCTCTCCTTGAGCATCGACCCACTCGCTCACACTGCGAATGGCTTTCCGAAGACCGTCTGGAGCGGGGTGAAAATCGCCCATGCTTCCAATGGGCACACCCTTGCGCCGTAGAAGGCCCATACCTAACGGCGACGCATTGGGAATCACGTCCACGCCGGCGGCCACTAACCGAGGGAGACCCTGGGTGAGCAGTCGGGTATTCTGGAGTGTGAAATTGGCGTATGACTGCACCGCGTCGAGTGGCTCGCCTGTCTCGCGCAAGACCAATTCTGCAAGGTCGCACAGTACATCCACAGGGTATCCCGATATGCCAACGTAGCGAATAGTGCCTTCGGTATCGCGTATGCGGCGCAACTCTCGAATCGCCTCGAGGACCTGCTCGGGGCTCACGAATTCAACATCATGGCAGTAGACCACATCCAAGTAATCGGTATGGAGGCGGCGCAGACTTCGCTTCACGCTGTACCTCACCCATTTCGGAGAATAGTCAAAGGAAGAGGCTGCCACTCGGCCCACTTTGGTGAGCAATCGGTATGTATGACGGGGGAAATTCGAGCGAATGTAATCAGTAGCCAGAGCACGACCAAGAAGCTCCTCGGCTGGGCCGTAATATGGGGACGTATCGAAAGCGCGGACACCGTTCGAGAGAGCACGATGAACTAGTTCCGTCGTGGGGAGGGCGTATGGATCCTGGTTGTACTGAGAATTGAAGGTCGCGGTGCCCATAATGAGTGGCGGAAGATCCGCCGACAGAGGGACAGAGGGACGCCCCATGACTGCGATTGCCACTTGTAAGCAATTCACAGAGTTCTTTGAGGTAAGAGCAATGCGCTGCAATTTTCACTGACGAGACTATCAACAAGCCAGTGATCAATCGTGGAGATAGAAAGAAAGAAATACTTGTTAGGAGGGACGCGAAGGCGAGCCATTATTATTCTGGAATTGATTTCCAACCCGTGGGGCGGATGTCCACCTTAGAGGGAATGGCGCCATGGGCTGGGTCCGATTAGTGCTTGATTTAGATCAGCCCGGATGGACTTCATGGCCAATCGACTATACATAATCGATCGGATCTAGAATTATCAGAGGTTGGGAGATCTTGGAAGATGGAAGATGGAAGACTTCTGCTGGCAGTATTGCTTGATGGTACCTGAGATGGGATCGATTGATCGATCCCAAGGCGGTGGTGAGAGAACGCCGAGAAAAGCTAAAAACGAACTCCCAGCAACACTCTTTACACGTCTATACGCATCTCCTACTATTAAAGATGACAAGAGATATTCCCTGAACTATAACTATTCTGTCATTGTCCGGGTAGCCAGTATATGACGGGTTCTGAAATTATATAAAGCTGGAGGCTGGATGGACTTTATTGCACAAGAAAAGAGAATAGACAAAAGCCGACCGTCACCACATGGTGTACTATGGTACATTTGTTGATTCATTCCGTATATTAGGCAAGGTAGAGTGGAGAAAAGTTTGCGATAGACAGGGGAAAAGGACAGTATTCTGCTCAGAGAAGAGACGAACTCTCCGTGACTCAGAACTAACTGTTTCCCATGTATCCCGCTCCTCGAGAATAATATACACAAACAGGGACAGACCCGCGCAGGAGCCGAATAAAACACATGGGCGAGAAAAACAATAGGTTGAGAGCGAGGTGGTGTACAACATGATGCGACGGCATCTTTCGCTCCAACCATGCCATGCAATGAACATCGAAGTAGTCAATGCAAAGGGCAGGGGTCTATATTGTCTCCAATACCAACATTGGAAGCCACCAAACAAAACGCCTTGCTATGCCGAAGAGCTGAAAGGAGAACGATGAAAAAAAGCAGAAAGCGACGTCGGATCGTAGTGTGTCCCAACTCAACGATCGAGCTCTCCATTCCGCGAATCGACAGCGGGTCGGTTCGGATTCGAGAGCGCATAGCGTCGTGGGTAGAAGTCGAAAACACTCAAACTCGACATTTTTCAAATTCCGGCGAAACAGAAAAAAAAATCACCGGTCCTTGTACACCTTGGGATTCCAGCCTTCCCGGAGTTCTTTCTCCTGTGCGGCTTTGCGCTCCGCTTGTCGGATCTCCATCTCGATTCTCTCGCGAGCGCGCAAGATTTTGCTTTGCAGATAGAAGCTGCCGCCCTTTTTGGGATCATTCAGATCAAACAGCTTCTTGAACCGCTCCATCACCTGTTCCACATTCGTTTCTCCACCGGCCGGTGGCTTGACGTTGAGAATCTTGCAAGCCTCATCGAGTGTCAAGCCGGAAGATGCAAACGTGCTTGAGCTTCCTCCCTTTCCCTTATTTGCCTGGGCGTATTTGGACGATGCGGACGCCTGCTTGTAAGCTTCTGCGAAGGCTCGACCGAATACTCGAGCGCCCGTGACGACGACCTGGGTAAGGATACGGTGGGCCTATGAAGTAGCAGAGGAGTCAGCTAGTTGCGCCTGCTGGTGATGAAGAGACTGAAGCCTGACTCTATGGGAACGGGGATAAGGTTGTTGAGAAAAGAACTCACCATGTCGGAGGAAGTAGGGAAGCAAAGGAAGATCAGAGTCGGAAAAGATCAACGGTACTGAAGCACCTAGATCGAAGAAAGAATTCTCAATAAGGAAAGAAGTAGAATGAAGCTAACCGGTCAAACGTGAATAGCTATCCGGTCGTGAAGAGACTGAGGGATGAGGGTTGAATGGATGATGGATGGCGCTGGACAACCGGGGAATCGCAGATGGAACCTGAAGCCAGACGCTCAACGGCAAAAATTTCGGCGGCGGAATCGGTTCCAGTCGCGATTCATTATTGTCGGCTTCCGCCTGTGACAGGACAGCTGAAGGACACCATTATCGTATGGTCAGTCCAGTAGATAACTGCATACAGTCAATCTTGATATTATTTGTACTTTCAAACTATTTTCGATCTTAAAAATACTAACTAATCCTTATTATTTCTTGTAATCTACTCTAAGATATCGCCCTGGTATCCTCTTTGGGACAAGCAGTCACATGTCCCGAGAACCACGAGCAAAAGGCTTCAACTGCCCGCGGATCTCCAAACTGTTTCCCCCGCAGTCGATGATCTGCCTGCAACCCTTTCGGTTCTAGGAGAGCTTTTCTTCTCGTCCGACGTAATATCGGTTTTTCTCCTTCTCTTCTCCTTTCTCTCTCCTCCTCTTCTTCGCCATCGCACTGCCCGCAATGCTCTTGATGCATCCCGATGATGCATGTGACCTCTCTGTTGGATGGCAGCACTCGGTACGTGACACAGCTGTAATCCATCGCTACCTTATTGCGCCCATATACTGGAGAAGGATTCCCGAGCGAGGAAGAAACCACATGGATCCGGTTCGATTGAAGAGTATACAGGAGATGCTGATGCTGTGGTAGAAGATATTCCGTGGATAGATTCCATGGCCCCGTCATACGCGCAGGATCATGGCTTACAGCCTGATTCTCAGCCACCAACGGTTGCTGCTTTTTCGCCCACTACTATTTCAGGCTCATCCTTGACGTCCAGACAACGTTCCAGCATAATCGTACATCGCAAATCTCCCCTTCTTGTGGCTACACCTCCCGCCATCACTCGAGCTCTGGCCTATTCTCATCCTTTTATACTTCCTTTGAATAAACTCGCCGGCTTGCTCACGTGGACAACGGACGACCCATGGCAAAGCTTCCTTCTCGTGGCGGGATTTTGGACGGTGGTCCTGTATAGCGATGCGATTATTCTTTGGGGCGGTCCGATGTTAGTCGTAGTCGGGTTAATCCTAGGCATGTATTGGAGACGCTTTTCTCCGTTATCGACGGCGGCATTCACGGGCGAGAAACGACAGCACCAAAAGAGTGCCTCTGAGGGCTCTTCGCATCAGCATGAGACTCTGGATGAGATTGTCGAGACATTGAGAACTTTCACGACTCGGTGCAACATACTCCTGGAGCCTCTCCTTGAGCTTACGGATTTCCTATCGACCCAGAGAACGGCGACCTCTGCAACTACAAGACCCGCTCTCACTACTATGTTCATACGAATTCTTTTTGTGACTCCCATCTGGATCGCATTGACCCTTCCGCCCTTTTACATAATCACAACTCGCCGTGTTGTCATGACTATAGGCACCATCATTCTCACCTATCACTCCCGACCAGCAAGAGTATCACGAGTCATTTTATGGAGATCCTTGACTGTTCGCCGAATATGTTCCATAATTACTGGCCTTTCATTTTCCTTAAATGCCAATAAACCGCAGTCCCTCTGGGCTCAGAGCCACGGTCATGCTGCAACCATTGCAACGAGGCGGCGAGGGGATTCCTCGGGCGTTCGCTTCACTTTTGTACTCTATGAGAATCAACGCCGGTGGCTCGGAATTGGATGGACATACTCTCTGTTTCCCTCTGAGCGTGCTGCATGGACCGACGAACACCTGAACCCAGCACCGTCCAAGGATGACTTTGAGCTCCCGCATGTACAGGCTGGGAATGCCAAGTGGCGCTGGGTCGAGGGCAGCGAGTGGCGTATCGAAGGAGCTGACGATACGAACAGCAAGACAGATGGTAAAGCAGCGGACGGTGGAGGATGGATCTACTATGATAACAAGGTGAGACCGCACCTCCGTCCGTGAGAATTGACCCCTACTTAACCGTCATTGTGACATTATAGTGGAATGATGGCCGTCGTGGGCAAGATGGTTGGGATCGTTATACTCGTCGTCGGAAGTGGTGCCGCGACGCTGAACTCGTCGAGATACCACAAGCGACTGAAAACACGCCGGCTACGGCCAAGTCTAGTTTAACACAGGCGTTGGATAATCAGAGGGAGTCGGGGAACATTGACGCTTCAACAGTCGATACCGATGCCGTGAGTCTCGCCCCGTCAGCCTCCTCCAAGGCGCGGAGAAGACGTTGGTTCGGGGGTTCGAAACCTGTAAGCGACAAAGCCAGTAGCACTTCCTTTGCGCTACCAGCCTCCACCAATACATCCTCCGTGGACGCTGGAAAAATAACCTCTACCACCAGTTACAGCCCATCGGGAACCCCGTCTCGAGACCGATTGACATCGCGCACTCTCGGAAGCCATCGAACTATTCCGGCAACACAAGTCATGGCAGTATGGGCCGAGACAGCAGCGTTGCGGGGAGTGTCTCGCACAGTGACAGTGCCAGCATTCGAGATAAGGAAATTGTCCACGCTCAAGATCGTCTAGACCGCTGGGGTACTCGAGCTACAGGTGGTATTGAGCGAGCGGAGCGAGAACTGGGGCTAGGTGACGAGGTCAATATGGGATTGAGTTGATTGTTCAGTCTCTTAGCCAGGGCAATCCGCGAAAGAGACCCGGGGAGTTTCATGGAGCAGTGTCTGTGGCAGCCCATTTTTCATCCAGTTTTCGGTTTCGACTCAGCAAATAGGGTTACTTTTCCGAGTGTATAATAACATTCAGAAGCATATATTATTAATGGCATCATCCAAGTCTCGAACAAATTCTGAAGATACTTCAGATTCTTTTCAAGAACGGTTCTTGGACACCATCCGGCAAAATGAGGATGGTCACTCACAATATATATATCGCCGATAGTTACGCAAGTGTCGTAGCCTTTCGAGGGTAGTTTCGAATCGCGTACACACTTTTCACAGAAGTAAGCTCTGGCATCGTCGGCATCGGCCAGTGTATGACTCGAGTCACAGCCAACCATGCCAACCTGACCTTCATTTCTCACAACCTCAGTAATGCAGACTGCTAGCAGTTAAGCAATATGGGCTATTCATGAGCTTTGGACGTCATCAGATGGACACTGTCAGTCACGTTAGGATTAAATCCCATTTCAGGTGTTCCAAAACGTCGAGCCAATGCAGCTTTTCTCCTGTCCAGAGGATATTCAGTAGTTCCTTTGCGCGCTTAACATTCCCGATACCGAAATTACCTTCCAGTTGAGTCAACGATCGCATAATCAGTTCTCGGTCTATCGTCTCTTCGCACTCGCATCCTGTGATGAAGAGTGGAAAAGTAAGCGCGGAATACTCGCAGTGGTCGTCGAGTGGCGATGAACGAATAGTTCTGAGACAACGCTCTACTGCCCCCCGTTTTGATAATGATATGAAGGAAGTCCAAATCGAGAATGCTCTTTGCGTAAGCCCCCGCATCATCCTTTCTAGCGTGGAATGGAGATAAATGTATGCAGCGTTGCAGAAACATTCCGCTACCATGTGCAGACGGGTGAGGTTTTCTTCTGTTGTCCCCTTAGGTATAATGTACGATGGTAAATATTTTGTCCAATTACGAAGCGACTCGTCGCTATACAGTATCAGCATGCGCTCAAACGTTTTGTAAGGGGGCTAGTACTGACATTGTATGAATTTCCAAGCCTAGGGCAACTGGGTCACCGTAAAGAAGAGGCAGATCCGCAATCCTCGCACACAGCTTGATAATTCTCTCAGTGTAGCCGATGTATATGTCGAGCCTGGTAATCTCTGCATGATTTAGGTCCGACAAGGCCGCGGTGATCAGTCTAGGGTTCGTCAATTTTGCCAAATTTTGCCCGTATACAAAACTGAACTGAAAGTTAGCTCGGTCCCTGCAATTTCGTGTCAAACTGCCATCATTACTTACAGTCCTCGCAGAAAATGAGCCGTGTCTTGACTGAGGGAGTCGAATCCACCGCGAGACAGTATCAGTTTTCCTAATGCATGCAGATGCACCGTCCACTGCTTCACGCTTCCACGTACTATCTCAAACTTGCAAAGAAGAGCAACCGAGAGAAGAGCGTCCTCGGGAAACTTATCGGTGGAACGCTCAGTAAGTGCGATCCGAACGCCTCTCATTGTTTGAATGTAGTAATCCGCTGCTGCAGTTTGGGCGCACAAGCTATCACTTGTACGGTTCGCGAGATGTATGGCAGACAGCGCGCATAGAGCGTTCATTAAAAGGGGAGAGGAGTGGGCTCGAGGAATGAGCAATGATCGCAATGGATTCTCTTCATTTTCCAAGTTCGCCAACAGTTTGGACCCTCGTTCCACATAATATTGGAGGTAAAGCGTCTCGAGGGCAGTCAAATGACTAATGTACCCAAAAGACTTGGTGATCACACCAGACCTGTCATTGTGAGGAGCAGTAACAGACTTTTCGGTATCGTTTCTGTTGTCAGCGATCCTCCAGCCAACTTCCCACCAGCGGGTTTCATCGGCATCGTACTTCGACATGGATGAACATGATGTATTCAGAGAGTTTGAAGGAAACGAGGTCAATTTGGGAGATGGATGGTCTTGGGAGGATCCATCTGAGCCGACGGACGCAGAATGAGAGCGACTAATTCTGCGTCGCTTTGATAGTCCAACTTGTTGAAAGACTTGTGCGCCTGGATCGAGAGGCTTTGCCCACACCGAGCCATATCCTTCGCAGCTGAGCCCTAACCTGGCGCAATTCTGGCATCTAGTTTTAGATTAGTCACGCTGGCCACAGGTATTTGAGAAGAAGTTATTTGTTACCCAGGCTTAGCTTCATCACAGCGCTTTCGGCGCCTTTTGCAGGTCAGACAACCTGACCGAGTCCACTTCCCACCCTCCCTTCTGCATCTCTTCCTCGACGGTATTGAGCTTTCGCTTCTCAGCGAGAACTCGTTATACGTGGTAGCAAATTGACTCATTTCAACTTGTACGAAAAAGGAACAAGGCCAACAGAATACTGCGGCCTTGTACCTCTCTATACTAAACCGATAAGCGACTATCACGCTTATCAGACCGAGGTGCAGAGTAAGAGGAGTAATGAATGGTCACGCCCACATCTGAATCAACGGAACGATGGTTTACTGTATCGCCACATGAAAACATGGCAGACATGCTATTGAGCAAAAGATAGATCGCGCAGCAACAATGATTGTCAATCTGCTGTTGGAGAAGTCATGGAGAAGGGAAAGAGGAGAAGAGGCAAGTTGTGCGCTAGTCCTGATATGGCAAGAGATACGCTGTACTATCTAATCGGTATCATCAATCTTTCATGTTCCCCTCATCAACCAACATACGGATATCCTTCTACGGAGAAAGGTAGATGTCTATTTCAAACTAGACCTATGGCCTCCAAAAGTAATAGAGGTTATCTTTCTGCGGGGCTGAAAGCTCCCTTGATCATTGAGCAAATAGCTCTGGGCCCGCTTGAATCGTCGAATATGAATCCTCCATTTAGCATTGGGTGAATGAACAATGTATTTTTTTCGGCAGGCCTTGTTATCCAAACATTGCTGATGGACATCTGAAACTGTTTCTCATATGTCGATCTTGTCATGGTCAATCTGAATCCGGCTCTGGTCCTATACTTCTGTCTGTCATGTGCACTCTGATTTCTGAAGCTCTAATGCTGCACAACTACCTTAGTATCTACCATTCATCTGGATCGCTATCGGAGGCCCCACCGAAAAATGGTGGGAGCTTATCCCAAAATGGCATGTCCATCCAGAGCGTGGAGAAAGACTGGCACAAAGATCATATCCATTGATTTGCGGAGGGTAGATATAGGCAAACCGTTTCTTCACATAACTAATCCTACAACTGAGAGGAAGAAGATAACAATCGGTGGAGGTCAGCTCTGTGCACACTATAGGCACACTATATAAGCACCGTCTCGTCTCTCTTTTCTCTCCAGTCCCTTCTTACACGCTCATCCCTAATCTCGAGGGTTCTCAGTAATACATACCACCAACGTGTAGTATACAGACCCAAGTCTCCGCAATATGCTGGCATCTCAGAGCTCTCCTTCGACCACCTCGGTCAACCTCCATCCCTTCGATCCAATTACTCCGGAAGAGATCAAACTTGCCGTTCGCATTCTCGAAGGTGCCTTTCCTGGTGTGCCTCTTCGCTATAAGCGAATTGATCTGCAGGAGCCCATCAAGAAAGATGTCGTTGCATATATCGAGGCAGAGAGATTACGGAAACCTTTGCCTCAGAAACCTCCTCGTCTTTTATTTTCCTACTTTCACCGTTTGGACAGTGGTGTCTTCCACAAGGCCCTGTTAAGTGCTGACAGCAAGTCGGTAATCCATATCAAGGAGCTCCCCGCACATGTGCAAGTGAGTAGATCATTCCTACTTCTCTTTCCAGAATCCGCCTGTTTTGATAGCTGATTGCTTCACTATATAGGGACCTATTGATGTAGACGAGGTGACTGAGATTGAGGCACTCTGCATGCGGCACCCTGCGGTGCTGGCAGAAATCGAGAAACTCAAGCTGCCGCCAGGAGTGGCAGTCTGCAATGATCCGTGGATGTATGGCTCGGACAGTCCCAATGAAACGAGACGGCTCTTCCAATGCTTTATGTACATGGTTGAAGTGGACCACCCAGAGAACAACCATTACTCTTTACCATGCAAGTTCTCTCCCGTCTTCGATGCTATCACCCGGGAGCTGGTCCGCATGGACTATCTTCCTGGCGGCGCAGACACAAATGTAATGGAGACACAACCGTGGAGACCTGTTAAAACTATTCAATATGCTCATGATCTTCTGGACGAGCCACTGAGAAAAGACCTTAAACCCTACATCGTCCAGCAACCTGAGGGGGCATCCTTCTCAGTTGACGGAAACTTTGTGTACTGGCAGAAATGGCGATTCAGAGTCGGCTTCAACAACCGGGAGGGTCTGGTGCTCTACAATATCACATACGACAATCGCAACGTCTTCTACCGGCTTTCGGTCTCAGAGATGACGGTTCCCTACGGAGGTGAGCTTACCATGACACCAAGAGTAAGAGCACCTTACTGATCATCCGGATGGCATCAGATCCTCGGGCCCCTTATCACCGGAAACAGGCTTTTGATGTGGGAGATGTTGGTTTTGGTCTCAATGCTAACCAGTTGACGCTTGGGTGCGATTGTCTGGGTCACATCAAATATTTTGACGGCTATCGAACGGATTCAAAAGGTAATCCTGTCCATTTGAAAAACATCATTTGCATGCATGAGCAGGACAATGGCCTTCAACACAAACACACCAACTACCGATCGGGCGCTGCGACTGTGGTGCGAAATCGCCAGTTGGTCCTTCAGATGATTTGCACCGTGGCAAATTACGAGTACATCTTTGCATACATCTTTGACCAAGCTGCCAATGTTGAACTTGAGGTCCGAGCCACCGGTATCTTATCGACCGTTCCCTTTGACAATGAGAATGGCGAGACAGTCGCTTGGGGCACAAACGTCGGTCCTGGAGTCATGGCTCCTTTCCATCAGCATATGTTTTCTCTGCGGATTGATCCGGCCATAGATGGTTTCAAGAATACAGTCTACTATGAGGACAGCGTACCACTCCCTGAAGACGAGAAGAATCCTTACCTTGTTGGTTATACTACTGAGCAGACGGTCATCCGCAAGTCCGGCTCAGCCAACACTGACATTAACCGCCATCGCGTTTTCAAGATCCGCAACGATAATATCATCAACCCCGTGACCTATAAACCCGTTGCATACAAGCTCCAAACGGCACCCAGCCAGATGCTCCTATTGAGCAAAAACGCAATGGGTTACCGACGGGCCGAATTCGCCAGTAAACCCATCTGGGTCACCAAGTACAACGATGACGAGCTGTACGCCGCAGGCGAGTTCACCAACCAGAGTAGACGAGCGGAAGGCGTTGAGACCTGGGTACAAAGGAACGACTCGACAGAGAACGAAGATGTGGTTCTATGGCATAGTAAGTTTCTTCGAGCCCTATGGGTCTCACAGCCAGGACTGACCAGTTCGGCAGCGTTCGGTCTCACCCATAACCCCCGTGTCGAAGACTTCCCCGTCATGCCTATGGAGCGAATCAGCGTCATGCTCAAACCCGATGGTTTCTTCACGAAAAATCCGGCCCTGGATGTGCCCCCGTCAACTCAGTCATTCAACAAATCCACCCTCCATCCTGAGCCCGCTCCCGTTGCAGCATGCTGCTCCAACGGGGGTGCCAGTACTAGGGCGAAGCTTTACAAGCGCATTGAATAGTTCCGTCAATAATCGGGCTGGTTGTTTGATGCCTGGCACTCGCATTCGGGTGTTTGGGATGGTTAGATGTAGCATTCTATTGGTGTTGACATGGTTGATTAGCGTCTGGTTCAGAAATCTCATACAACTCATTTAGTTTGTCAAAGTGTTCAAAGAGCTATTTTGAGATCTTTCTACTAAGAGTAAAGGAGAGATGAGAAGCAAGGTCAAGACTATCACGCATCATGACATCTATTTTTCATTACCATGTGTCTTCTGACATTAGACATACACAGCTCTCTCGCTCATCCGAGACCGAAAGAGTTATATAGATCGGATCCATCGTACATCAGACAGTTGCCGTTGCGATCATACATTCCTGCCATACCTTCACCGAGACCACTCACCCTGACTCCTGCTTCCCGCCGGTCCTGTATCACCTTTCGGAAAGCCAGCTTCCTCCCTGGTCGCCTTCCTCCCTCCCATAACATGTGCACGTGATATGATTTCACCATATGACATCATGTTCCTCGATGCCAAAATCCACAGGGGACAATTCGTAGTTTACTCCTTGTTCACAGTGGGGACATGGGCCTTGGGGAGAACGCCGTGGCCTACGTTGTCGATGGCAGCCTGGCGGGCGCCATTGAGGCCGTACTGGGAGTCAATGCCCTCAATACGGTGGGTGGAGTTGATGTTCTTGACCATGGTGAGCTGCCAGCAGGTAGCGCTTCCCTGGCGGGAGATGATGGTCGAGTAGGCCAGGAAGTACTCCCAGATCTAAGGAACGGAAAGTCCTCCAGTCAGTCGTGCTCAACGTGTATAATGAATTCGTCAAAGGGACTTACTCTAAACCATCTCTTGCCATACTTGGCCTCGACCTTCTCGCGGTTACCCATCCAGTTGCGGTACCAGCGCCAAAGAGTAGCAGAGTAGTGGACACCGACAGTGTCAACGCCCTTGATTTCAAAACCAGCGCCCTCCAATTTATCGACGACGAATCCAAGAGGAGTGCTGGCATCAGCTCCGGGGAAGATGTACTTGTTCATAAACAGACCCCAGATGAGATCCTCATACTGCCAGGACTTACGGAGACCCGCGATCTGGAGGAAGAACACACCATCATCATCAAGCATGTCATAGACCTGAGACAGGAAGGAACCGAAGTGGCGGACACCGACGTGCTCTGCCATCTCAAGACAAGTGATCTTCTTGTAACCGCCCTCGACGCGGGGAGCATCACGGTAGTCCAAGCAGAGAATACGGCTCTGAGATTCGGGGATACCGGCGTTGCGGAGACCCTTGTTACCCCAGGCAGTTTGGTTACGACCGAGAGTGATACCGGTGACGTGTGCGCCATAGTGGACTGAAGCAAATTTGGCGAGAGTACCCCAGCCACAACCCAGGTCGAGAAGAGTGTCACCGGGCTTAACATTGATCTTCTCACAGACAACAGCTAGCTTGTTGTCCTGAAGTTCTTCCAAAGTCTCTTCCTTGTTAATATCACTAATGATGCCAGAGGTGTAGATCATCCGAGGGCCCAAGAACCAAGCGTAGAAGTCGTCACCACGGTCATAGTGGTCGCGCACCTGTTCCTCGTCTGCAGATCATTTTAGTCAGAAACCATGAACTCCATTCATCTGTGCAGAATAACCAAGGGAATGCCACTTTACCTTGAGAACGCGAGTGGACCAGCAATTCAGGAATGAAGCCGAAGAGGAAGTGCTTGTAGAGGCCCATGGTGAAGCGGAAGTTAGCCCAGTCGTGTCTGAACTCCAGAGCTTCAAGAGCGTCGCCCTTGAAATCAACCTCTCCATTGAAGTACTTTTCGTAGAAGACCTCCATGGGAATCTTGCTCTTGCCGCGGTAGGTGGCACGGTCATGCTCGCTGTGGAAGTGAAGGTAGTGCTCGACGGGGCGACCAGCATACTTGGCCTTCTCATTCTTGCGGGGAGAAATGGAAGAAGCCACGGACCAGAAGGCCATCAGGATGGGGACGGTGGTAAAGATCGCAAAGAAGATAGTAGTGTAGAAACCACCACCGACCTGGCGGGCCAAGTACCACGGAACAAACAGCAGCAGAGAGAAAAGCAGGATGTTGGAGAAACTATCGCTGCCTGCAGCGTCTGCGGGGACGGGAGCATTTTTGATGGCCGGGTACTAAAAGCGTGAAAGAGAAAGTAATTAGCCCATTGCCTTTCATGAAGACGCTCCACAGAGCTCCAAGAGAGCTTCGATGAGCAAAATTGTTGTCGGCTCAATTGAGCACCTCAACTTACCGATGTCGTCCGCACACCGCAATCGTCTGCGGGGGTAGTGCAAGAAGCAGCAGGTGTTTCAATGTACTCGAAGTCCTCAGGGGACTCGGGGTGAATTTTCGTCATGGTTTGCTCGACGATTTCGCGGAGGGATCGAGTGGGAGGAAAGGACACCAAGGCAGATCAGTGTCACAAATCACGACAGATGTTCTGTCGTGATAAGAAAGGGAAAAAAAGATAAATGGAAAGGGGAGAAAAACGAAGAGCCACGAGGGCAGGAAAGAAAGCAGAACAACAACAATTGATGTTGATGGAGAACAGGAGCAGTCGGGTTGGTTTATCGGTGATGAGGAATTGACGCGGCGCCAACAAGCCTAGCTGGTCTTTAGGTTCCTACCTTAGCAAGTTCGCAGCAGTACTAGTACTAGTGGACCTGACGAGCTTGGCTCTCGAGTCTCTGCTCGAATAGATTATTATTATTAGTAGCTCTCTACCTCCCCTAGCTGGTACGTATCAACAAATTCAAGTGGAACCACGCGCGGGATGGTTGTTTCTCCTGAATGGGCGGCGGTGAGCATACGTATACTCCGTACCAGAAGATTATTATTATAATCTCCAGCATGAAGAATCGGCAGTAGGGCAATAGATATTAGTATACTGTAGTCTAATGTAGTCCCAGGAACTGGAATTGAAAGTCAATTGCATTGTCATATGTGAGTAAGAGCTGGCAATGATCATGCTATGCTGTCTGCCCCTCCCATCGTTGCATAAATTACTCAATAATACTGGGTAGCACGGCTGTGTAACCAGTCGATTTACTCTAGCAATCCGCAATGATCCCCAGGGCCCTAGACAGAGCCACTGTGTAAAATAATACTGAGCGTGATATAGTGACAATACCAAGTCCCCTCTCCTGACATTGTTAGCAACCGTTTCAAAGCCCGATTTCATGTGCCGTAATACATGCAGTATTATCAAGACCATATCCGAGGAGCCCTCGGATGCCGAGAACCCTGGATCGTCCATCGCTCAATCCACCCAAGGTTGCAGCCAGACCCTGAAACGCGGCAATCTGCGTGAGTGCGTGTCCCAAATCTCCCAACCCCTTGGCTAATAAATATGATTATGCTTTCATAGGATTCATTTCCCAGTCCACTAAGTTCCGGACCGATAATCTAGGCCAGTTCGATACTGAATGCTTCACGAGAAGTTGACCGCTTTCCTGCTTACGACGTCCTTCATCCAGCTAAGAGATCCTGAAATAGGGACTTGTTCTGCAAATATGAATGATCGAATTGCTACCTCCTACAGTTGGAAAGCTATCCCTGAAAAGGGATCTAAATCATACAAGATACCGGCTGTGAATCGTGAAGCCTCGTAGTGTCATCAGTACGCAAAAAGCAAAGGTCAAGAAACGCCGCTTCCGTCCCGGTCGGTTTGCCCTACTGTAATCTTGCCATTCATTCATGCACGCCGACCATCCCAATCCCTGAAAAGTGAAGACGAGTAGAAAAGTAAAAGACTTCCTTAGAATGCTCCTGAACCATGACTCTAGGGTACGTTTGGCGTTGTCCAAACTCAAAGCGTGAGCTGGAAATTCTGCGCCTCTTCATCTTCCCCAAAGGTCGGGAGATTTCTTTCAGCTTCGGCCGCCAGTCGATCCTCCTCGCTATCAAAACAGCCTGCAGCCTTGCAGCGGTACCACATCTCCGAACCCAGCGGAGGCATCCCGTACAATTCGATGTATGTTTCAGGCGACAGGACCGACCTCTCCGGAGTAGTTGACGGCTTTCCATGTAATCTGGAGGACACAGTCCGGCCCTTTGAATAGCCCAGGGTCGTTTTGGAGTTGGCAGTGGCCGCAGTGTGACGCATGGAGGACAGATTGCTCGGCACTCGGGGCCTCCTAGATGTCAAGAGAGATGATGCGACTCTGGGTTTCGGCTTTGACATCGCCGCGGGCCTCGCTCGTGCACCCGAGGGCTCAACCCTGGACAGTACAGCAACTGCATCGCGAGCACGGACAGTAGAGATATTGCTGGTATACCTGGGCTTCGTCATAGTCGATACAGCACGGCGCACCTCGAGGCGTCGTTTAGGTACCTCTTCCACATGAGGCTCGCTGGGAGGGTTCAATTCCGTCTTGTCCTCGAATCCAATCTCTTCAAGCTGCTTCAAGATCATTTCGTCCACCTTTTTGTCGAACGCAATTGAGTCCTCCTGGAATTTGCGCTGTCGTTTGGTAAGACCATCCTCTCCGACTTGATTGTCTCCGTAAACACTTTCCAATCCCAAGGCCAAATTCTTGGGCTGAAACTGAGGAAACGTCGTGTCATAAGTAATGTCGTCAGGGATATCAGGGAGCTCTACAAGAATGTTAGAGAAGGTAAAACCTCTCCGACTTAAGGCCGTTACGAGACCGATGTGCATCTCACCTTTCGGTTTGGGGGGCATATATTCAATATCGGGCACTTCATCCTGGCTCTCTTCACCCTGTAACTCAATCTTGGGCTGGTCAACTAGTGGCGAGAACTTCCTAATCTTTTGGGTAGAGGTTCTCTTGTTCGTCTTCTCAGGCTTGATAGTGCCTGCCGGCGCTGCTGGTGTCTGTAAGCCTCTCGCCTTTGCATTGGTCGTTTTCATGCCAAGAGGTGCACGATTTCGAGGTTCTGTTGCCAGTGTTTCGTTAGCCTTCTCGATCCCGCTCGCTGGGGTCTCTCTCCTGCATACCCAGCGGAGTGACAAAGGCATCCTTGGCGGGTTTTGTGTTCTCCTTTTGCCTGCCAGCAGCCTTTACTGTTTTCTTTCCAAACGCCAAAGGGCCATTTTCATCGTTCAAAGGCACCTTGAAGGGCGTTTTCGGTGCGCGGGCTCCCGGGGTTCGCGGTTGCAACTGCTTCACGCCATGGTTCAAGGGTTTAGCTGCAGCGACAGTCTGGTGAGTATGCACCAGGTTTTCCTGGTCACGAAGAGCCAGCATGGCAATGTATGGTTTTCAATGATACTCATTCAAGTCGGAATGGGCGTGTATGCGTCGTGGTGATCATAAGTCGCTAGCTAAGGTAGTCTAAGGTAAGGTAGTTCTAGATGCAGGACGCATCTAGTTGTTTTTTCTTGGCGGTTGCCCGTGGAGACGGAGAGCGGCTTTCCCTGGGACAAGTCGGAAGGAACCTTTGGGTAATGGCAGGGGGTCCGAGTGCCTCAGGCCGAAAGAGTCAACATGTGCCACTAGGCCCACTAAGGCTCCCTTGCGCCTCTGGCTGTCAAGCCACAGAACATCAATAATACATCGAAAACAGGGGCTAATCTATTTTTGTCTAGGTAGGTGTTTTGTTGGCTGACCGCCAAACGGGTAAGGGAGGCCCTCCACTTCTTAGGCCTTACTATTCCTCTCTCGTGATCTCCAATTCCCAAACCACATCCCTCCAACTCTTACCTCCTTGTTGTCCACTTTTCCGCCTGGTTTCTCGCTGAGCGAAAGCCTTTCTACCTTCAAACCCACTCTACTTTCTCTGATACATAGATTTTGTCGTTGCAAATAAGCTATTTCGTCGCCAAAATGGATAAGATCAAGGAGGTAAGCTTCTCCCCTGATCCCTTTCGGCGGGGTAGCTTGAAAGCTGTCGAGAAACGGAAATGCACCACTTTCCGCCCTTGCTTCATGTACCCTATCTAGGGACAGATCTTCTTGAAGTGGAGCACAGGACGAGCAAATACTATAGTTCTGAATAAATGATATTCTAGACGGAAGGGTTGAGACTGACACGGAGATGTTTCTTCTAGAGAATGAACGCCCTCCGCCTCGAGGCTGATGAGGCCCAGAACAAGGTGGAAGAGCTCAAGGCTAAAGTGAAGACCCTGGAGCAAGAGAATTTGGCAAAGGAACAGGAGATCACATCCCTCAACCACCGGAACCAGCTTTTGGAGGGTGAGGTCGAGAAGCTCGAGGCTGCGCTTAAGGAGGCCAAGGAGTCTGCCAACCAGAGTGCTCAGCACGACACTCAGAACGAGGCCCTTCAGAGACGGGTGCAATTGCTGGAAGAAGAGGCCGAGGAAGCTGACCGGAATTTGCGGGAGACAAACGAGAAGTATGACTTGGCCTAATCCTGCCATATTCACTAAAGGTCGATTTTGCTGACTCTGGGATGCTAGACTTCGCCAAACCGACGTTAAGGCTGGCCATTACGAACGCAAGGTGCAGGCTCTGGAAGCCTCTCGTGATCAGTGGGAGAGCAAGTATGAGGAGATGGCCAAGAAGTATGCTGAGTTGCAGAAGGATCTCCACGACCTGGAGGTCTCTATCAGCAATGTGTAAAGATAATCTCGCACATCGGCGTACACTCGGAAAGATATTGGATCCAGCCTTTGTTCCAACGGATATCAGATTTAGTCGCAAATCACAGCCTTCCTTGCTATTCTCTTTCTCGGCAGGAACCAATTTAATAGGTTCTCTTTCGCCCTTGTCATCTCATGCTGGAGATCGGCTCGTCTTTGCAGCTTGGACCCTTTCCTGTCCTTTACATATATCCATTGTTTGAGGTACATAGAGCATATTTAATGGAAGTTGTCACTGTGATATCTTAGCTTTGCTCGAAGCGTTCTTTAACGAATCTAACTCGGGAATCGCTATTCTCGTTCTCGCCGAGCATTGGCCTTTCTCGATTTGGCTTGCCGCTGCTTCATAAGAGTAACTTTGCGCTCCTCCTTACTTTCGTATCGGAACTTCTTTTTCTTCTTTTTTGGCTTGTTGTTCTCCTTCGTTTTCTTCTCGGCGGAATTTGTGGTTGTGGATTTGACATCGGCTTCCGACCTTCGTTTCGTTTGGTCGTCCTCATCCTCGTCTGACTTGTCGCCCTTCTCCGCCCTGAGTAAGCCTTCTCTGGAGGCATCCATCTCTTCGACAGTAACGGTGGTATATTTGTCTTCATCGATATATTCGGCTTCGTAGTCCACTGCAGGAGGCTCAGCGAATCCTTCCCATTCATCCTGCTCGTCTTCATCTACGTTGTTGGAATTTGTTTCTTCGTCACTGTCGCCATTTTCTTTCCTCAGCATTTCCAGCTGCCTCCGATGCTCTTCAAGTGCCCGCTCATATTCTGCGGCTCGCTCTTCACGGATCTGGATCGAGTCAAGTCAGCATGCTTTCACTCATCATCCAGCCCGTGGAACCAATGAGTACAAACCTTCTTCCGTTCTAGCCTTTTGTCTTCTCGGGCTCTCTTTGCTGCAAGTTCCTGTGCATTCCGTATCCGCTGCTGTTTTCTCTTTCGAAATCCTGTGAGGAATTCCTGCCGATCGGCAGGGTCGAAATTGATCTCTTCGACCTTGGGGGTCAACTTGCGTTTTTTGGCTTGTGGCCCCATTTTCCCTGGGTAGTGCGATGGTTGGTCTTAAGAAAATAAATTATAACGAGAGTAATAATCTGTATTCAACTAATTTCAACCTCATAACAATTTTGGTGCATAAAAAAAGATAGGACTAAAAAGAAAAAAAGCTGCTGCCAATAAAACTAAACCTTGTCTAGTCGGTGGTTGGCTCGACCGCCTCCGAGCTCGTCGGCCAAGCCTCCAGGTTGGCTCTACTGAAGCAACATCATCCTCAGCCTGCGTTCTGCTCGCTTACAATCAGTCAAATCGCCACAATGCGCTTAGGAAGACTTACGCTGCTTGCTCTTGGAGCAGTGAGTGCAAATGCATTCCGGGATACATCTCCGTTCTTCCTAGCTTCTACGTCCGAGTACGTTGTCCAGGAGCTACTTGAGCTTCGGAGTCGCGGGCCGTACATACCTGCATCCAGCTAACAAGCTCCTTCTAGGATACTTGCTACTTCGTCAAATATCAAAGCCGCCACCGGTGTATTGGAGGATCTTAGTTCACAACTGAGCACCTGTCCATCGGATTACTATGTTATTGCGTCTCAGCCTGGTGTGCACAGCAGCGATTTCGCGACTCGCAAGTCCGCGCCCCGCCTGGGCGCAAAGCTGACCGGGAAGGACAAAGCAATTCGATCCAGTATGATTGTCAAGGAGGTTGCAGGTGTTTTGGAGGCAAAGCAGATCCAAAGTATTATCGAAAAGGAATGCGGGGCACAGTTTACTTTGATCGATGCATCTGGTGAGTTCGAGAGGCTTATAAGCTTTAGAGGTCGAAACTGACAAGATTATATAGCGAGCTCTTATCCCTCCGAGTTCGGGGCGGGACCTCGCATCATCTATGTGGACTTTCCTATGCTCTCGCTGGGAGCCGACCGAGCCCAGCAACTTTCAGACAACGGTTTGTGATCGAATGCATCATATTTTGACATCGCATGTTCGTTCTGACGAATGACAAAGATGGCCTCCTTGCCGATATCATTGACCGAATCCCTTCTTCGAAGAAGTATACGCTTCTCTACGTGACATCGCCGAGGGAGTTTGAGGGATCCGAGGGTGTCGTTTATAAAGCCGAGGACAGTTACCAGGACCCTCTCCGCATGGAGCTGAAGCGGGACTACTCAGCCCACGGAAGTCAAAGTACTCCTGCATCTAACAAATCTCTTTTCCGAGAGTACCAATACCTTACCCCAGGTACGATCTCTGAAGGTTTTTTGCAACGTTCATAAGTAGCGACTGACCGCTTCTAGGTCTCTTTATGGGCTTTCTTGCAGCCTTTTTCTTCCTGATGATCTTATACGTTGGTATTCGAGCTCTTACGAGTCTTGAAGTTCCCTATGCGGCATTTGAAAAGGATACATCCGCCAGCGTGCAGAAGAAACAGCAATGATCACTCGTTGGCATTATTGGATTATTACCATTGCAGCGAACATATTACTGGCTATCATTATCTCTTATACCATATTTGAACTGACCTCAGTAGCTGCGCAATGTCCAAACGAGAGCTAACTCAGCATGCTGTATCAATGCAACTGGCCTTTATATCATGTATATTTGTCGTGTCAATTTCATTTGGAGTATCATCAGATAGTCCACACCTGAATCCGGCTCTCACGAAGCATGGATACACATGGCAAAAGGCTTCATCGAATTTGAATAAGTGAAATAGAAGATAAGAGTAGGACAGTACTTTAATGCCTATATATAAAAATCACGTGGGTTACTCCGCCTCCACAGCCTCGACTTTGGCGCCTGAGGCAGAAGCCAGGCACGGGGTCAACAACCAGCCCAGCGAGGGTGCATCGATAATTTATGGCGGTAGTGAGACTAACCCAAAGCCCTCATTTACATCGAAGTTTCTGGGCTGCATTTGTGCAGCTGTCCCTCGCTCTTCGTTGCCTTTCAATATTCCAGTGTCTTCCTGGCCTTTTTCTCACTCAACGAGCGTTGTCGCAGAGTTGAATTGTTTGGCTCCAGAACACTGGTACAGAACTTGCACCGCAAGGCCTGCCGGAGAGAACTGCACCTCCTCTTGAGGGATTGATTACATTTGTTTATGATCGCGCGTGCGACGGACTTTATCAATGTGCTGAACGAGGTGATCCATTGGTTGGGATTCATACTCCTCGTCTGAAAGGAAACGTTCACAACTTGCGCTTGAACAACTGCTTAACCCCTCCGACGATGAGATTCCTCAATGTGGGGCGTGCGAAGCCCCATCAGCGCTCCGTTACGTTGCTTTTATTTCTCCTGATCGTCTTGTTGGCTCAACTGGCCTCTGCCCAACAGGATCCCAATACCGACGTTGCTGCAACTACTGCGCAAACGACCGAGGGCACGAAGGCCACAGATCCAGCGACTACAGACGCGGGGAAGACCACCGATTCGAAATCGACGGCCGATCGCACAACTACAGATGCTACAACTACAGAAGCTTCGACCAGTAGTAAAACCTCAACCACGGAGGCTTCTACAACTACCGATGCAGCGACGTCTACCACCGACTTAGCGGGCTCGACTGCAACGTCTGCAACCTCAACAGACGGCTTCCCTGTGGTGACCGTGCCACCGACAGCGGATGCGCCGTACATGCAAAAATCGAACACCCCCGAAGGGACAGTTTTTATTGCTGTAGGTGCAGCCCTAGGTTTCATTGGGCTGGCGGTGCTGGCATGGCGTGGGCTCGTCGCATGGTCGGTCAACCGATCCGTCCGCCGCGCCGCATTGATGCACGCCTCGGAAAAGAAAGGGCTCATTCGGTCCAAGAGGAAGAGGTCATCAAGGCATTCCCGCGCTGTACCCGCAAGCATGTCACTCGAAAAGCTTCCCCCACACCACCGCAACAGCTACAATCCAAGAGCATCCAATATCCCCAGTACTGGTAGCGGTCTTTTCTTCTCTCCGACCGCAGGCGCCGGAATGCATACAAGCGGAAACAGAGGATCCAGCTACCTTCCGGCGGGCTACTATGCTGCAGGGAACGCTGCGCCCACGGGGAGTCAGAACATCCCATACTCGACGCCAGAAACGCGACCCCACTCGCAGGGCTACATTCGCACCAAATCCAATCCTAGCCCTCCTAGGTCGCCGGGCCTATCGCCTGGCGGTCTACATGACACTCACTATGATCCTCCCACCAGGCATTCGTATGTCGCAGGCTCTACCAGCTCCTTGAATCTTGCCTCTCCTACCCATGGACGAACTCCCAGTGCTTTCTTGGAGGACCTTTTTGAAAGCCATGCCCCTCAATCAGACAACGGTCATAGATGATTGGGCTTTCAACGGGCGTCGAAACATGCATTGTTTTTTATTTCTTATTTTCTTTCCTTTTTCATGTTTTCCTATCTCGGGTTCACAGCTTTCGACCCATACATACAGGATCTCGTTTAACATATACTTAAGTTAATATTCATGTCTCTATACGAGTCACGCATGGCCATGCCAGTGACATTCTACTCCTGTTTGATTCTGACGACAAAGAGTGGACTGCAGATTGGCTGAGTCAAGACGGGCAGGGCTGTGATTGATTATGTACATTTTCATTTTCCTTCTCAATGGTTGATACTAGCCTTCTGTTAATGATAAGCCTGATAATTGTCTATATGCTCGCTGAGTATTATTGCACACCAGGAAAAAGACGCGGAAGAGGACAACTCCAGAACGCTCAGATATATGATACACACCAAAAGGTTTGCGACGTCAGTATTTACAAGCAACGAAGCCGCCAAAAGCGGACATAATTTAAAACCAAGATGAAGCATGGAGCGAAATGTTGGAACGACAGGGTAGGCAAAGGGCTCAAGTAGATAAAGATTAAAGACGCGAGCGAAGCCTTGGAACAACATACAAGAAGTCGGAAAGTATGTAAAGCGCGTATCGGTCTATCTTGGGGAAGTGTCATGTCATCGATAGGAGGTAACCGTGAAGACCTGCGGAATTCTTTCAGTCAGAGTCCAGTTTGCGGTTGAACTCGCCGAGAAGGATGTCGCCCATGACTGGATCACGACTGTTTCTGACTGCAGATTCCGAATTAGCATCGAGCGACCACAGAATTGGAGATGACGACTTACTCATTTCTGCTTCTGCTCGGAAAAAGACCCACATCCATCTTCTGGCGACTTCCAAGGCCATGAGCAGGAAGATGCCACACTCCTTCTCGCTAAGCCAGACAGAGCCCGGTAAGAACCGGGTGACCCAGGAAAATCGAATGAGCAGGTCAGCAAGGATTGCGGCATAGTAGAGCCGATCAGCGAAGAATCGATGGCGGCGCAGGCCATAAGGACAGTCCGGATCGGCGCGAGAAGAAGTGAAGAGAGTCAAATCCCAATCCTTGCTTATGTCCCAGTAAAAGGAGTAGGTAGAGTTGATGAAAGTGAAGAAGGTGCTGAGATACAACAATTGTTAGTTGCGATTTCTTCCGATCTAAGCATAGAGAGTTGGGTTATACATACAGCAGCCGGGAAACGCTCATTTCGCTGAACCCATAGAACTCCAAAGGATTGTAATTCCTAAGTTTGGCCGCAAGAATAATAATGGGGAATGCAGTGGCATATTTCAAAGCGTTTGCCAGGTGCTGTGTTCCTTTATTTTCCCCTATTTGACCCGACCGATGCACACGAAGATATTCAGTTAGACACTGCCGCAGTCGGATCATGCTGGGGAGTGCGATGATGATGGGGACCACATAATCGTTTCCACAACTGCGATTCGGTTTCGAGGTGCTCGAAACATCCGGAGTGAAGAACATGCAGAATGTAACATAGAGGTCCCCCAAGATTTTGGCGTAGCTGGTAAGAGCATCTGCCAGCAGTATGTCTCCAAATTTACCATCTTGAGGCTGCGCCAATCCTCCCACACTAATGCGCCGCAAAGACCTAAGAAACCGACTTCGTCCAGACCGTGACAAACGGTTGACGGGCAGAACGAGTAGAATGATGAATATAAATAGATACGATTGCGGAATGAAGTCTAATGACTCCACTCGCTCAGCAGAGCCGTGGGTAAACAGCCAGAAGATAAGGAGGGAGAACAGGAGAGGGGCCGTCAAAAGGGTAGCGAGCCGGTAAGTAGAAATATGGTGAGGAGGTTGTTGAGGAGTTTGACGGGCGGGATAACGGATGAGGGCCGGTAGATCCTAGAGAGAGTAAGCATATGATTCTGTACGAGATTCTCTGTATTGAGGGAATGGGGCGGACAACTCACAATATTCGCCCGAGAGAGATATTGAAGGTTGGCACCCCAACCCCAGAATCCTAAGCCACGGATATTAATATTACATATGACAATTGACCGATTGGAGTGTGAAATACGCACCAGCAACCAGTATTACTGCAACCCGATAGGGGAAAGGGAGGAAAAGACTGAAGCCGTCAAGTTGAGCATGTTGATCAGGACCCATATTCCATCGAACAAGCGGCGCTGCGAATCAGCAACTAAATAGGAGTTACAACAAGGCGAGGGTGAGAAGAACTGGCCGGATGTGATGGAGAGGAGTTGTTTCCAATCGAACAAGAAGAGAACCAAGTGCTAGAATTGAAGCAAAAGAGTGACTAGGGGTGAGAATTACTGCCAAAAATTAATCGTCATGGGCTGGACTAGACCTTCTATGTACCACTCTAGATTAATTGATGCAGAAGCTCAGGGATAGACGACGGCTTCGGCGGCTCCGCGCGGCTTCTAGTTTCGGAAGCGCCAGTCCTTCGTAGGCTTAGTGTGATGTCTTCAAGAGTCGTGAAATCCAAAAATGGAATCTTCTGCCCCACGTGAGCTGGAGATAACGTGATAAGAGTCACGTGGGAATTACCGAGGCATTTTGTACTCATCGCCGAGTTGCGGTCTTACCAGGGCGCTCTCCGCTATGGGGAAGAGATGAAGCACAATTTCCAGGAAATATCACGATGTTACTTGCCTGACTGGTTCCTTAACCGTGATTATCTCGTTTCTTTGCCCCTTCTCTGCAACTTTCAGGGTTCAGTATGGCAGACGAAGATCTCAAACTCTCCTTACCTACTCCCACATCTCCGCCGAGTCTGAGCTCCTCCGCCCATTTCTACCCCTTCGCAACGTCACCGGATATTATCCGCTCCCATGAAAAGGACGTTTTCCTAACTTCCAGTCTGGTCAACCAGGCACAAGCGATTATCCGTTCTCTCCGTGGCGCACGATTTGCTCATATCCATTCGGACGCCATCAAACACCTGACCGAAATTCTGTACTTCTCACTGACGACGTTGATTGGCAATCGGACTCTGGGTGAGGAGTATTGCGACCTCGTGCAACTGGAAGATGATACACTTCAGCTCCCCGCGATTCACCGAAGAGCGGGTTACATTCTGAGTAGCATCCTAGTACCGTGGGCGCTTCAGCGGATTCTCCCCGGGTTTCGCCAGCGACTACGCGCGAAATTGGAGCGTAGCATCGCCCGGCAACAACTGAAAGCGCAGCAGAAAGCAGAAATATTAAGATTTACCAAGAAAAATGCTTCAAAGAGGCAGTCTTTCTTCACCGCACTTCGAGTCCAGACGTACATTCTCGAGCATCTCGACTCAATCACCTCGCTTTCACCTATTTACGCCCTAAGTATAGCAACCTTTTATTTCACTGGCTCCTATTACCATTTGTCGAAACGCTTCTGGGGACTGCGCTACGTGTTCACGAAGAAACTCGAGGAAAATGAACGGAGAGTAGGGTATGAGGTCTTGGGGGTTTTGCTTGCCCTTCAGATCGCGGTACAAGGCATTCTGCATATCCGAAAACTCGGTCTTAGTATGCAACAAGAGGGAGAGGGTATTGAGACCGAAGTGGCTGGTTCCAAGACACAAGACGACTCCTTGATCCGCTCCATTCAGAACCCTTACAACCTTCCGCTTCTTCCTGCTTCTGCAGCTCGATATGATCTTTCAGAAGATTCGAATGTCATTCCGTGGATTCCTTCCGGGCAACAGAGCAAGTGCACGCTTTGTCTGGAATTGTACAAAGACCCCAGTGTCACAACATGTGGACATGTCTTCTGTTGGACGTGTATTCGCGATTGGGTACGCGAGAAGCCGGAGTGTCCGCTCTGTCGACAAGAGGTAATACCATCTAAGGTCCTGCCGCTGAGGGGGTGAATTAACTGTACATTCATTATAAACATATCAATGTTCGGTGCAGGGTGTCAATTCGCCCGCGTCTCATCAAGCCTCGATATTATGGCTTCTTGGCAAGGTGACGGGTTGACCGGCTTGTGACATATACCCACTGCTAGTTTTTTGCATGATAATCTCAACATTTCGATTCAAAACGAAATCAATGACACTTGCAAAGTCTCGCTCATATGCGTATACATAGCTTGCTTGACCTGGTAAAAGATGACCGGAAACTGGCAACGCAGTTTCTATAATGCAATGACGCTGAATGCTCCACAAGGGTATTCTCCCAACACAGATCATATCAACAGACTACCTGAAACAATGTAGGACTCCAGGTTCTAGAAATTCACATGGGGCGTACGGAGGGTGTTATTTTAGAAGCATCGTCCTCGGTCTCAAGACACACTGCCGGCTTGATGACCTGAGGTTCAACCGGTTTGTTGTTGGTTGTTTCAACATCAAGCTCTTCTACTAGGCGAATCGGCTGATCCAGCTCAGCATGTGCTGGTAAAGGGGGCATCGGAGTCAAGGCCCTGCGCTTAGCGTCCATAGTATTGAAAAGACACAGACATGCATACGAGTCGGTTGCAGCATCTATAGAGAGATCCATTAGTACTCTCAAAACAAAATCAAGTTCAAGAGAACTCACACTGAACTTGACGGTAGTTTAGTGCAGTGGTCCAATCGCCGCATCGGACGTCATCATCCTTTGCTAGAGGTAGACCGAAGTGCTCTTCGACCTGCTCGCTTAGATTGACAGGTCTTCTGTTGATGAGCGCTGGATCTGACTGGCAGTACTTGACCAACTTGTACAGGTGACTGAGTTCGAAAATCCCACGAACATTGATACCGAGAAAGTTCTTTAGTCGCGTACAGTCCGCCTTAATCGCTACTCCAGCCTTCGTAATTTTTGGTGATTCAAGAATTTTTCGTAGAGAAGGAGAAATAAAGTCTTCCGGTGTTCTCGCGGGTTTGAACAGCGCAATTTGGAAGAGGGCAATCCGCTCCGCATTTGCAATCTGTATCAACGAGACGTTGTTCTGAATGCTGGCAGATCTGCTGGACTGCGGTTTCCATTCCATGTCAAAGCCTATTACATCATCATTCAAGAAGTATTTTGCGACTTCCTCGGTCTTTTTAAGGGACTTGCAATAGTGCACGATGATGTCCTTCCCACTCGGGGCCTTGCGCAGCCTGTGGCTCCAGAACTTGGGGCCCGGAGGAATGGTTAAAGCAAGAGACTGTTGCGCAACCAGAAACTTCTCGCATACTGCCCTCTCGGTCTGTGCTTCATCTCCAGACCTGATGCTCCGTGAGACATCTGCATTGCTGTACGACTGGCATTGGCCGGTATGACCAGAACTATCCTCGTGGTTGGAAGGATTAGCAATTGATTGCGTTATCAGGGCCGTGCTAAACGAGCGTCTTGAGTGTTTGGCGCAGAAGTTCATTCTTAGCCTTCCCGGGCCAGATTCGTCAGGCCGTGTGGAAGGAAATCTGTGATCGCCTCCCGCAGTTTCCCTCGAGAGCGTCGAAAATGCTTGTTCTCGCATGTAGCTTTGCTCTTCATGCCAAAGCCCAGTCAGCCAATGCGAGAACTTCAAGTCGTTCTGCAATCCATTGTACTTCTTGGCAACAGCCCTCGAAGTGGGGGCTAGACGCGTTTGCCGTGACTGCTGGGCCAAGTCGAGACAGATACTAGGAAGGCAGAGGTGCCTTTTTAGGCTTAAGAGCCAAGTGCCTGTTTTGGAATCCGGAGATGCAGCCCAGTATCTGGATATGCATCTCTGAAATTTGAGGTCTGGTGTCCCGAGGCTTCTTGGGAAGCACGTTCCACACAGGCGTGTGGGTGGTATCATGCTGCGCTTTTATCTGCTGGTAATGTACCTGAAGCTAGGACTAGTTAGATCATGGTAGTCCATACGCTTACTATGCGCCAGGCGAGTGTACACCAGTCAGCAAAGCCGTGACCCGAGCTCTCGACGCGATACTCGAAGTGGTCCGACTTGCTTCACTCGAACAGACGAGCGAAGTAACATGACCCTTGTGAGCGATTTACACAGTATCATGCATAGGGTGGCTGATCATCAAGGAAATATCCCCGCAGGGCTCGCTGTAGTTATTAATGAGATAGTCGATCTTTTCATGCCTATGTATTCAGTGGCAGGATTTGTATAGATGTATCTGATCGGAGATTCTCAGGATGAGCGGAGAGGGATCGGCGATAGATGTGATTGGCTGTAATTCGGACCGGATAAACCTGCTCCCTGGCCCTCCAAGATCGTCTGGCGGAAAGCTCAAAGATCCGCTTGAGGCATCATTTTCTATACGACGCATAACACTTGATACTAAATATTCTCTTTACTTTTGAAGGTAAACTTTCAATTGTAAGGGCGCAGCTGTGAGAAGAGCGCGCTAGATTCTGACCACAGAACACTTCGAGCACAATGGCGTCCCAACTCCTTCCTTTGGGTAATCTTCATAACCACGTGCATACATAGACCTTTTGTGATTAACAGTTCGACAGAATTGATCGATAAGTGCGTGGGATCGAGAATCTGGGTTATCATGAAGAGTGACAAAGGTACGCGACTACAGTGGCTGCGACTACTATGTACTGACAAAATAAAGAATTCTCCGGCACATTACTTGGATTCGACGACTACGTCAGTAAGTTATCTCGAGTATCAGTGAGAGTCCTAACAGGTACTAATTTGTTGCAGATATGGTTCTGGAAGATGTGACTGAATTGTAGGTGAATGCTCTCATTCTTGTCAAGCTGGCCTCATACCCCCGCCAGCTCTTCCAGGAAGCCTTCTGTTTTGTTTCTGCGCTTCAATGATGGTGTAAGCGTTAACATAATGTAGCGATTACTCTGGAGCACAGGTCAAGCTTCCTAAGATCCTGCTAAACGGGAACAATATCTGCATGGTATGGACGCCGAAGTCCCTCTCCCGCCATCGATCGCACAATTCTGACGTTGTCTTCTAGTTAATTCCTGGCGGCGAGGGACCAGTTGGCAGCTCCTGATTCTATGATTTCCAATTTTATTTTATTTTATTTTATTTTTTGATCAGTATGATGAACATGACTTGCAAACGGCTGTCACAATGATACTGCATAGAACTTCACCTGAATAGCAAAAGTGTTGCCTTGTGCACAGTTGCAGTCTCACTGCATTCTTCATTCAGTTCATCCCAATGCGACCTCGCATAGGCATGTTCCCCGAGCTTGAGAAGCGACGCTGATACCGCAGAAGATCATGAGTACCGGCCTGGGTACAGTCCATGGTTGCAAGACCCCGCGAGAATCCTGAGTAGAAACAGAGATAGTCTCAATGGGTGGTATAGAAGCAGTACAATCGAAATGTGACGAGATGGAGGAGAGAAGGACGCTCCCATACGAACGTTATTGACTTGGCATTCTCGGCAAGATGCGAGGGGAACAGCTGTGAGTGCAGCGAGAAGCTTTTACAGGCATGAACTCAGAAATAGAAAGTCAATTTCTGGTCTTCAAGCTCGTTGATCAGGAGTCTAGACGGTGGCAGGGGTATGGCTGAAGCCTATGACTATCATGACATCCAATTGAGCTATTTTCGTTAGTCACTTCAAGAACCGCCCCGGAGGAAACCATGACCGTCTGAAGCCGTTGGTTCTTCAACGAGCGGAGACTGGCCCGCATGATTGACAATCGTTGAGAATGGGGAACACTAGTCGCTTAGATGCGGAAAACCTGGGGTAAATCTTCCCCGTATTCTTCTTGATGTAAACCATGATTTGTAGAGTATGGGGTAAAAAGTACGGACTTGATGGCTCCAAGTCTAGTCCGACGAATAGCATGTCCTCGAATACCGGTCGTCTCGTCAGTACGGGGTGGATCGCTCGCGGATATTTTGGGGAGACTCCATCCGCTGCTTCGATCGCTCGCAGTCGGTTGGCAGCGGAATCTTTCTTGAACTCTGTGCAAACAGGCTGGTTGGACAAGATCATTTTTGAAGTGATTTCCACTCATTTCAGCCGGTGAGCCTTGCTGTGCTCGGTTCTCTGCCCCAGATATTTCCCCAGATCACAGAGTGGAATCTATTACATAACAGGTTCCGCTATTCCCCGCGTTTGCACAGCGAGACGGGGGCGAAGCGGCAACATCCAAGGATGTCCGGAGATTCAAAGAGCGGTTTATGAGACAACTCCCACCGCGTCTATTATTCGTACTCCAATCATTGATCCGGAGTGGTTAAGGGGAGGAAAGAGAAGGGGACGGAAGCCAGCAATACCCCATCATATGACACTGAAGTCCATATCATTGGAGACAGGGATATATCATTGCGCGATTTTGGTCGGTTGAACTTGTTTTCGGCGGGAGACTGATGCCCGTTGCCGGTCGAGTCCCGGTCGTGCGTCCAATCCCAAATCGTTGCGTTTCAACTACGATCTCTACTCATTTTGTAGACACAGAGTCACTCGATTCGGTAATAGAAATTAAATGTTATGTCAATATAGCGTATCACTATTAGGTTGGCCCGTGCAGAAAACCACGACATTTGTGTAACATTTTTTTTTTGGCTTTTTCGATGCCACGAGGATCCTGTGTTCCCTTTAAGGCTAATGTACTCACGGTGAGAGCCATACGACATATTGATCTCGTCACGTGAACGAAGTTTCTCATCTTATCCTGTGAAAAAGCAAAATGCGAGGAGTCCAAAACACCCTGCTGATGGCGAGGGATAATTGGATTTCTGGAAACTTGGGGCGTGGAACTAACTTTTGTTCTTCTGGAATCCAGAAGCGCCCCAAAGGCTAATGGCTACGCCATCTGCGCGCGATGTTACCGTAGCCGGTTCATCAGCCATCTTCGTCAGCAGGAGTCAGCCACTAAGGCTTGGTAATTCCTTCAGTCCTACAGAGTACAGTGAATTTGCTTGCCACACAAAGAAGAATTTTTAATTACTATTATGGTCCTGGCAGACAAGGAGAGCCCTTTGAAGAAAATTTGAACCAAAGTAGGGCACCGTAGACCATCGAATCGAAAGGTAAGAAATGAACTTCATCTAGCGTATGATTTCGAGGAGTGGTGAGTAGTCAAAGTACTCGGGAAGACTTGGCTGAGGGAGGAAAAAGTAGCCGTGGTCTGCTTGTGTGGTACTCTGGGCCTCGGTCACTACTCACCAGCATATGCGTGATCAATCGCACAGACAGGACAGTAATGAGGCCAAATGCCCAGTTAGTGGCCAAGGAAAATAAATTATCCTAGCATTTATCTATCAGTACGTATTCGTGAATGGTAAGGTGCTGACAGGGCAATAGTGACCTGGGCTGCATAAGAAAGATTTGGGCAACAGGCTGAAATGCAAGATGGCCGACGGATTCCGAAGCGATCGCATCTTACTTTGTAGGTACCAGTCGATAGAACAGTGCCACCGAAAATACGTATCACTATTCCTGCAATTCAGGCGTTCCTGGACTTTCGATCGTACCTGAATTGAACGCGTCGAAGCCCTCGCCTTCAGAACTTTGAGGAAGGTGACTGAATATCAGAACACGCTGATTATGTGCCAGATTGGGCATAGAGGTCAAGCGCCGGTGAGGACGATGGCATCTGCGCCTGCCACTTCAAGGATTACTGCGCTTCCGTGCATCTGGAGATCCCCTAACACGGTTGAGACAGACGAGTAGGAAGCTCTCTTCAGGTGTAGCGTTGTGGCTCTCTAAGTTCTGCGTAGTTATGGTAAGTTTGGCAACAGCCAGCCAGGTACATGATCGGGGATATGGTTTTCGGGAAGTAAGCACTGTCAAGTTATCAGCCTTCTTCCCTCGACCTTCCAGAAGCAAAGTAGCGACTTCACCACAGTATGATATAAATCATCGAAACACAAACAATCCCTTATCTGCGTGGTGTTCGGTCGCGCGGTCCCGTGCATATCAGGATCATCAGCTTACTGTAGGTTTCAGATGTAAGGAGTAATACCTAGGCAAGTGTTATCTATGGGGCTGCCAATGGAATTTTTGATTGGTTATTGGAGGATATCGCGTGGAAGAAGTGGTGCGGAGACTAATTCCTAATGAGGATTAGCGGGTTTCACCTCTCAAAGCGACGACGGCTTGTCCGGTGAGCCCCACCCCTCCTTTTCTGCTCTGGCCTCCAGAAGGGCAGGAGGCCAAGGAATCCATGCCTTATCGCCCTCATTAACCATGGACTCATGGTTCACAAATCACAAGCGATGTCGCCACCATCCCAGCGAATGGCACAGTAAGGTAGAGAATCGAGACAGCCTATTGTGTTGGCAATCGACCATTCGCCCCAAAGTCATTCGCCATGTAGAGCCCTGTATAAGCGAAGAAGTACTAAGGTAGTATTCTCTTATCCTTGGCGGTCTGCGGTTTCCTTGGTATAGGAAATGTCATGTCTGCAAACGGAATATCTCCTCAGTCGTCCAGATTAGTGGTTACAACAGTCCATTACCAATGCCGTGATAAGAGCCCTTTGTAACAGAGCTGTTTGATAGCAGAGCGCTCCAGGCTATCTATGGTTATGCATAGATAAGTAGTATGGAGTCTCTAGGCCAACTTAGCAAGTCGGTGGTTTCAACTCCACAAATGGATGGATCCTCACCAATCTGGAGAGGCACCATGAGCAGCTCAACTGCTCGAGTCTCAGGTTGTCCGCGATCGCGGCTCGCAGGATATATGATACCAAGAAACTTGCCCAACCCCAACTCCAAGCTGGCCACTAGCCAGTGCCCCATAGACTCTCTAACCCGAAGCGGTAGTGCGGTACAGCCACTAACTCCATGTGGAACCTCTGTTAAATCAAGCGACTATCTAGAATCCTAGATACATGGAAGCTGAACCCAACCTGTTACCTAGGCAGAGGACGTTGTATTGCATTAGCATCCTCTTATATTTAATTCGATGTTATCTTTCTTGTGTGCATGGATCATGCAATCATGCTGTTCTCTCCCTTTTTACGCCACTTTTTCCGTACTTCCCTGGAATCACCAGATTGCAATGGCGTTGGTCTACTCTGGATATCGTACAGAAGGGTGGATGATAACAGATGGTTTCTGGTTAGGTTCAGGGGTTATTCTAAGATTCTAACCACGACGATAGGATATTTAGAAAGAAATCTGTATTATTATCATGATTATTATTATTATCTGACTAGCTTGATGCAAGATGCGGCTGGTCTAGTTTTGAGTTGAAATGGCTCGTGGTCTGTCATTATTCCCGCAGTCAGTTCAGTGAGTCCACTGGTCAATAATAATAATTTCAAACTTGTCCAGGATGGATGGCAAAAATCAAGGGTCATCGTAAATAATAATAATAATAATAATCAAAATCATTAAATAATAAACTACTAAAGCAAAGTCTAATTGGATCTAGTCTACCCCGGGCCCGGCCAATTTCGCTGTTTTTAACTTCCCCCGTCCTAGGGAACAGCACGCCAAAGCGTAAGCTGTCGGCCAGTAAGCCCAACCACAGATATCCCGACTCTTGGTATCTATCTATCTGTGTGGCGCCTGGGTGAGGGGACCTTTCCTTTGCTGCGAAAGCGTTCTTCGTATCTGGACACTAAAGAGGCAAAAATGATTATTGTCTTTGAGACTAGTCTACCTAACCTAGTGAGAATGTGATCATCCCATAGACAGCCCTCGTTTTCAATTATTTATACCGACCCATCTGCCTCTCCCTCGTCATTCACTCAGACTAAATAGTCTGTCTGCATTGAACGCTAGACAGTACATTCCTAGTCTCCATCTTGTATCAATCTACTCACCTCACTCCTTTTCACTTATCCTACCCCTTCATGTCACATTTATCTTCGCTTCATTAACGACTACACAATCATGGAGAAAGATTCTATTGAACCTAAGGCGGAGCCTATGGTGTCCGACCCTCCCCCAATCTATGGTGAAACAGAGACTACCAAAGGAAGCATGAGTCAGCGGATATGGGACAGCTTCAAGAGGGACCCTAACGCGCATGTTACGGCGCACACCTCTGGATCGAATGGCGGGACATTTGACCTCGAACAGGCTGCGCAGAAGACCGCAAACTCTCCTCTGCAACGCAGTCTGAAGAACCGTCATCTGCAGATGATTGCCATTGGTGGTTCCATTGGTATGGACTGGCGCTCGGAATCCCGCACATTGCTTTGATGATCCTTGCTAATCTAGTCTTTTCACACAGGTACTGGTCTCTTCGTCGGTTCTGGAAAGGTTTTGTCCACCGGTGGTCCGGCATCTGTGCTGATTGCTTATGCCTTGATCGGTTGCATGCTTTACTGCACTGTGCATGCGCTGGGTGAAATGGCCGTGCTGTTTCCCGTCGCTGGTTCTTTCGCGCACTACTCAACCCGTTTTATCGATCCTGCTTGGGGTTTCGCTATGGGTTGGAACTATGCTCTCCAATGGCTGATCGTCTTGCCCCTGGAAATTGTCGCTGCGTCTATCACAGTTGATTACTGGGAGTCGAGCATCTCGAATGCCGCTTGGGTCGCCATATTCTGGGCTGTCATCGTGGCAATCAACCTGTTCGGTGTCAAGGGTTATGGTGAAGCCGAATTTGTCTTCTCGCTCGTCAAGGTCATCGCGGTTATTGGTTTCATGTGAGTAATCTCGCAACATCCCTTTCGAGCTGCGCCCGACTGACAAAAAATAGTATACTTGGTATTATTCTGAACTGCGGTGGAGGCCCAAGGGTGGCTATATCGGTGGAAAGTACTGGCACTCGCCGGGTGCCTTCCACAATGGTTTCAAAGGTCTCTGCAGCGTCTTCGTCAACGCTGCATTTGCGTTCGCTGGTACTGAGTTGGTCGGTCTCGCTGCGGCTGAGACTGCGAATCCTCGCAAGTCCCTTCCAACTGCCGTCAAGCAGGTTTTCTGGCGTATCTGTCTGTTCTACATCGTCTCACTCACTCTGGTTGGCCTGCTCGTTCCGTACGACGACAAGCGGCTCTTGGGCGAGTCGAGCGCGGATGCCAAAGCCTCCCCGTTCGTCATTGCGATCAAGAATGCCGGAATTTCGGGTCTTGACTCCGTTATGAACGTCGTCATCATGATTGCTGTCTTGTCCGTTGGTAACTCCTCGGTTTACGGCTCCTCGCGTACCCTCGCGGCTCTGGCCGAGCAGAGGCAAGCACCTCAGTTCCTCGCGTACATCGATCGTAAGGGACGTCCTCTTTTTGCCATTCTTGTCGCATCGGCCCTGGGCTTGCTCGGATTCCTCGCCGCATCTAGCAAGCAGGGTGATGCGTTCACGTGGATGATGGCTATCTCGGGTCTTTCGTCCATCTTCACCTGGGGCTCCGTTTGTTTCGCCCACATCCGCTTCCGTAAAGCCTGGAAGGTGCAGGGCCACAGCTTGAACGAGCTCGCTTTCCAGTCTCAGGCGGGTCTTGTCGGCTCCTGGATCGGGTTTATCTTCAATCTTCTTGTGCTGGTTGCCCAGTTCTGGGTCGGCTTTTCACCTATCGGTTACAGCGACATGACTACAGGCGAGCTGGTCGAGAGCTGGTTTTCCGTCTACCTGGCCGCGCCTGTTGTTCTTGTTTTCTACGTCGCTTACAAGTTCTATTACAAGACGCCCTTCCTGCGTGCTAAAGACATGGACTTGCACACTGGTCGTCGGGAGTTGGATATCCAGCATCTGATTGAGGAGGAACGTGCTGAACAGGCCGCTTGGCCTGTATGGAAGAAGGTTTATAAGACCTTCTGCTAGAGATGATGTGTAGTTCATAGAAGCTCTCTTCTCTGAGACACGCGTGACGTTCTTGCGGTGTTTTTAATTTTCATTTCAGTTTCTGTACATTCATGATGTCACTCTATCTCGGCTTTGACAGCCTCAATCCATGACTGTGTATCGGGAAAATAAATCCGATATTGCAGATCAATCCAATCATCAAGGAATTATTGCTTTACTGAATCATGCAAATCTAGATACGTTGTCCAATCCATGTCACAGCAAGCTGTATTCCACGACCACCGGTTGAGCATTGTTAGGACGGACAATGCGTCTGCCTAAGGCAATAAAGCGTCGTAATGGCTTTACTGAGAAGGAAACCGCTAAGATTGGTGGCTATTACTGCGTACTGTAAGGTTTGGTATCATATCAGCCACAAATGTTCTCCCACGATGTTAAGTGTTGTAATCTTTCGACCTGCCACGCCAACGTACCTCTCTAACATACCCAAAAATAGGGACTTCAGCTAAAGTCCAGGAGAAAACAACGTGGTGGCTGGAGCCCAAACCCGCGTAATTTTACCGTAGCTTAATTACATGACGGCAGTCCAAACGGCCAACCCAGACTCTTTTTAGAATCTCGGGCCAGCGAGACAAACTCATTAATCTCTGTATTGTTGTCCACTCCATGTTGCTGTTGTCGTCGCGTTCAGAGGACGGGTTGTACAATTGAACTTTCTTTAACTTCAATTTCGTTGGCAATGTTCTTTTTCGCTTTCGTCTAGCTCTCACTCCTGCTAAACGCCCGCTCTGGTCGATCGTTAGGCGCCCTCATATACATTCTCCCCAAGCCCATGCCTGCTCGCAGCCGATTTGTTCTACCCTGGGATTTGCAAGTGCGATAAAAAGAAGCGGTTCGGAAGAGTCTGGTCACTCATCACCCCTTTCGCATTTTGAGTAGTCCTTTCTGCTCTCGAGGCTGTCTCGGGAGTATCTCAGCGTGTGGTTGTGTGAAGTTTCGGGCACGGCACAAGTCATTCTTTCCTTCGGCCTTCCGTCTACCTCGAGATACCCCGCGCGGCAGTCGCTCTAATCTCGCTTGATAAACATTTCCACAAGCTACCCGGGCCAGTGCTGCAGTGGACACCTTGGGGAACGAAAAATGCCTGGTTTCGCGGATTCATTTTGGACACCGGACTATGCTACCGGTCTTGGGGTGCTGTATGGGAAACTCCAACAGGGTGTCGTCGAAAACAGGCAGATTCTCACTATTGCGAGCTTGCGAGCGGATGCGGAGGAGCAGTATGGTCTCAAGCTAGGGGAAATCGCGCCCAACGTTGATCGCATGACAGCAGGGTTTGCGAAAGATGATGGGGCCAGCGTGAGAAAGGTAGGTTGTTCTTCGCCCTTTCGAAGGAGGCTCACTTGCTGATCGTATGCGTTCTCAGGCGTATGAAGGTGTTCGCTCGGAAATGATTGAGGCCTCCAAAAACCATCAAAAGATTGCGTCGAACATCCGTGAACTCGTCGTTTCCCCCTTCAGACGATGGTGTGACCAGCACGAGGCTCGAATTCAGAACTCCCATGATGATCTTCAGGCCCGGATTAAGGAGCATACCAAGCAGGTGGAACTTACCAAGAAGCTACGGAGCCACTACTTCAACAAGTGCCGGGTGGTAGAGGATCTGGAAGAAGAAAACAAGTTGGCTTTCCAGGACCCTGAGACCAGCCCCAAGGCCAAGACGACACCCAAGATTGTTCTGCCGGAAGAACAAGCAGAGGAGGAGGAGCCGATCGAGCTGGGAGATCGAGTCTACGCCCCCGAGGACCTCAAGAAGCTCCTGATACACATGCTTGATAATCTCAAGGTTGGGGAGGTCAAAGTGCCTATCATTGGAACTTATCAGAATACATCCAACGGTGCTGATATCGTGGAGTATATTCAAAAGTACATGAATGGAACCAGCATCAGCTATGCCGAGAGAATCGGTCAGGATCTTGTCGATAATGGATTTCTGCGCCTGGTGGGCAATATAGGCAGCACTTTCGCCAACAGCTCCAAGATGAACTATCAATGGCGCCCAAAAGTCTTTCAAATCACGGGAATTCCCGAGAAAAAGAAGCCTCTGATGCGCGTGATGTCGATTGCGTCCAGTGAAGACGGCAGTGAATCACCGATTGCTTCCGTATCAGAGATGCTCGCGGGCTGGAATCCTCTCAACAACCCACACCCGAACGAGACTCCAGCTGATAAGCTACGAAGGGAGGCGCGCGAAGCCGATGAACGGTACAGAGCCGCTGTGCGGAAACTGGATCAGATCAGATGTAAGCTCGAAGAAGAAATTGTGGAGAATCTCCGCTTCATGGAGCAGTGTGAGCTGGATCGTCTCAAAGCGATCAAGGCGGTCGTTCTCGACTTCTCGGGTGCCATCAGCAACGTCATTCCAAACTTGCAAAGCACCGTCGATCACATGATGCTCTATCAAGAGACAATTCGGCCGCTGGGAGATCTACGCTATCTGCTGGAAAATTATCGTACAGGCGGTTTTGTGCCACGGGTCCAAGCCTATGAGAATTATTACGGATCCGTCGAAGGTACGGTTACATCCCGATAGGCTTATATCGTGTGTACTACGGTTTCTCACTCTTGCAGAACAAAATTTCGGGGTCGATCTTGAGGCTAGAGCTCGAGCTGATCGGAAGAGAGTTCCAATTCTTGTGACGACTCTACTGACGTACTTGGACAATCGTAGGCCAACGGTATCCCTTTCTCCTGCCCAAGTACATTTGAGCTAACCAATCTTCTCAGATTATCCCGAACTCGAAGGTGATGAAGCGCGCCGTGCGATCTGGCTATATGATGTTCCTTTGGCCGCAACGCATCACCTTCGCAATGCATTGAATAACAGCAAAGCGGATTACAACGAAATCCTTCAGAAATACGATATACCCATTGTCGCGAGCGTGTTGAAATTGTACCTTCTTGAACTACCAGGTCCGTATCAAGAAATGGTGGAGGTGTTCTAGCTCATCGACCTAATTTCTTACTAGATTCCCTTGTTTCTTCGCAAGTTTATGAGATTGTCAAGACTATTTATTCAACTACCGCTCATGAAACGACGGAAGACGGACGGATCAAAGTTCTGCAAAGCACCCTTGGTCAGCTTCGTCTCAACAACATCGCTACACTTGACGCCATCATGACCCATTTCACGCGCCTTATAGACCTAACATCTGCCGACGAGGCATATATCTCCGCATTGGCGCAAACACTGGCTCCCTGCATCCTCCGCCCTCGTGTTGAGAACAGCCTTACAATGAATGAACGTCACAACTACCGTCTTATTCGTGACCTCTTCGCTCACAAGGATGCTATCTTCGGCGAGCTGAAACGTCAATCGAGCGTGCTTGGATTAGGCTCAACATCCAATCGCCCACGTGCCATTAGCACAGATGAGAGCAATCGCCGTGCTGCAATGGAGGCAAGGAACCGTGCTATCGTAGACCGCAGTCGTGCCAATAGCCCCGCTCCTCCCCGCAAGCATCGGCGAGACCGCTCCAGTGGTGCTTCGGAGGCTGGACGGTTTCCAATCCACGTCACCAGCCCGACCGAAAGGAAAGCAGCCACGAGGAGCAGTTTGGAAGTCCCGGCCAACGCTGAAGCTCCCACAACAGGAGAGCAATTCACAAACGTGAACATCCAGACCAACGATAGCGCCCCTAATGGCACATCAAGCGACTCCCCAGCCTCTGCCGATGCCGGAGAGAATGCCTCCTCGGAATCATCTAGTCCTCCGCCTGCAGGTAACTCTGACGGCTCTCCGACTCCTACTCCCACGCCCGGCTATGTGACAGCTCCAGGCGAGCCGGAAAAGCGTAGCTCGATTCCACGCTCTGGCGCTATGTTCAACCGCAAACCCGGTCTCGGCAACCGATCCAGCTTCCCCGCGGTTGCAAGCGCGGAATCAGAACCGGACAGCAAGCGGAACAGCCTTGCTGAAAGCGAACCCAAGGGTGTGACCTTGGAGGATAAACCTATGGATGATTAGACGTTCAGGACATCGATGTCTTCATGCTGTCAACGCTGTCATGATCAAATTCGAGCGAGGCTTGAGTTTACCCTGCAGACTAAGGTTAGATCATATGAACATCACCGCTCGAGCTTTCGGCAGGTCTTGTTAGTCGAGCTGGCGATGGGACTGCTTTCTGATTCTCTGATTTCTTTTCCAATGTTCTCTGTATTCATGCATACAGCCCTTTTTCCCCTAACACATACCCATTTCATCATGTATCTTTATCATGTCTATCCAGAGACACTTCTGTCGTCATTCCTTCCGTTATTACTTTTGTTCTTTCCCTTGAAACTACTTTTCAAATCGTGTTGTACTTATCGAGAGCGATTGTGGATCTTGTTATATAGTATTTCTCTTTTCATCAGGCCATACTCTACTCGTAGAAGTCCGCGGAGTGTCATCTTGTAAAATCATGATCTTGGTCGACTCTTTCGCTGTAACCATATATTGGTGTCTAATAAAGGAGCGCCCAGCCCAAAGTTCTCGAGTTATGCTTGTTTTTTGACCCAACCAACAATCCTAGACGCCCAAACAGAATGCTAATAAATCAGCGCTCAAAAGTCCCCAACATTGCATATGTCCTTCAGTGCCTCTGGGCCTGAGGCTGATGGGATTACAGGCCTTCACCCATGAGTAACCTTCTGAGAATGCCTTCTCCCGGACCAGCAATCTGGCTCTCGATTTCCTTCTGTGAAACAAAGCAAACAAGGCCTTGCTCATCCATTCCTTTCCTTGGAGTCATCGGCCCACAGCCCGACTTTGAGGGAGTGCGTCTGATATCAGAGCCGCCAGAAACTGTTCCACCTCGGCCTCGGCCCTGGAATTCGCCGACGAGGCCTAACGTCTCCAAATTACTGATGACATCCTTGAATTCAGTAGCCGTCAGGGGATGGAGGATATTGTCTTTTCGACACAGCGTGCAATAAGTATCAAAGATCTGTTTAATAGTAGGCGCCGACATCTTGGTTTTAGACGGCGTGCCAGGGATATCACTCTCGCGCCGTTTCCGGTCCAGGGCAAGGAGAGAGCAGAGAGCCGCTTTCTGTTGTAGATTGAGCGCCTGAAGCCGTTGGACGGTTCCTTGTCCAAAGGCAGATGAAGTAATGCGAGCTATATGTCCGATGCTTGCGCGTGGTGCCGTAAGGATAGTATATGTTGAGGTGGGGTTGTGCTTGGATATCGAAGTTCTGGCCGGCGATGAGAGGTTGTTATTCTCAACCAGGATGGTTTTGGAGGCGCCATCGACACTCGAGCTCTGCTTCTCCAGCTTTTGTAGCGTCTCTTGCTCAATAAGATCAATGGCAGATTTGACAAGTTCGAACGCTTTTCGCAGGTCACCGGTCTGGGATGCAACTTTCTTTGCGCACAGCTGTATAGCGGCAGGCTGAACAAAAGGCACAAAATTCGGTTCCACATCCTGATCAGGAGGAAGCAAAGACCGGAGGCGGTTGGTGATAACGTTCGCGATTTGGCTAGCATTGTAAGGTAAAAAAGGTAGGAGGCAAGGCTTCAAGTTCTTCGCCTTCAATTGTGGCAATGAGCGATCGGTCAGATCAAGCGCATTGGCGATTCCGATGAGTAACAGACGCGACTTGTTGTTCAGAGACCATTCAAACAAGGACTGTAGAACTCCAGCATCCGCGGTGAGCAGGTGGTCGATCTCGTCCAAGGTGACCAAGAACAGACCACCATGTTTCCTGTCAGGAAGGAACATGGCTTTTAGCCTATCGACATCGCTCTTCCTGAACACCTGACCGTCGTCACCGAGATCCTCAATGAGCTTCGAGTATACGTCTCGGGGTCCTCGCATACTGGCGCAATTGATATGCGCTACCTGAACAGTGTCGAGTCCCAGCCCGTTGCATACCTCTCGGACCATAGCACTCTTGCCAGTACCTGGGGGCCCGCTGACATACAGACAACCGCCCTCCCTTGAGGTAATGCGTTCCTGGATAAATGAGGTCAGCTTTTCACGCTCAGCGTCCCGTCCAACCAATCGACCGGAAGTTGCCCCTCGCGCGAATAGCTGCCTAGCAGCCGTATAAATAGTTTGAGAAGATGATGGGCTCGATATCTGGCGAGGTGTGCGCGGAGTCATCGACTTGCCACCAACCTGCACTCTGTGCTTCGGGGTGACTGGCGGCGATTCGAAGGCGTCTCGGTATCTGGACTTTGAAGGGGTTTTGAACTCGACGGGTTTTGTATTTTCATCTGCTGTCGTCAGTACCAACTCATCATAAATCCGCTTATAGCCTACCATTGACCACTTCTGAAGTCCGAGGTTCGGGACCGATCTTCGAGGGGGATGCGATCTTAGTGACCCGTACAACATGCTTGGTCTTGTCGGTCGTGACAAGCGTGACCTTAATGCTAGAGTCATTTTCTTGATTCGAGTATGTGCTATTCCGTGTTCGTGATCGCAGCTGGCGCGTTGACGATGCAGAAGGCTCGTTCACTTCCGGCAGGATGAGAGGTGGTTGCGTACGGCGCCTGCTAGAATTACGCAGCGGCAATGTCGATGCTGATATCAACACTGTCAGTATATGAACTTGAGGCAGACTGGGTGGCTATCTGCCTATCGTACCTTCTGTCTCAATGGCACCTCGTTGGCGCTTGCCTAGGACCGAGACGGCCATTACCAGGTACGCTGGATAATATGTTGTATTTTCGGAAAGAGCTAGGTTGAATGAGAGTTGATGAAGTAAGTGCAAGAGCCTTCCAATAGATATACGCTTGCCATGTGCCTGCAGCAATGCATTCACTTTGAAGGGTTGGGGTCGGGAGCTTCATCCAAAAGAGGCATGATTCCTTTTCAACGCGACATCTTTCACGCGTCTCCTACTGACACGCGTCGCGCGTCTAAGCGCCCTTGAAAAAAGGCATAGTAGCCGAGTGTCACGTGCTGCATATTAGACGGCAACTTGGCCGGAATTACCATTATTAATACCGAGCTTTACACACGAAACGGTAAGGTAACCAAAGAATATCTTACGCCAACGGTGAATCAGACCGCCCGCGGCCACGGGCAAGTGCGTCACTGTTGAGTGGATGATCGAAGACGGGGAAGTACTCAATGCTTTAAGACTAGAAGTTTCATTCCTTCCAAACTAGTTCCTATCACATCAGCGTTTCTTTCTTCTTTTCAGGTACCTGTCGATGAATCGGGCCCGGCTGCATATATTCACTTTCTTCTGAAGTAATTCCAAGAGACGTCGCATATCCGAGCCGTGCTCATCATTCATCTCGAAGTCTATGTATGGTTTGCAACTGTTTGCATCGATTTACCTTTCAACGGAGAACCATCGCCCATTGTCCTGCACTGGAGACTGAAGTCGCTCACATCGCCCTTCTTCCCTTCCTTACCTCTACTACCTTCAGCTTCACTCTTCCATCATGGAAAGCGACGTGGTTGCTCAGTTCACAGAGATCACCGGCTCGAACCCTTCGCTGGCGACTCAGTATTTGCAGCTGGCCGACTTCAATATTGAGCAGGCCATGCAACTCTATTTTGAGAATGGAGGTGCGCCTTTGACTGAGGAACCGGTTCCATCAGCCACTGGGCCTGGTCCATCGCGCCCTACTGGGTACGAGGACAACTCCGGTGTCGTACACATTGATTCCGATGATGATATTGCCATCGATGAAGCCCGTTCTGCGCCTCGAGCACGGCAGCCAGAGGGGTTGACGTTTGAGGATGATGAAGCTATGGCCCGTCGTTTACAAGAAGAAATGTACCGTGACGGAAGAGATAGTTCAGATGGTGTCAGAGCTCCTATAGCCCGCACAACGGAAACGCTCGTGGGGCCGGAGGCGGACTTCGACGACGGTGACATGCATGCGAGTATTTTGGGCCAGTTACGTGCGCGCCAGCAAAGAAGCAGTCAGTTTCCCCACAAATTCTCCATTGTCCCTACCGATACTCTTTCCGCAGCTTTCTAACTTTGTTATCTGCACTTAGGTCGACCTGGTATATTCAATCAAAGGGACACGGCAGAAATTTGGGCTGGTGGTGATGAAAGCTCGCATCGCGAAAGACTTGCTGCGGCTACAGGCGGAGCATCTGAAGCTTCTAGCAAACAAAACATGCTAGCAGAGATGTACCGGCCCCCGTTTGATATCATGTCACGGTTGCCTTGGGATCTCGCACGGCAGGAGGGTCGTGAAAACGAGAAGTGGCTGCTTGTCAACATACAGGATCAGTCCATATTCGACTGTCAAGTATTGAACAGAGACTTGTGGAAAGATCCCGGAGTCAAGGAAACTGTCAAAGAACATTTCATTTTTTTGCAGTATTCCAAGGATGATTCACGTGCGACGCCTTATCTGCAATACTATTTTCAAGCGAGTGATGTCTCTGAGAACTACCCCCATATAGCCATCGTTGATCCTCGGACGGGCGAGCAAATGAAAGTTTGGTCCGGGCCACCTGTGGTCAAGCCTGCGGAATTTCTCATGCAGCTTCATGAATTCCTCGACCGTTACAGTCTCAAGCATAACGTGCGAAACCCAGTGGCGAAGCGAAAACCCGAAAAGAAGGGGAAGAGCATCGACACGATGACCGAGGAAGAAATGCTGGAAATGGCCATGAGAAATAGCTTGGGAGACGGGGTAGCACAAACTCACAGAGTGGTGGATCCGGACGATTTGACCCGCAGTACTGAAGACGTCAAGGGCAAAGGCAAGGCCGCTCCTACTGATGATGTCCTTATGGGTGAAGACGATCTTGCCGAGGAGCCAGTGGAAGAAGCATCTTCACTGTTCTGGTCCATTCCGGATGACCGGCCACATACTGAGCCACCAGCCGATCCTGCTACTACTACACGTATTCAATTTCGCCATCCGTCCGGAAGGGTCATTCGTCGCTTTGCTCTGGTCGATCCTGTCAGAAGGATTTACGAATGGCTCAAAGCTGACCCCCCTTACCGGAAAAGGCAGGGGTTGAGTTTGAGCTCAATTCAATGGGCCGCAATCTAATCGATTCACTCGATTCGAGCATTGAGGAGGCAGGCCTCAAGAACGGAACGGTCATGATAGGATACCTTGAAGACCTATAGACCCGAGATTGATCCATCACATACCACAGCTCTCATTTTAGAGGCGTTGCGACTGGAATTTGGCCATTTGAGCTGGTGATAGAAACAGTTGGCCTTTGTCCATTCTACTACTGGCTTCTACATTGGCATATTACAAACATATTATCTCTCTTCTATACTGACTGGATTTGTCCATTCTGCTATGATCATGATCTTATCTGAACACATGTTGCATGACATGTGGCTTTGATGACTGCATCTTTAACGTTGATGTCACTATAGATGTGCGACCATTTTTCTTGATAGGAATGAAACTTGATCTTATGATGAATGCGCCCTGCCTTGTAGTCTAAACTGTCTTATCCAGCCTTAATCATTCACCTTTGTATGCTTGTTATCTGAAACAAGTTCACCGCCTAACTGATCTGTCCTGGACCAAATGCGGAGATAGACCTCACCGCCTGGCAAAATGAACCCCGCGCTGCTCCAATCAACGGACTGTTTCTCTGTTGTTGTTGTCTTGTTGTTGCCGCCAGAGACGCAAGGGTAATCCCACATTCACTTAACTAGAACTAAGACATCTTCAGAGTCTGGTTTAGCTTCACTGTCCTACGCAATATCCTGAATCTAGGGCTAGTGGGAAGCAAGGATTAAAGGCATTCGCCCTGTTTGCCGGTGCCTGTATAGTCCCCTCAGAGCACGCAGCTGGTTGGAATCCGCAGAAGGGACAAGGGATCTCATTGAGAGTCAGACGATCCTTGGTGTAGTAATGTGCTCAGGCATGATAGAGACAGACAGGTTACTAACCTCGCTGACAGCGAAATTCCTTTGATTGATATTAACGATTCCTCTGATGGCACGGCTGCTCCCCTCGATTCGCAAATCACGCACCTAGCCTGTTCGAGGCGATTGGTATGTATTTGACTCTCAGTGAATGATGTATCTCCCCAGGCTTTTTGTGGTGAACGGGGCCCTTGATACAGATGCTTATTATTTCATTGCGCTCGATCTCATTCGGCAGGCGAGTGATTGACACCTGCTTTGTGAACTGGCTGATCGTTGGTCATCAGTTACAGGGTCTCACCAAGAGCTTATATTCTTCTCGTAATCGGCTGCTCATAGTTCTGCAAAAATGGAGGGCATGGTGGATCCTGAGACCATTTACATGAGGCAAAACTGCATTGGTGCGTATCAGTCCCTAGTATATCGGACTTTATTGATCGGGGCCGCTTTTGCTAACGTTGATGTTGCCGAAGGTGGTGGGAGCTTTGGACGAGTTTACAAAGGGTATGCTGCCGTGCCCCATTTTCTACCTGATCATCGAATTAGCTGACTATGTTCGTCTTTTTGCAATTAAGGGTCGATAAACGTACCGGCAATTCTGTCGCTATCAAGGTCATTGATGTCGAAAATGCTGAAGACGAAGTCGAAGATATTATCCAGGAAATTGCCATCTTGTCCGAACTCAACTCTCCACATGTTACGAAGTATCATGGCTCTTTTCTCAAGGGTTCTCATCTGTGGATTGTCATGGAATTTTGTTCGGGGGTAGTTGCAGCGATCTTCTTCGCCCGGGGCCAATTCCGGAGGACTATATCATGATAATCATGCGAGAGTTGCTTCGTGGCCTGGATTATCTGCATACTGATAAGAAATTGCATCGCGACGTCAAAGGTACATTGCGATCTTCATTCGAGACTCAATAGGGAAGCTGACAATCCGGACAGCTGCAAATATCCTTCTCACTTCCAACGGACAGGTGAAGCTGGCGGATTTTGGTGTTTCTAGCCAGCTCTCAGCAACTATGACAAAGAAGAACACCTTCGTGGGGACCCCTTTCTGGATGGCCCCAGAGGTCATCAAACAGTCGGGGTATGATTATAAAGCTGACATTTGGTCTCTGGGAATCACTGCCATAGAGTTGGCGCAGGGAGAACCACCTTACTCCGACATCCATCCGATGAAGGTCTTGTTCTTGATTCCCAAGAATCCTCCTCCCACGCTTCAGGGACCTTTCAGCAAAACGTTCAAGAACTTTGTCGAGCTCTGTTTGCGGCGCGACCCCAGGGAAAGGCCGTCGGCCAAGGAGTTACTCGAGCACCCGTTTGTCAAGCGAGCAAGACGAACGACTTATCTGACGGAGTTGATCGAGCGCTATGAAGGATGGCAGATACGTAAAGGCGTTCAAAATGGCGGCATGGATGAGGACTGCGTACAAGATCTCCCGTCGGATGACAAAGATCGCGAACATGAGGAAGACCTCTGGGACTTTGGCACTGTGCGCCCTGTAGGACGCACAACAGCTAGGGACCCGATGAAGGAGGCCGATACAAATACCAGGAACCACAATACCACGGCCTGGAATTTCCAAGACAAGCCACACGAGGGGGTCATGAAATCAAGCCGTCCTCAACCCGACTCCCCAAAGAAAAGGAGCTCGTTCATTGCAGCTAGTGCATCTCCCACAAAGGTTCCGCTGCCACCGTCGCCTGTCAAACATCCATTTTTAGAAGTCAGCCCACCTAGAACACCTACACGTTCTCAGAGGCCTGTTGCCGGGCAACCTACGGAGAGCCCTAGCACAAGCGAGTACAACAGGGCCCTACAACAATCTTTAGCGCAGGACTCTGTGTTTCTCCAACTCGATCTCTCACCCAGCAGCTCTTCGGGTCCATCGAAAAACGGACACGTCGTCCCGACTCCAACTGCCCAAACACCCTATCCCTCGCAGGATTCAACTCAAATCTCCCCTTCTCGCACCGAGCGGAAGCCGACTGCATCAGAAGCTCAATCTCAACCTCATACACATTTACCTTCGCATTCACGTCCTCCACCGACCCCGTCTCATATATTCCCCCATCCGCAACAACAGACAGACACGCCGCGCGACAGGGGCAGTCCCGAAATGTCCGTCCGTCGTTTCGCACCGAAGAATATCAGCCGTCATATTGAGGAGACCGAGCCAGTTCCCACCAAAGCTCCTGAACCTCAGACGGTTACACCTCTGCTCAATGTTATTGTTCCTGCCCTCAGAACCGCTGTGCGTCGTCGTAGGGAGCAGGTAGATCTGATTTCTCGTCAGGCTATGGCACACAGTGGCGAGAATCCAGACAAACTAGCTGAGATTAAGGGTGCCCGCCAATACGTACAGGTTAAGATCGAAAGCCTGGTCGACGACTTGGTTCACTCATTCACCCGGATAGATAACTGGGACAACGAGTCGCCGGTTGGAATGGGTTCGGGCGTGGTTTCGTTCCTTGAGGGCTTCCTTGAAGAGATTCTCGTCCGCATTGAGGTTCCCACTGACGATGAAAATGATGACGAAGGATATTATCCATCCAAGCCAGCCGACTCTGAGGCACGCCATGCTAAGAACGCATCTAAGACCTAACCACCCTCGCACTCGGCACACTATTCCATCTGACTTGCTTGATGCATTACTGCCGAAGACGCTCAAGTCGGCATGTTGATTTCGCTTCAATTCTTTTCGCCCACTTACTTGAGCTTTGAGTGTTTCTTGGGCCGGCTCTAAGGCATCCCTCAAGGAGTTGCAGGCCTTCTGCTTGAGGTGTGCGCAAAGTTTGACTTTCTTGTCAAGCCTTTGTTTCACTATTATGTTGTTTGGCTCTACTTTGCGACACGTGCGAATCCATTCGATTGTCTCCTTTAACTTCAAATTTGTCTGTTTCCCTTATCTTTAGTGTTGGATTCTAGGCTGGTTCCTCCCAATCTATGTCCCAGAGGCCTTTCTGAATTGATTCTCCATACCTTTGGGTCTGTGTCCGCGGATTCGCGAAGATGAGTGGAGATAAGGCTATTGTGCAAGTGAGAGTGTACAGGAAGGTGACCATGTTAAAACGAATCAGTGACCATGATTAATGAAACAAACCCATTCCGTGCTACTTTTCTTTGGTTTTGCTACTGCTTCGAGGTAGCTGGCTGGGGAAAATCCTCCTATACAGCGAGACATGGTACCGGCGCCATATCGCACTTCAGGCCCTAGTACATATGAAAGAGTAAATGATCCCTGAACAAGGGATGCGAGGTGGGACTGGCAAAGTTGTGATCATGGACATATGTTCAAAACAATGGACACGTGCTTCTCCTGGGACGGAGCTGGTTCTCATCCAGGACCGATGTGCAGCCGGAGCATTACAACTGTGTAGAGCGGAAGGTTTTGGGTCGCAGTCATGGCATCGAACCAATATTATCGTGTCAGTTCCTGCTGAGGGTAGACCGGACATTATGGCTGGCGATATACTCCCGTGGCCACAACAGGCCAGAATTGACAAGGCATTTGAGTTCACGCACAAATATCTGTAGCTGCCCTGCCTTCGTCTGACATGATGAAGTTCAAAGCCGAGGTTGTCCACGTATCCTAGTATGGCTGCGCGCCGCTATTCCTGACACAAATCAAGTAGCGTTATCTGACTCTGCCAAGTTCAACCCCTTTTAGAAAGGGCGCTAAAGGCTTCACCTCTGTCTGTGGTCGTTGAAGCTTACGGGGTGTCGTTGATAAGCCACGTAGTCGAGACACTTCCGTTCAGCACTTCGATAGAAACCGGTTCATGAGAACTGACTCTTTGGCCAAATTCTACCCGCCAGGTCGAAAAAGCCAGTCAGTCTCAGGGGTCGGAATCAGATAATTGGTGATGTTGAATTCATTGGTACTGCTATGTGTATTGTCAACGGTAGAGTTTGTGGGACCGTTGGGACCATTTCCGGTGAGGCCATGTATTGACATCGGATTGTTGACAGGCTCGTTCATATCCAGATTCGTCATGTCTGGAGCTCGTGTGGGAGGAACACGGGGCACATTGAAGAAGCCAAAAACGTCGAGATACTCAAGCTCATTTGGTGCTAGATTTCGTGACGGCATGGGCACTGTTGGCGCTGCTAGTTGGCTGCCCGCTGGGGATGAGCGCGGCTGTCGTGAGATGAGGAAGTCCAGATCAAACGCGCAGCGACGCATGTCTGCGAGAATCTTTACACTGGATGGTGTAGATCGATCGCCATCTGTCGCTCCAGATTGCTGATATTCGCCGTACTCGTCAAGAACACGCTGCAAGATGGTACTATAGCGTTCTGCGACCTTCCAGTATTTGCCCATCTGGGCAAGCGCGTCGACGAAGAATATTATGTCGGGGCTCACGGTGTGAGCGATGGTCGAGCCATGTACGAGCAACAGGCGAGCACAGACCCACAGAGTGAAGGCAAAGGGGGGCCCCAATTTGTCGAGCATATTGTTGTCCACGACGAAACGGGTCACGGAAAGGATATTATCAACAGCTAGCAAGCAGCGTTGGCTGGCACTATACGATGGTGTAAAGATTGGAGACCTCGTGGTCGGATAGGCGGCGGATGAATGGAGGCGGATCACAGCTCTGGCTCCGGTATTAATAGTCAGGATGAGGCAATAGGATGATGAACAAGGTTCCTTACGTTTGAAATGTAGAATGAAGTTGCACCCAGTCACAGTGCAGGCTTTTGCTGTGCTTCGATCCATTGAACAGTCGCGAGGAGTTCTCATACGCATATTCAGGGGGTAGGTTAAACTCCCAAGAGGTCAACTCATTGTCCAACTTGCGATACGTTGCTTGCCATCCCTCAACATCGGATAGAGATCCAATATCCACTGGTCTCTTCAAGAAGAGATGTATGCGTGAAAAGATCCCAAGGATCTCCACATACAAACCGAACGAACCAACATTCTCTGCCCGACTCAGATAATCGGGACGTTCACTCGTGTGTTGGAACCATCTCGTCTCTACCGGCTCGTTTTTGGTGAAGTATTCGTCCTTGCACGGTAATTTGCGGTCAATGTCCTTGTCATCCAAAGCAAAGTCGAAGGCCGTAGCAATGGTGGAATATCGATCTAAAAGGTATACCATCCAGAACAGTCTGCGCCTGCTTTCATCCTCAATCCAGGAACTGGGCTCCGGTAGAGTGACGGCTCTTAAGGTGTAGATGGACGGATAAACAGGGGCGATGAGAGACGACTTGGACTCAACTGCTAAACCCAGCTGGACAACCGACCGTGTGATAAGAGCAAGCAATTTCCAGCCTGGCGGACCATTAGACGATCCCACCAGGTCCAGTGCTAATATCACCAAGGCCTGGAGTGCTTTCACCGACGAGTTTTCAAGGCCGTACAAGATGACCTTCTGTTTCGAAGAGTCATGGTACCGCTTGCGGTTTTGCTCATTCAGACGAGGGTCACTCGAGAAGCGCAGAGTCGTCGCGACTATAGCATAGAGAACCATACGGTCGGCTTCTTCGAGAGGAGAAGGTCCGAAGAATGTGTCCAGAGTTGTCCTCCGGTGAAGAATAGGACACCAGGTATTGATATGTTCGAAGTACAAGTCCACCAGTGCGTACAAGAGGTCATACGGCGGCAGGTCGAGTTCTGGATCAGCCAGAGAGTGTTCTTGATTAGAATACAGGTTGACTGGTACCTTCAAGGAAGACTCATTCCCTGTATAGTCGTTGTGCGGATTACTGCCCGATATTGAGGAGAGTGGGCCCGCTGAAGAGATGCCATTCGGGACATGGTTCTGCATCTCGATCCTAACCGAAGTCTCTGAAGGGCTGGTGATTGAGACATCATTGTGGCGAGCTGATAAAGGCGCAGTCGATGTCTCTTGGAAATAGACTGGGTTACGCGGGCTTGGTCCATGAGCCGCAGAAGGTTCCGACGGAGAACTATACGAATGTGGCCCAGGTTGTGAGAGGTCATGACTCATACTCATGCGATGCTGGCTTTGAATGATATGAGTCTCGATGAGCCGGGCTTGCGTCTGGATGACCTGCTCCAGCCGATCTGTCCTTATTAGCGGCGAGTATAGGTTTAAGAGAGAGAGAGCTCATGAGCATACCAAGCCGCTGCTCCAATTCTTTTCCGTATCCAGCCCGAAGACCAGGCTTCTTTCGTTCCTTGTACTCACATAGCTGGCCATTGCGAGCGCACCATCCACAACTGGGTTGGGCCCGGTCTACAACTGTGAGTCACATACACAAAAGGACCAAACCCCGGGGCAGCAGATACTCACCACATTTGACTTTACGCTGTTTGCAGAGTTCGCATCTATAACCCGGATTGAGATGTGTTAATCACCAGTTGCATAACATTTCTGAAGACGCCGTCGATTTGATGAAATTGGAGAAAGGAAGGGAAGTAACATACGACACGGTGAGCGGCCGTTTCCGTTTCAAACTTCGGGCTGCATTTGAATCATTTGGCGCGACGTGATCATTATCACTGTCGCCAGCAGACCACGACTCATCAGCACTTTCTTCCTTATTCTGATCGCCTGCAAGCTGTGCTGGTGGTGGTGGAGTCTGCTGAACAGAAGCTATAGCAGGGTTCGGCATTGTGTTCTAGCGAGTTTCGGGGTTATGGAAAGCTTCCAGAGCAGCACTATCAGCAGCAAGAAGGCATGATCATCGGCCGCAATGCAACAAGACGGGGATGCAGGGTAACGGGCCCAGCCGAAAAAGCAAGTTAATCCGGGTATCAATGAGGATCAACGGACAGAGACCGAGATAGACTGCCGATATCGAGAACAGAGAAAGGAGGGAAATGAGAAAGAATCAAAGGATTATGCTTGGGGAAGGCCATCGGAACAAACACGAGAGGGCCAATGAAATCGCCCTCGGCAGTGCCTGAGGCAACACCCTTTCACCCCCGTCACCCCGCAAAATAAGTGAAATCCCCACAAATAACATGACCACGAGACCAGTGACGGCGGTGTGGATTAATCATAATGGCAGAGTACAGAGTACGCTTAGATTACTTGCACCTGGACTATCTCGGACTAGCAAAGGTATCTCCAATTTCGCACTGAAGCAGAATGAACAATCATAATAGGCAGCTCCATTGCGAAAGCGGACGGACAGTGGCTCTCCATCTTTCCGGCCGATACCTTACCTACCTTACCTTAGGTTACCTATGGACCTAGTACGGTAAGGTAGACTGGGTAGGTCACTGGCCAATCACTAGTGTTGGTCTCGGGCAAGCAATGCCCCGAGGTAAGCATATGCAGGAGTATGATGGTCATGGCTCCCTCGACGCATTGTCGGGATGGTCGCTTTCAAATATGACCGGTTTTCCACTTATCATCATGCTAGATTATTGAGTCCCTTGCTCCTCTCTTCTCTTCCTTTTTTTTGCCCGGTCGCGACTTGTCCAACTTCACCTCAGCACACCATGACTCTCAAATCGACCTTCCCCCGCATTAAAGAAGTCCGAACTTTCATCATCGATGGAGTTGGATCTGGTGGAGATTATCACAATGTTAGTATTCCTTCAAAGGCTGCCATTTTGCGCTCTTCTAGCTTTTCCGGTTGTAGAAGCGCGATACCTGGGACGAAATGCGTTGGCTAAATGTACCTCCTCATCATGGCTTAGGTCAAAGGTGGCCACTGGTTGGTCGACAGCGACATCTCCACTCCCATGACAAAATGGGCTCAGTATCGCGGTTCCCGGACATCGTGGGGTATCAACGTCTTGGGATCTTTCTGCGTTGAAATCGAAGCTACGGATGGTACCAAGGGTTTCGCCACTGGATTCGGTGGCCCTCCAGCCTGCTGGCTGGTACATCAGCACTTCGAACGTTTCCTGGTCGGGGCTGGTAAGTGACCCTGTTTCCGGCCCAAGAAGATTAATTACAGGCTGTTCAACAAGCAGACAATGGAAGAAGCTGACCTGATGTCTAAACAATAGACCCTCGTGACACAAATGATCTGTTCGAGAGAATGTACCGAGCCTCTATGTTCTACGGCAGAAAGGGTCTTCCGGTCGCCGTTATCTCCGTCATTGACCTGGCCCTCTGGGATCTCTTGGGCAAAATTCGCAACGAGCCGGTTTACAAGCTCATCGGCGGTGCTACCCGTACGCGACTGCACTTCTACTGCACCGGTCCTCAACCTGCAGCAGCCAAGGCAGCCGGTTTTATTGGTGCAAAGGTGGCCCTGCCTCATGGGCCCGATGAGGGTACGGAAGGATTGCTCAAGAACATAGAGTACCTCCGCAAGCAGCGTGAGAGCGTCGGCTCTGATTTTCCCCTGCGCGTGGACTGCTACATGTCCTTGAATGTTCCATACACGATTGAGCTCGTCAAGCGGTGTGAAGCGGAAGGAATCAATATCGATTGGTGGGAGGAGTGTCTCAGCCCCGATGACTTTGATGGTCATGCCCTTCTCAAGCGGGCCCACCCCACAGTGAAGTTCACTACGGGTGAGCACGAATACTCTCGATATGGTTTCCGGAAACTTGTTGAGGGTCGCAACCTTGACATCCTCCAGCCCGATGTGATGTGGGTCGGTGGCATGACAGAACTGCTCAAGGTCTCGGCAATGGCTGCAGCATACGATATCCCTGTTGTGCCTCACGCATCGGGCCCGTACTCGTATCATTTTGTTGTTTCTCAGACCAACTCACCTTTCCAGGAATACCTGGCAAACTCTCCCGACGGAATGACCGTTGAGCCAGTGTTTGGCAACCTCTTCGTGAACGAACCCATCCCAACTCAGGGTTACCTCGATGTTTCAATCCTGGATAAGCCAGGTTTCGGTTTGGAACTGAACCCTGCGGCGCCGCTGATTCCTGCTGCCACTATCCTTACACCGGCCCCTCAGAAGAGCCTCACATTGCCCGCCGAGGACGAAAAGTTGACCAATGGCGCTGCTCACTAGATTGGGTCTTTTGTCTAGATATCCACTTGGATCTCAGGTTCTTGACGAAGATTCTTCTATTCAACCATTTACTGCACCCTTTTTATTCATGAGTTGTACATATGGATTAATCGCATTGATTTACTTGATAGACTGAATGACCAGAATTCTGTCAAATGCTAGTACTATATCTCAGACTGGATTACCCATCTATTTCACAATAAAATCAATCGCCCTATTTTGGTAAAGAGCGACCTATTGTCAAGGAATACTAGTCCAAATTAGGAGTCGTACAGCACCAGTAAGACATACAGACCCTTCTTGTTCTCAGTCGGCGTTTCCTCCGATGCTACGGAGTATGTATGGAGTAGTGTGGGGAAGTGGGATGGGGCTGATCGGGGTATCAATAGCACGAAGCCCGAACAAAACTCCACCAATTGCCGCTATCGCTCTCTTATCGCCAACCCCTCGGCGGGGTCCCAGGGCTAGCCAGTAGCCCTCATGTGAGAAAAAAAGATCACGATCAAACCGGAGATCAACCATTATATCCTGGCGTATTGCTGGCTTCCCGTTGATTCCTCCTCCAATTGCGTCGTTTGAGTTGAAACTCTGAAGTGTGGTAGACATACGGCGATCAGAAAACTATCGTGTCGCGATGCCTCTTCCTCAGCTGTTAGTTGGGAAGGTTGCGGCCATTACGGGTGGATTGACGGGTATTGGTAGGGTATGGATTCTTATATCTAAGATTTTGACGTTTGCGGTTCGGCTAACTTGTTCATCAGGCGATTGCTCTCGAGTATCTCCGCCATGGCGCAAAGGTAGCAGTTAACCATCTCGGGCGTCCAGACGAAGAGCCGTTGCTGGAGGCCATGCGGAAAGATGTTTCTGAGATTACTGGAAGCGAGGGGGGCCGATTCATCACAGTACCTGGAGACGTCTCACAGCCCGAGACAGGTCGGGACTTTGTCGCGAAGACAGTCGAGGCTTTTGGACGTCTGGACGTTTTCGTGAGCAATGCGGGCGTGTGTAAATTTGAGGAGTTCCTGGAGTAAGTCAAGTTTACAGAAATTCAAGCCGCTGTACAGCTACTGACCGTCCGGCTTTGCAGGGTTGACCCTCCACTTCTCGGGCACACGGTGAACACGAATCTCTGCGGAGCCTTCTACGCAACGCAAGCGGCCGCACGGCAGATGGCCCTAGCCCAATCACCACCTGGTGGCTCGATTATCGGAATCAGCTCCATCTCCGCGCTTGTCGGAGGCGGACAGCAGACACACTATACCCCTACCAAGGCTGGAGTGCTCAGCCTGATGCAATCAACTGCTGTAGCGCTAGGAAAGTACGGAATCCGATGCAACGCCTTACTCCCTGGAACTATCCGGACCCAGTTGAATGATGAGGACATGAGTGATCCAGTCAAGAGGACGTACATGGAGGGGAGAATTCCATTGGGACGGTTGGGCCAGCCTCCTGATCTGGCTGGCCCAGCTGTGTTCCTGGCCTGTGATGAGTTGAGTGGCTATGTGGTGAGTGCTGCTGATCCAAATTTCTGGCTGTGGCTTTAGGGGAATGCTACTAACAAATGAACAGACTGGCGCACAGTTGCTTGTGGATGGAGGATTGTTTGTGAACCTGCAGTGATCATGCTGAGGTTTCGTTGTGACGATGCGACGAGCGTGTTCTACATGACCTTAATGATAAGGCGTATATATGTATATAATAACTGCCGCAGATTGCATATTCAGATCTTGATACCATATGCTTTCACTGCAACCCCTCCCCAGACTCCTTTTTTCTGTTCTTCAGTCAATCCTCGTCTGTCAAGGACATTCTCTACAACACTCTTCCAGCGACTCCAGGAGACTTCATTGCCTCCTCCACCTATATTGCAAACAGGCCAGTCCGATCCAAACATGACCCGCTCTGGGCCGAAGGCGTCGAAAATGACGTCTGTCCATGGTTGTAGTCTATCAACTAGGGACGCGATGTCTGAATCAGGAGTCGAAACAAGCGGAGGTAACTCCGAGAAGCCACCGGAGAGTTTCATGTAAGTTGTAGGATAATGGGCCATGGCGCTGACCAGAGACTTCCATTCGAGGAATTCTGGGTGAGAAGTTATAGACTCGGGAGTAGAATAGGGCAGGCGAAGATTCGGTTTACAGAGATGGTCTTGCATGGTGCCTCGGTCAGTTCATCTGCATGTCAATCAGTTGTTGGCTTGAACGCAACATACTAATAACCAGTGTCACTGCAGCGCCTCCATCATCCACTCCCTCGTAGATTCTCTTCATCATCTCGACCGCTTCTTTCAGCTGCCAAAGACCGCCTTGCCGCGCGTCTACCCCAAGGTCGAAGGTCAGCCCTCTGCTACCGAGATACTTGAGTCCGTCAATGAACCCCTGACTGAGCATGACACCCGACGGTTTATCTTGAACGAGGTATCGCACTCCGCATACTTTCCTCCAGACCTCCTCCGTCTGAGTCCTCTTCTTGACTAAGGAAAGATACTTTTCGAGCGCGGCGGGGCCCCCAGGTACGGGAGCCCAGGGAACAATCCCTAAGCATAGATGTCTATCGACATCTCTATGTCCCTCACCCGCGATTGGCTTTCCCAAAGCAACGCGAGTCAGCAGAGACACTTCATCCAGAGCGTGCGACCAGCCAGCGCCCGATTCTTCGACCGATGAGATGCGGTCCGTCTCGAGAAAAATGAAGCCGCGCAGGTAAGTGTCTTGGGCTGCGTTCGGGGATGTAGGTACTACTGCTGTTGCTGCATGATATTCGTCGACCGAGTGCTGCGATCCAAGTGGGTTGTTGGGACCATACCATGCCAGAGTTGGGAGATGCGACTCCGGGAATAGATGTATGTGAGAGTCGACAATTGGAGTAGGCATTGCGTCGTTCTTGGTGCTTCTCTGCAGTGGTCTTCGCAGAGATTCCGCGACTCGTTCACCTGGGCTGTATTCTGGGCTGGTCTGAATGCGGGGTAGGGCGCTTCAGCTGTTACAAAGTATCACAATGCATGAGCAACAAGGAGTTGGTGTAAGAATACGGCATAAATGAGGTCTCTTGTAGGTCGTCATCGAGATCTGTACTTTGTTGATTTCCTTGAAATAACACGATCGGCGACCATTATGCCGAGCGTACCACTTGGTTCCACCGTTGACTGTGGATGCACGAAAATCAGGTGAGTACCTTTTGAGCAATTTGGACGGGGAGATATATACTTCTCCCTCGCCGAGTTCCATTCATACCTTGGAGTTTTTTTGGAAAGGTTTTGCTCGACCATAGATCCTGCCTGGGACAGGGAACTCAACCTGTACGAACCCCGCTTCGGCTTGCGACATTCTGGACCCCTCATTGATCCTTCCTTCCTTCGCTCCCATCAACGCACCTCGCACAAAACGAAACAAGCATAATACCACACTTATACTCGTGCATCTTCCAAGATAAGCTGCTGCTGAGGTACAACCGAGGTCGCGTCTTCCCGCTTGACCGTTGGTTGTTACCCTCGTTTCTCATGCCGGCATGCGACTATGGCAGTCTGGAGCAAGCCATACCCCTCATGATCCGCCTTTTACACTCTTCTGATTGGACGCTGAAAGATGTCAAGTGCCAATTCAGTTATTGCCTAGACTTTGGTGCCTTGGGCAAGCTCATGCAGTATACGCAGCATACAACTTCCAAGCTGTCGCGTTCGACATGCCTAGGCCTGCACACCTTGCTGCGGTAGGGTCGGTTGTGTGGTTGTGCCCAATTGCCGGCTAACTCTCCCCGCTCCACCTTTACTCCTCCTTTTCGTTCAGGAGTAGCGTAATATTCGACCATTGCAGGTAGCACAGACTTGGCAATAAGATCAAAATAGAGGTGGAGTAGATAAAGAGGGGTCCGAAGATCGTGGGACGGTGGGAGTGTTATGAACCACTCGGATTGCCACCTACACTCCTTCACGACTTGTCTCTACTTTCGCATTTCCGTCAACACTGCACGTATACCATCAGAATAGCACCAGAGAAACTCATATTTTCGATATGGCGGCCCCAGAGATTCCAAAGAAGCAAAAGGCGGCTGTCTATGACCAGCCTGGAACTGTGTCGACCAAGATTGAGGAGATTGATGTTCCGGAACCTGGTGCCGGTGAAGTTCTTGTCAATTTGTATGTCTCATGCCCGGAATATTTTTCCGTTGAAAGGAAACGCTGTGTTATTCTTCTATACCGAAAACCCTGTGTTGTTTCCTTTGTACTGACGAAGACAATAGAACACACTCGGGTGTTTGTCATTCCGATTATAGTGTCATGACAAACAGCGTAAGTCAAGTCCACCTTCACCTGAAGCGGGGCCCTGACGTCTCCTAGTGGAAGATGCTTCCACATCCTACGATGACAGGCCAAATTGGTGGGCATGAAGGAGTGGGCAAAGTCGTCAAGCTCGGCCCGGGAGCTGAATCATCTGGCTTGAAGATTGGGGACAGAGTTGGTGTCAAATGGATCTCGAGTGCTTGTGGAAATTGCCGTATGTGCCATCCGATATTCCAAAGCTTTCATCTGGCAGTCTCGGACTGACAACGAGCTTTGCAGAGCCATGCCAGGCGGGCTCCGACGGACTCTGCTTTAAGCAGAAAATTTCCGGGTACTATACCCCAGGCACATTCCAACAGTACACCGTGGGGCCAGCGAATTATGTCACACCGATCCCAGACCGGCTTGCCTCGGACCAAGCAGCCCCCATGCTCTGTGCGGGTGTCACAGTCTACGCTGCCCTTAAGAGAAGCCACGTCCAACCAGGGCAGTGGGTCGTCATCTCTGGCGCTGGTGGTGGACTGGGACACTTGGCAGTCCAACTGGCCAGCAGGGGAATGGGTCTGCGCGTGGTCGGCATCGACCACGGCAGCAAAGAAGAACTAGTCAAAACCTCTGGCGCAGACCACTTTGTGGACATCACCAAATTCCCCTCCGACGACAACGGCGCGGCTATCGTCGCTCATGTCCAGTCGCTGACCGATGGCCTGGGTGCCCATGCCGCTCTTGTCTGCAACGCTTCGAATGCCGCATATGCCCAGGCTCTCCTCATGCTACGTTTTAACGGCACGCTTGTGTGTGTGGGTGTCCCCGAACATACTCCTCTGCCCATCGCAACAGCAACTCCGGGAATAATGGTCCTCAAGCATTACACGATCACTGGCTCGGCCGTTGGAAACCGAACCGATGCTATCGAGACTTTAGAGTTTGCAGCACGGGGTGTCCTCAAGGCTCACGTCCGCACCGAGAAATTGGAGAACTTGACGAGCGTTTTCCAGGAAATGGGCGAGGGTAAACTTCAGGGGAGAGTGGTTCTGGATTTGTCTTAAGCTGTCGGCGTCAGTTGTTCTATCACGAGTGCGTTATTCCTGTGTTGACCATGCCTCAACGTGATCATTATTGTCGTCCTGGGCGTTGTGGCCTGTCTACTTGATCCCGGTAGGATTTCAACCATCCTGATCCTGTCGCTCTGTGAGTTTCGTTTTATACATCATTGCTGAAAATAATTAATGATGAAGCTGCTGAGGGATAGATAGTAAATGACGCCTGTCGTAAGCGGCTTCGAGCATAGGACACGGAAGAGATATGTGGAGGATTGGAATCCAAAAAGAAAAAATTGACCGACGCAGGATTCGAACCTGCAATCTCTTGATCCGTAGTCAAGCGCCTTACCATTGGGCCAGCCGGCCAAGGTTATTAGACAAAAAGCTAAATTTAGATACACAACAAAAATTTCAGGTCTCAAGAGATGAACTGGTTCCTTGCCAAAACCTCATGTCAGGAACGAGTTTATGAAGCTTAATGTAGGCTCAAGCAAAGAAGCGCCTTGGCCATGCCACCAACAGTAGATATTCAATAGATTGCCTTGGTCTATGTTATTTATAAGTACTGCTGGTTGCAATATATTTTTCGACCTTCATCTCAAGTTTTGAATTAATAAGTGGATATTGATATCGTGCTATATATGTATCGATATATATTCAGGGAGGTGGCGATCGAGATGATCAGCATACTGACTATAGGGGAATATCACCCCTTTCCCAGAAATTCACAAGTTTGAATGAAGTAGAATAACTATATTAAAAGCACAAGGGTATCTAGATGTGAAGCACTCAAAGAAAGCATAGGATATGTACAGACAGCCAACCAAATCACACACACACACACACACAAAATGACCACTAGAAGTCATCAGTCGCAAGAGTCATCGACTGCGTTTGGTATCTCCTCCAGACGTGGCCATGGCTGGGCGTTTCTGCCCAGATGTAGTAGAGGTCGATTCAGCCGCGCGTACTAGAGCGCCCAACTTCAGAATATAGGCTTTGGGGGCTCTATTCACCTCGTTCTTCCGCAGGATCCTTCCCAGTCTGTCTGCGAATCCACCCAAAACCGCGGGCTGTAGCTTCTCGAGCGCATCGAGGATGAAGAAGTTCCCAGTCTCGTCTGTTCTGCCGATAAGCTGGTGATAAAGATTCCGCTCGTCCTCATCCTCTCCGTGAAACGTCGTCCGCCCCCACGTATTACCGTCTAGAGAATCCTTGTTACGGCTGCAGATGTCCTCGAGCAATGTCACCAGGGCTTTTGCTGCGCCTTCCGCGCCATGCGGTGCCCGAGCAACGATGTTTTGCTCAATGCGGTTGACGTTTCGTTGTAGCTGTTCGACAACCTTGTCGACATCGAGACCTGTGCTGTCTGCAGGCAGCTGCCCCGTTTGACAATAGCGATCAAAGTCCGCCAGGAGCCTCCGCGTCTTCTCCTGCATCTTATCGAAATAGATCGCCGCACAAGCGCCGGGAGGCATTGCCTTGCATAGACTAGAGAAGACAGCGTCGTCATGTAGGGCTAGTCGTACCATGGTGGCTTCGAAATCACCCTGAACCACGCACTGCTCCGGAGTGCGTGACTGATCTGCATGTTCCACGAGATCGTTGCGAAAGTCTTCGAGGACTGTGGATGTACTAAAGGCGGAAATGATATCTCTCACTTTCTGGAGGCGGCTCATGCCCCCTTCTGACTCGCTGCGAAGATACTGCCAGTTCAGCTGTTCAGCTACGGCCTCAAGCTTGCCCTCAAGAAGCTGCTCGATACGGGGCAAATCCTCAGAGAACCCGTTCTCTGACAGCGGTACATCAGACGCAGGTGGCTGGGACATGAAGCAGCCGTGTAACTGATCAAGGACCCACTTGAATTGAGGATTAGCGTTTATCTGATCTGATCGATAGGTACCAACTTACGAAAATATGCTGGCAGGCCACCTCAGCATGGCCTGAGAAGGTCAAACAGGTGCACGTATAAGCATCAGACCCGATATGAACCCGCGGCCTTTCCGACAACTGAAAATCATAGCCCCCCGATATCGAGCGACAGCCGACAACATCAAAGTGACTCGTCAGTCCAACAAGCGCCCTCGCCTCCGAATCACCGTCCAAGCGAGCGAGGTCATATACGATGCCAGAGTTCGCCTGGACGGTTGACAGCCCGGCCGACTCTTCTCCGCCTGACCTGCTCTCTATACTGAAGCTATTCATCGCAGCACCGTATGCCGACTCCTCCCCCTGCGAGTCCATAACTGGAACGTCACCACCTATCGAGAGTCTGTGGAGATGCCTCGTGGGCGCAGACATAGGATCCGAGACACCAGTCGTGCCAATGAACAGATTCCGGTTAAAAATCCCAGGATGTTACTAGCACGCTGAGATACTGCGCGGACATGCCCAATTTATACGAACACCCACAGAGTTCGCATCGAACCATGGATGGGAGCGGGTACCAAGATACAAACAAGAGCCAACAAAATGCGCCGGGCTCTCTCGCGAACAGCGGCAAGTCAGCCGCATATCCCTTCATGCCGGATCGTGGGATCTGGATTTGAGGCTCGAAGCTGCGCCAATTTTGCCATTCACCTTTGCCGCAGAACTATCACTTGTGCACGTCTTGGCATGATGGTTTGGACATTTGAATAGCGGATAAACTGTCATTGTCGTCCCCTCGACCGAAGCACCAGCTTGTGCCAAGGACCCGGGAATGTCCAAATTGCCCTCAAGAGCCGGGGCCAGGGAACCATGGTACAAGTCCCCGAACGGTGTCGGAGTGCGTAGGAGCTAGGAGGCATCCTAACCGGCAGATCAGAGGTACTAAATCACAAGACCTCGACTAGAGTCACGATCTAGAAACTATCAGAACGGTTCTATCTTTGCACGAAAATCCGGCGAATCAAAATGCTCACCTTCGGTGTCGAAAACTTTAGACGGCGGTAAGATCCCCATGATTGACCACAAGAGGTAAAGAGCCTCGTAAGGCTTATCGTAGGAGGCACATTGACTACAGCTTCGATGACCTAGCAAGTGAGAAGCATCGAGAAAATATGAAAATGGGTGGACGAGACGTTGTCTTTCTCTATTCTGCTGCCGCAGGAGCTGAGTTGTATAAATGAGGCTTGAGCAATGACCAGCGTAGTTGAGGGGCATCGGCCCCAGGCTTGTGCCACGGGGCGCAGCAGTTGTTTGAGATGCGGCACAGCAACATTCTTTGCAAACTACGGTTGCTATCTACCTATGAAGTAGACGGTTGATCACAGATCCTAGAGGGACGAATTGCCATGTCTGATTTGATTTCCTTTCTTCAATTTCTAACGACACAGAGCAAGTGTACTTGCGGGGGTATATGCTAAAATTGACCGATGTGTATATCTTGAACAATCCAAAGCAGAATTGACGTATGCATTGGAAATTAGTAAGGCTTGGAAGGATAAAGGGGTATAGTCAAGGAAATTCGTTCAGTCATAATCACTGAGAGTTGCAGCGAACAAAAAAGAAAGATCAGGAAAATGATATATGTTCCTGGAAGCCTCAAAATGCTTGAGCGATGCCGAGCACACTCATTTCAAGCTGCGGGATTATGAACTGCCCCTCGCAGCGTTCCTCCTCTTCGCATCCTCCAGAGCTTTCCGAAGCCGCTCCTGATGCTCAGGATGTCCGTCCGGCTTCCTGGGCCCGGGGGTCACTGTAGGCGGACGAGGACCTGGAAGCAGGACATCCATAGGATGCACAGCAGGAATGGTCTCGGAAGACATAGGCTGCTCTTCCATTGGCGTTTTGCCCAACGATTCAAGAAGATCATTAATTTTAGCAATGATCTTGGAGGGACCAACTCGCACGCTCTCCATTTTCGAGTGGAGATCTTTCTGAATCTTCGCATCTTCCTTCTTCTTTTCGTCATCGAGTCGGCGGAAGATCTCAGGGTCAGCGGTGGAGTAGCGAGCTTCAGCGACAGAAACACTGTAATCCGCGTTGTTGAGGGCCGTGTCAGCGACACCAAAGCTGTGCAGAATGGATTCGGAATCCTGCCGCAAAGATTCGACCAGAGCGAACACATATTTCAACAACTGTTCAACCTCAGTTACTGCTAGACCAGATGATCGGATCGCCTCAGAATCGATCCGTGTAACTTTGGCAGTGACCTCATCCAAGAGACTTTGGTTCTCGCCTAGTCCGAGTATGATTGCGTTGTCAAAGGTATCCATAAGCCTGTTAGCCCGATCGTCTCGCTCCTTGGCTGCTTCGAGTATATTTCGCTTCTCCATCTGATCAAACTCTCCATCCAACTTTTTCAGAGCGGCAGAATCTCCCATGAACACCAGTGGGCGTCGTTCTGCCTTCTTGCGGCGGCGCTCACGGTCCAGGGCGATCTCAAGACGCTTGTAATAGCGTATTTCGAGCTTCTGATAGATGTCGTTTACGATCTTCATCGTGTGAGACAGGTTGTACTTGTCGGTAACAGAGTCCTTGATCTTGCTGTTTTCATGGTCGAGTTGCGCGAGGGCGGATCCATAATGATCCTGAAGGGCGGAGATTTCCCCCTTCAGACGCTCATCCAGCGGATTGAAGACCTTAGTGACGAAGTCGTCCAGCTCCTGTCTCTCTTCGTCCAGCTGCACTCGCGCTTCTTTCTGGCGAAACTCTTCTTCCAGAACGTTGATATCGGCATAGCCAATTTCCTTCTCGTTGAATAAGTCATCAATATGCTTCTCGGACTCCTCCTGCCGTCGCATACGCTCTCGGTCAGTCTTCTCGCGACGAATCTTGGTTGAAGCCTCCCAAGTATTGACGGCCTCGCGGATGTAGCTGAAGTCATCCGAGTATTTCTCCAAATCCCTTCTGGTTGTAACGTGCCATGAGCTTTCAGACTGCTTAGCTAATGGCGATGAAACCATAGAACGCAGGTCATCGATCGGACTACCAGTCTTTCCTTCCCTGAAAGCCGCCGGTAGTGGAGGGGGCGAAGATGTCCTTGGAGAAGATTTATTCCTATAAGCGACGCTTTTCTCTCGGATAAGCCCGATGAAAGTTTCGTCGAAGTCTTTTTGAGCCACTGAAGACGTCACAGTACTCGACCTGTTCCGATTCGGTGCGTTGGGCGCGTTCGACATTACACGACCACTTTCGGCAGACGCTTGACGCAGCGCAGAGTATGCCTGGTACGCAGGGCGGTCAAAGGTAAGGTCATCAGAGCCACGTTGAGGGCCCTCAGTGTATCGAAAGGGAGTGTAAATAGGCTGCGGAGGGTTTGTTGCTAACGGGGAGAATGTCTTGTCATTCATGGAGGGCGGGACGGACGTAGCCCGCGAGATTGGATTTTGAGCATTCGACGAGAAGTCTCTGCTTACCTTTGCCTTGAAGGCATTAGGCTGCGAGGCTGATCTGTGCAAACCCGACGGTTGGGGCGTGTGCAGTCGAGGAAGAATTGGACGGCCTCCTGGACTATAGCGGCCTTCTTCTGATTCCCCAAGGGCATCGTTAGAAGAAATCTCCGCATCATATCCCTCTTCTGATTGGACTGGAATCAAGCCCGACTCGACAGGAGGAGATGTTGAATTCTGCCGGTTCGGTAACGATTGTGGCGCATCTTGATCCTTCCTCTGTTCAGGTTCGATGTTGTACAAGATCTCACGCAGTTTTGTTTCCTTGGCCATGAAGGCCGTGAATATCTTGAAGCGCTCCTCGTCGGAATCGGCAACCTCCTCTTTTCGCAGCATCGCTACGTAACGTGCCAACGATGACTTGGACCAGGAGTCTAGATCTTCGTAGAGTTCGTGTGGTTTGGGCTGCGGGCTCGCTGTGTTCGGTCTCCCACCACTAGTTTCACCAGCGGCACTACTCGATGCGGGCGTAGCCGTGCGCGACGGGACCTCCTTCCGAGGAACCTTGAATTCCTGCTTCTGTTGTGCGATATCGACAGGGCTCGACCCCCGCGTTGAGGACCTGGTTTCGGGCCCTGAGGCCAGACCCTCCCGAGATTGCTCGACAGCGGATTTGGTCTGTGGAGTGATTGGTTGATTCCAAGCTTCGATAACGCCATCAATACTTTCAGATGCTTCAGTAGCCGAGATAATACTGTATTCGGTGCCGCTACTATTTACCCTAGCAGGAAGGGGCGGATCACGCATATCCGGCGTAGTGCTTGGACTAACTGGTGACCCACTGTCATGATGCTGCTGAGGGTATTCAGGCTGCGCAGAAGGTGATGTCGTTGTTGGTGGAGTAGATACAGAGCATTGGTTACCCAATTCAGGCGGGAAGGAAGCCGGCTGACTTGGAAGTGAGTCGGCTACAGTCGAGGAAATGATTGGATGGTTCTGCTTGCGTTCGGATATCTCCACGCCCACTCCTGTCCCGGGAGTAGGTGCCAGGTACTCCCAATCTGACGGGGTTCCAGACCCGAAGCCATAATTGGCTGGGAACATGTTAGGACCGGTCTTGGGTGGTACTGGCGGAGCAGTTCCATGCTCGTTTGGCAAGGTCTGGGGCCAAGGTTGCTCTGCAGGCGGAAGCTGCTGGACGGGAGGTGGAGGACTCATGCTTTGGGGAAGCCCTGAGCTGGCTTCGGTTGCATGTGCTGAGGCCGAGTAGGACGACGCCTGAAAATTTTGACTGGAAGGAAATCCTGCATAAGCAGGGTGGTTCGGCTGTTGCCATGTCTGGTTGTCTAACGGTGTGGGTTGATTCTGGTAGCTTGGGGAATTGGCGGAGCTGGAGGGGGAGACGGTAGAGGCGCAAGAGCTTGCTGGGACGGGTGCGAGGCGCCTGTTGTCCACTGCTGATGATTCTCGAAGAAGGGAGGCTGTGAGCCATACCCAGGAGGAGGTGGCAGAGGCTTGTGATGGTCAGGGGAGCCGACAGTCGGGGAGTGAATTTGCGCAGGATTATGATACTGATTCTCCGCCGCACTTGGGGGTCGGGCTATATAAGGCCGGGTAAGCATGAGGTCGTCCCCGTATAACTGTGCGATGATTCAGATACTCACAGGCAGCGGCGGAGGCGCCAGAATCTGATGCTTATATTTCACTCCCCATGACGTTGTATTCAGGCCGCCGGGAGCACCAAACACGGGTGACCCACCTGCGCCAGGTGGTATATTGGAGATAGATCCGTACGTATTAGGATGATATGAAGGAGCTGCAATAGGCGCAGGAGGAGGAGGGGCGGGGGAGGTGCCACAGAACCCGTGGACCATGAGGATTGCTGGTGTTGAGTTGTTGCAGGTAAACGCCATTCTGGTTGAGAAGGACTTGAATGCGGTGGACCGGTGGAATGTGAGTGAGAATGCGATCCGTACATGGCTAAGAGATTTTCTTTGTCAGTTACAGAAATGCGCCTGGACAAGCATGGATATTGCCGGTCTGTTTGTTTCTTTGAAGGCCACTTACCGCAGAACCGGTGGGGTTCGGATGATTATGAGCCTTACAAGGAGAAAGAGGATCAATAATGACTACCTAGTCAACCCTGGATCAGGAGGACAAGATAAAGGAAAATAATCTGGTGACACCGGATGGCCGACTCTGCGTCTTGACAAGAAAAAAAAAAACTGTGATGACCCCAGGGGCCCGAGTCCAGGTGATGATGATGGAAGAAGCACCTGAGGCTGTGCTGAGTGTATCTACTCCGTATTTCGCATTATTATTGTCTCCCTTCGGCTTCGCCTTCTCCAACTCTGCCATCAACAACACGACCCACAATACATCGAAAACCAAAAAAAAAGCAATCATCATAATACCGCTAGATATTTATCGTTCGTTGACCTTAAGAGTTCTTGGTTACAGGACACGGCCATGATTGCTTTGTGAACCCTGAATAACCTTCGACTTCAACGGGGGTTCTTGAAAGACAACGTCCCGATTCAATGACAAGGCAGAGATGAACGTCTTTCTTCCCCCACGTTTACTCGGGGTGCTGATAAGTGTCGTTCATCGATATTCAGCACAAACAATAAGACTGACGGGACGTCAAATGCTGAGAAAACCCTCAGTAGGTATCATATTGACCCATATATATCATGTTGACATGGAGCCTTCGACAGTCGAGTGTATACAATATGCCGGACCTCAACAGGTCAACGGATTCTAAAATCAATACGCTTTCTGTTATCCTCATGCTTTTGCGATTCTCACGGGCTGGTTTTGATAATGAAAGACAGCCAAATCGGGGAACTCGGGGCTTTCCTTTGTTCCTGAATGGTACCATGGGAATAAACTGCGAGCAGCCGAAATAGGGTAAAAGAAGGTCTACCTTACCTAGGGACCGACCATCTAGCATGCATTCATTCCTTGCCTACTGTGTCTCTTTGTCCCTGAACCACTGGACTTTCGAAAGTCTAATGTGCTACATATCCCCTGAAAGAAACACTTTCATAAGCATCTGTTGCCCTGTCCTTGGATAAAGGGTTCTTTGTTGCCCTAAATATTCGACATGCCCCTCTCTCATTGCTGGCCATCGAGAAGAATTAGATATATACAATGTTCTATCGAATGACAAGATTGACCTGTATCGTTCAACCATTGATCAGCCATACCGACTTCTCCGACAGAACCCCTGCTGTTTGCTGTTGAAATAATGGTCCTCGGTCTTCATCCTCCTTCGGATCCCGAAAGAGCCCAGGCATGGTGGACGAAAGTTTTCCTGTCTCATCCGCCTCGCGAGGTGGTTGACGCACCGGAGTTCCCTCCCAGGCCGGACGAGTTTCAAGAGATCGATTGGGCCCCTTATGTAGAATCGAAAGATGCGAAACTAGCACGCATCTCGTGGGATCGTCCCACCCAACAGCTCCGACAATACTTGGACAGCCTAGGCCAGCACCATTTTCCTCGGCCTGATGATGACGACGATACAAGGGCAATGAGGCACACGGAAGGACTCGCCTTCGAGGTGTACGAGCTTCTCCTGCGGGAGCACATGTACCCCATTGCAGAGTCCGAATGGCAAGATCAATGGACACAGATGGGGATGGACCAGGCGAAGTGGCGTCTCGATGATATCTTGCACGACTGGGGCCATACGCCTAATACTGGTCCCATCCTTATTCGAGGCAAGGATGTAATGACTTCCCGCCAATTGACAGTTGCAACATTGAAGCAGGAGCTTAGGGACCGAAACCAACTTCAAACTGGGACATCGCAAGTCCTGCGCCGGCGTCTTTATGACTATGAGCGAAAGTCTCTCACCCTCTTTTCCAGAAGCAACCTTGGACATTGGAAGATATCCTCAGGGAAGCCGCGGGGACGAAGAATCCACCCGGGCGATGAGTTGGACCCGTTGGACATGTACACCTTGGCCATTAAACTCAGCCCATACAACCCTACATACTGGGTCAGCCGTGCCTATTGCCACTATCAACAGGCATTCTTTGACCTTGCGATCGGAGATGCCTACCGAGCCCAGCTTCTCTGCGAGGTGCTTGTCGATGCTCGGTGCAGAAACCGCCAACCCGGGCTTTACCCCCGAATCTGGCACGCGATCTCTCAGCATATCATGGCAGGCATGAACAGTGACACGGAAGCCCTCCCGCCAGAGGTGGAAAAGATGCGCCAACCTAACGGGATTAACTACTTCATCCCAACCCTCCGAAAGGCACTTCATAACATCATCAGCCTCAGTCTCGCTGCGCTTCAAGCCCGAGGGGATTGCAAGACCATGGAGAAATACCTCCCTCAAAGGGTCATCATGCCGGACCGCGATAGACGACCTTTCGAACGACGTCACGAGGTAATGGAGGCTTATTTCGAGCAGGCTCAGGATGAAAAGGAGGCGAAGAAGCTTTGGTTTCACGAGTCCCGGGCAGGAAAGGTTTCGACAGAAAGGCTATATCCGTATGAATCGAGTGACAAACATCGCACCGACCGAAATTTCCTCGATGAATTGAACCTAAGGCTCTTCGGAAACAATCAAGCCCTCCCCTGGAGAAGATGCAAGATCAAACCCGTAGAGCGCGTCAAGCCAGCAAAGGATTCCGCCACGGCGCTAGGAGTGTTTGCAACCGAAAACATCAAGAAAGGACAGATGATTTTCGTCGAGGAGCCAGCAATGCGGGGACATCTCGGCGTGAGCAGGCTGCCATCGGACCGGCGTGAATACAGCGCAAGCACGCCACGATGCGACAACTGTTACAAAGAACTTGGTGCCGTGTGGCCGGAAGAGGACCAAGAACGGATCAGGAAGATCAAAGCCGGACAGGACAAGACCGCATGCAAATGCGTTCTACTCAATGAGAAAGAAGCTATACCGCTAAACTACTGTCCCCCAGGTCACGGGCCCAAGACATGCTCCGAGATTGCACGGAAGCTTTATCACTTTCGGGCCTGTGGGAAGAACTGGAAATGGCTGCATGATGCTATGCGCCCCTACATGATGAAATGGGCTAATCATAAAGATTATTCTTACTTTAGCCACACAAACGAGTCCCATGGAACATTGCTGAGCCTTCTTCTCAGGGAGGTGTTTGACATCACACTCGAGAGGCGCGAAAGGTTTCAGGACTCGAACCTCATGGCGCACGAGATTGACGAACTCTTGTTCCTTGAGGATAACTTGGACCAGGCTGATGAGAAAGTAGCATTTCCGTTCACATTGGCTGCCAACATACAGGTCCCATTCGACATTCTCATGCAGCTGGGCGTGGACATATTCAGCGACCTCACCTTCGACACCTGGATCATTCAAATTGTGTTAAGGAAACTGCTGATCAACGCGGTTCCCTGGGCTAATGTACCGGCCCTGAAGATGAGCAAAGAGCCAGCCAAGAAGATTGTTAGGCGGAAGGAGATTGACGACCCAGAAAAGCAACGAGAAATGGCCAAAGAGAGGGAAAGCTTTGAAAGCTATGACCCGTCATTTCGAGCATTGTATCTCTATCCGGGCTTCAGCCTGTTCAATCATGCCTGCCCGGAAAAGCACAACGCACAGTGGGGATTCGACTTCGGCGGGGTCCCAAACCGTGTATTTGTATGGGCAAAAGACGATATTCCCAAGGGAAAGGAAATTCTCATCTCCTACACCGAGTCGCCCTTGACAGAAAAGGGTATGCTCAGGCAGCTTGGCCGACAATGCGCTTGTGACGGTGAACACGGAGACGAGTCGAGCGATGAGGACGATACTCCGCAGCAGTCTCCCCAGTACCCGCCACTGAGCGCCGCACCTCGTGATCCGACTCCAGATAACAGTTCCGTTCCGAGTCAGGGTTCTTCTACGAGGGCACTCGGGACCCAGACGAAACTTGGCCGGGCGCAGATGGACGGAGCAGATGACGACAGAGAGGAGACTGCAGCCAGAGAGCAACCTTTACTTCCCGAAGCGACTGAGGCCGAAGAGCAGTTTGACTGGGAGTTGGAGCGTTATATGGCAACAAGGAAGCGCCCTTACCGCGGGGAATGGGCAGAGAGTGGACATTACAAGCGTCGACACTTCGATTCCTAGAAGAATCAATCTCTGCGGAAGTAGCACCAGAGCTCGAGCTATGTCGACAGCTTCCTGCACATTGGCAGCCGGACCTGATGTACTTCTTTTGCTAGAGAGCCGAGCAGGGACTGTTCATCTTGAGGGGCATCAGATTTGGTGCATGATTGTGTTTCTGTTGATCGTGATGGGTGAAATTTTTGTATATTTTGAGGTTATTTTGCATCTGCTGCTTGGTTCAGGTTGTTTTGTATCCATGTGATTGCTATATGTTCATGGTTTGGGGCTGGCAGATGAGGACGAGGAGCCTCGATGATAACCTTTGTACCTCTTCTGGATTTCAATGCGAATGAATACTTAAGCTGTCGGCAGTAGTCCTTGAATGTCCTATTGCACTAGATTCAATCTGCCTGGTATTTCTGGAAGAGCCAACGTGAGCTCGGTGTGGTGTGTCTATCATCAAAGTAAACGGCAAAGAATCGCGGATGTTGCCCATCCTGATAGGAGACGTACCATCAAATTGAAGAAGGGAAGTCGATTGTATCTTTTGAAGACTCCATTATAGCATACAGAGACACAAGAAACCCAACACATCCAGTAAAGTACAGATATTCTAACGAAAAGCCGAACCCATCCTTTATAGCACAGCAATATGGACGGGAATTCGATGCCACAAAAGGTTTATACACAGAACCGCAGCAACCCAACCGGCGCAGCTCTAGATGAATAAACGACGTTGCTTGGAGTCGTTTAGGCCATCACTCTGAGCCGTCTTCCCAGCTTCTCTAATTCACCAACAACGCCGCCTCCCGCCAAGCTCCATTTCTCCCCAACCCACTCGTCATTGATGTTTTCCCGCAGAAGTCCACTGCGTGCGAAGTATTCCATGAAGCCTCGAGCCTCATCCCTTGTAAGGCCGCCAATAGTCTGAAGCTCCAGAGCACCTTCCTTAGCGGAGGCGGGTTTAGGAGACTCGAACGCGTCAAGGACGCGCTTGTCAACCTGGCTGTAGGGATCGGCCTGAGGGAATTCGGGAGTCGAAGGATTAACGCCAGCCTGGCGCGCTGCTACCTGCTTGAGAGCAACTTCGAAGCTGTAGACAGTGGGATTGTTGGAAGCGGAAGTGGCATAGAGCAGCATGCCCCCGTTCGGAAGGGTAGGCTGACCAGCACCGGGCTTCAACAGCGAAAGGAAGTGTCTTACGAAGACGAGATCATGAGCATGAATAGGCTCAAAGTCAGCAGTTCGGTATTCAGTGTTCCTCATCCAGTGTGCCAGGCCATCCACAGTAGCAAGAATGGGAGGCCGAGGCTTGAAGGCCTTCTCGTAGCCGGGAGACGCAGAAGTTGCAGTAAGTTCAGCCCACAGCGCTTCAAAGACAGGCCAGGCGACAGCGGGATCGTTGATGCCAAGAGTAGCAAGCTCTGCTAGGCTCGTGCTAGGTTTCACAGCCGAGCCGAAAGCGGGATGCGCCCGAGAAACCTTGAGCCCCGACAAAACCTCCTCGTTCGCTTTGACCGTACGAGACAAAAGTGCAGCTGTTGCTCCATTCTGGACATATAGATTGGGGACTTCGTCAGAGAGGGGCGCGTAGCCAGTGTGTGCGATGACCAGGTCCTGGGCTAAAATGTTCCGTAAGCCCACGTACACCAACGTCGCAATCAAGCAAACAGAATATCAGGGTATAGGTAAACAGGGTCATAACATACGTTCGGGAACAGTAAGCACGACCCATTTCTTGGTAAAGGCCATGGCCATGGCTTGTAGCAGGTGCACACTCTTTCCCGTTCCTCGCACACCAGTAACGATCTTCTTGACCACCTTGCCCTTGTCTTCGCTTTCACCCGAAATCATGTCAAATTGTCTTCCCAGCTCGACAGTCTCCCGTCTTACCACCGTGCCGGGACGGCGGAATATAGACCAGCCCTGTTTGGGCTTGAAAGCCTGCACAGCTCTTAGCGGATCGATCAGAGGCAGGGGCAGACCGAGGACCGTTCCACGAAGGCGTGAATCCACCATCGTCTCTTCTGTGAGGTCCTGCATGCCCTCAACCTCAAGAGCGTTCGGGTTACTGAGAACGATGCGTTTCCGGAGCGCCTTGCGTTCTCCCACAGGCGGCGGACGGGGCCTGTCAACGGGCTTCTTCTTCTTCATCTTGGCTGACTTTGCCTGACGGTACTTGGGAGGACCATCAAGACTGGCTTTCTTCTTTGTCGGGTTTGCATATTGCACCGGTGATGAGTGGAATGCCGCTGCTCTGGGTGTTGCCAACGTCGGTGGTAGGAGAGCTCGAGTCGTCGGACGAAGCCTCGTCAAGCAGCTCCAGCAGAAAGAGGAAACCATTGCGACACACTGGCGCAGAGGCCAGCGTTAACCTGTCAATGGAGGCTGCTGAAAGGTCGGGAGAAGAGGGAGACAGGCTGCTGCCGTTGATTGCCCAAGTGTATCAATTCCAACGCGGTTGGGGTCTCGGAGCAACATTTTCGAACTTCTCCTGTTACTATTTAGGGCTTAGCGTAGCGGCCGTCCTAAGCGTGGGCCCGGAACTTGGGTTAAAGCGGCCTCCCAAAATTTGTTCCGCAACTTTTTTTGGCCAGTCCGATCGGGAATAATACTGGTCCATACTGATCGTCTACATTTCGCAGTTTCCAACCTCACCGGTATATATCGCCGTTCTTTCAAGAATCGGCATCGTACCCTTATCACAATGACTGAAGTCGAAATGGCGACCGCTGCCTCTGAGGCTAAGCCCAAACCCGAGAGACTGTGAGTACAATGGACAAGCCAGTAACCGCCTCACTGCATATGCTGATTCTTTCGCTTCAATAGTCCTGTCACAGTCTCCAAGCCCACGCCGTACACTTTCGACTTGGGTTACCTGATGGCCAATGATCCTAACCCCCTTGAACTCCCCCGCTCAGAGCCCTTGAACGCCTCTCTGAAGGCCATCGCGCGAGACGGCACCCAGTCCCTCCTCAACCAGCTCCTCACTACCTGCCCGATTACATCTTCCGCACAGAACGGTGTCCTCCTCACTCTCCCTCCCCCGGCGACTGTACTCCCGCGACACAAGCCCTTGCCCACACCCAAGCCACCTACCAAGTGGGAGCTGTTCGCCCGGAAGAAGGGTATTGGCAAGTATAGCAGCAAGCCTGGTGCTGCGTTGGCGGACAAGGAGCGCCGCAAGAAGCTGGTCTACGACGAAGAGAAGGGTGAATGGGTACCTCGATGGGGATACAAGGGCAAAAACAAGTCGGATGATGAGTGGCTGGTAGAGGTCAACGAGAAGGACTGGAAGAAGGAAGAAGAGGCGGCGGCTAAGGGTAGTTCGATCCGTGGCTTGTCGCGTGCCGACCGCAAGGAGAGAATACGCCGCAATGAGAGGAAGATGAGATCTAATGAGCGGAGATCCCGCAAGTCCGGTGGTGGATGAGCAAGTAGACATTACTTCGGATGCACTAGACGAAGATCGGATCTTCGTTCGTTGTTCTTCTTTCATGTCTCTCAAACACTGGGCTTGGCCAAAGAAAAGCAGGAGTTCGGATTGGAGTCGCCGGTCTTTCTATTGTTTATATCACTTTTACGGATTTTCACTGTTGGACCAAACAAAACAAGATCAGATTAATGCTTCATACCCCGATCGTTTGAGGTCTCAAATGCAAAGGTGGTCTAGAACTACACTTTGCGACCATTCACCTTCGTTTTGGTTTTGTACTCAAGTTGACCCATAAGAGTTCCGTTTGGATATTTTACAATAAGAGGCTGATAGAGGCACACAAATGGCGCACAAACAAAGTAAAGGAATGATGGCGTAAGGGGTATGCACGCAAATGGAAATGAGAAACATCGAGAAAAAGCTTCAAGCTGGGAATCAAATGGCAAAAGAAAAGTAAATGTGACGTTTCAAGTACATGTACGTAAAAACAATCGGGCCACCAGGATACTGCACGTTAGCTGAGGCAATGTACAACCAAAAAATCGTATGAAACACCCATAACCCAACTCCGAGGGCGCCAATCTATGCACTTCTTTCGCAAAGAACCACATTTGAGAGACGGAAAAAAGAGTAGTGATGAGTGCACCGGAGGAAGTGCTGGATTCAATAATTCTTCCGCGACTTTGTGCGCGAAAAAGAGAAACCAAGATGGCGAAGTAGGGAGAATCACGAATTGCAAGCAGGATCTTGGAAAAAGTCAAGTTCAATGTACAACCACAAGAATATTAGTTTGACCTCGGATCCAGTCCGTGTCTTAAGCAGGATGCTTTCTTAAAGGGCAAGAAGAACGCATCGGAGAAGTTTGGAAAGGAGGTTGTCAGGCCAGCAGTGTCAACAACGGCACAACTTCACCAAAAATTGTGAGCGGAGAATCAAGGTCATATCTGAATCGGAGACAAGGGGGCCCGAGCTCGGGGAGCTGGGAGATGCTCCTTGTATGTGTAGTCTCAATCTGTTTGGGCTTCTGTTTCCGGCTCTTGGCTGTCTCAGGACGATACGTTGGTTCATCCTCGACAGCTACTTGACTGCTGCCGGAAGAGGATATGGCTCTTTCGTTAGCATCCGAATAAGGTAGAGAAGAGTGATCAACAGCTCCCGTCTTCGAAGATGCGGCCTTCTCCTTTTCGTCCATCTCCCTTTCAAGCTGCAGGTACTCTTTCTCGGTCCAGCAACCCTGCCAGCAATTCTTCCAGTCGCATACGAGGAAATGAAAGCAAAACGCGTCAATCTTCATGCAAGGCTGGAAACAGATGCAGAGATTCCGATAATCCATCTTGTTCTGATCGACATACGAGTGGAGGAGGTTGAGGTGGCAGGTGATTGCAAAGAGAAGGTAGTAGTTGTAGGGTGGCAGTTTCGAGAGCTCATCCTTCAGCAACTGCGGGGCGGTAGTTGCGCCCTCGCATTTCTCCGCAATCATGGCCTGGGTTTCCTTCGGGAAAAGTTCGTCGGGCAGCTCCCGTAGCCAAGCCTTAAACATAGATCCAATTGTATTGATGTCATAGAGATCTGGCTCGTCAAAAAGATTGATGTCGAGTTCTGCGCCGTTAGCGATAGAGACATGAAAGCTTGTCCAGTTCAGCTTACCTGTATCAAACCGCCGTTGCCAGTGCTTTACTTCTTTACCACTACCGGGTACGCGGTAAAGTCCTTCTTCCTCACAGCCCTTATAATTGAGATAGCTGATGTGATATTAGTATAAGTGAGGACCAGCTCGACAGGACGGCAACTCACTCGATGCAGCGATATGGCAAAGCAGGCATCCAAAACTCAGTCTTGTCTCGGCAGTCTTCCAGCTTCTTTGCTATGCGTGTTCGTCTGGCCTGCTCGATGAGAGGGAGGTTGATGACAGAGCAGACATAGTTATCATCGTTGAGTAATTCACGTTCATTTGTGCTGCCACTTCTGGTAATCTTTCCAAAGAATCCTTTTCCTGCCTTTCCAAGTCTGTCTGCAGCACCACTGGAAGACTGTTTGATGTTGTTAAACAGCGCAGCAGAGGCACCTGACACCTGACTTAGTGAAGCGGAGGGCACCATTGAGCCGACGTGATTTCTTTCTTTCCGAACCTGACCACTGCCTGGCTCTCCGGCGCGATCGACGGCATAGGTACGCACTGCAGCATTCCCAGCTCCCTTGAAGCCGCGGTCTTGTCGGGCCGTAGCTGTCTTGGGGGTCATCTCCGCCTCCCGTTTGCTGCTTTCCTCAAGCTTCACTAGAGGCGCTGACGGACGCCGATTGGCTATTCTGTTTAACGCGGAGTCGTCCAGTCTGATGGAGCGAGAGCGCGACAAGATATTGGCAAAGCGCGGCTTGTTCTTCTTCGTAGGATTTCCGGTCTCAAGATCGTTGCCAACCTTTTTGGTCTCAAGCGGTTGAGGATTCTTGCTTTGGACCGTATCTCCGTCTATCAGACCTGCCATTAGTATATTGATAAAAACTAAGACACAGGACATTCGTATGAAGCTAGACGCTTACTTTTTTCCTCTTGGGCTGCGCGCTCGACTGTACCAGGAAGATCGGGCGTCGACTCGTACGACTTGGAAGCGATCTGTGTTCTGCGATCCCTAGAACTGCCCCGGCTCTTGGGCTTGTCACTTGAACTTCCCGAACCGTCTGAGCGTTGGGCTCTGTGTGCAGATCTCGGCGCCTTGAGGTTTGCAAAGAAAGAGCGAGACGGTTCGCGACTGTGCTTGGGCGAATCCCTTGGCGAAGGAGGATATGGAGGAATGGCTGTGAAACCAGGAGTCGTGGGTTCCGCCGATTGAGCAGAAGAGAGTGGGAAAGTAGGACTGCTCGACTTGCTGTTGGACTCTTGTGTTACAGGGCGGATAGTCGCTCCCTTGAAGAACGGCGAGCTGGACGATGACTTGGGAGAACGGGGTGTCAGGGGACTGGCTCTGTCGGAGCTTTGAGCACCGGGCGTAAGTGGAGAAGAGTTCTTCGAGTTCGCCTGTAGAGTGAAGGAGCTTAGATCTAAATTGGGAACGGCGGACTGTCTCGAAGGCATTCTTAGACGTGCGTCGGTTCGCCGGGCAATTCACCTGAAGAAGTATCGCGGAAAAACACGTCAGGGCGGGAAAAGTGATATATCAAGTGCCCACTGGATGTGCAAGCTCTATGAGGGGAATCTAATCGACTAGTCTGCGCCAGCATGGTCAGCACAAATCTCGAGATTTTGACCAGCAGGTAAATCACAGTGAGCCGGCTATGAGTAGACAGTCCCGGACTTATGGACTTACCCGTCTTGACACTTTCCCAGTCGTCCTGATAATGGAGCAGATTCAACTTTCCTTCAAGAAATGTCCGAGAGGAAGGGGCGCGAGCGAGACCGTTTTCTGAGATCACTCTGATGAAAGTATTGGAACGGAACCAGCCTTTCCAGTACTTCTTTCGATGCTTCGGATGGTCACTATCGGCACGGATCGCCGTTGAAGGGTGTAAAATGGTTCGGGGGTTGAGATCTGTCAAGAAGTCGCACGACCATTAGTGAGATAGTAAGGAGCAAAACCTGCTGTATGAATAACGAAGAGATAAAAAGTATGTAGGATGATGTCTTTCACCGCAAGGAGCATGGCTGAATGTAGGGGTCTCAGAATGAATCAAGGCGAGCTATAAATAAAGCTGACATTGACATAATCTCAACCCCTTGATGACCATTGACGAAGCGCATCCTTTCATGAAAGGGATCATCACAAGAGACAATGGGACTTCGGTCTGGATTGCTCAACAAAATCATCTTTCTGACCTACCAAAGTGTGTCACCCCTCATACTCTTGAAAGCTCTCTCTGCCCGAGGTCTATTCTCTGTGGCTTTCCATCAATCGCAGTTAAAGACGAGCGATCCACGAAATTGTTGCCCACGATGTTATAGGCAACGATTATTGAACGAATGTACGTTTGATTAATGCCTTGAAATTTTTCGTGTATGTTTTGTGGGAATATTTTTCCCCTTGTGGAATCGAGGGGCGGTCGGTGAAGAGAGTACAAAGACAGAAGCGAAGCGCGACGACAGCTTCCAGGTGGCTAGATATGAAAGAAGAACCGTCAAAGAGAAGAGGAAGTATTCCGATAGGAATTACAGATCCTTCAAAAGCGAAAGAAAAAACGAAAGAAAAATGTCGCTATGAATGAGTCGAATGGAAACTCTTGTGTAAGTAGGGGCTTACAGTAGTAGCAATAGCAGTAGTACGAAGCAGGAGGGACACAAGAGGATGGATGGGTCCCGCACAGACTAGAGTACAGAGTAGTATATAGACTAAGTATCTAATAGATATCTCGTAGCGTCGCTGACTTGCTCGTCGCAGCGACGACACATTCCTTGAGTCCTTGACAGGCGCTAGTTTGATAAGACAATAATAATAATAATGCAAGCGCGGCTGCGTGGTAAGCTAAGAAAAGGGGGAGGATTAGTGGCGATTGGAGATGACAGCGAATGGGAAATTGCTCTATGGATCTATGAATGTGTAGTGGGCACTTCAGGTGCCACCTTTTTTTGGTGTACGTGCTTGTCAGAACAGTGAATGATATTCAATCTGGATCATCCCAATTATTTGCAATACCGTCACGGAAATTTGTATCCAGACAGATAAAGCATATTCCCTAAAGGGAGATCATCTGTGTCCGTGGCTGGTTTGATGACGCTATGTCATTGCGATGTCAATCCTCGATTAAATGGGAGAGGGACACTGATGATTAACATTTAACATATTGGTACAATGGAGTTTGTCTGGGGCGGGTATTCATGGTCTATGACCAATACAATAACCAGTATGGACGAAACCTTACTCTCATGATTCTTTTCTCTACTGAATACTGAGGCAGTAAAGAGTACCAGCTATTTGAGCGCCTATACCTTTACTGTAGGATCTCCAGACTTCCAACCAACTTCGCTTTTTGTTTACTCCAGGGGATTTATACAGGCACCGAACAGCCTAACAATGGTCAGTGCCATTGTTCTTTAAACTGAAAGATAATTCCCAGTGGTCACAAGAATTCGCTCTGACAGTTGGATCCAGCCTTGGACGGGCTGAGGTACACTTCGGTTCAGGGCATGCGATTGGGACAGCGGATTGGTCAACCAAATATTGCCGGAGGGTCGAGTTGACTCATTTTGCCGAATCACCAGGTTGCATTCAATATCAGAAGGACGGAATGGATGGCTACCTAAGGTTACCTGGCGGCTAGTAAATTAAGTCAGTACTATCACCTAGCCTTAACATGATATCCTAAATATTTGCTGTATGGATATATGAAAGGGGGAGTTATCATCACCATAGTTCATACAAGCAACAAGCAATTCTTGTTCTTTCTCAACCTGTCCTTATTTAGTATCTATGCAACGTCCGAATTGAAAGTGTACCACGGTACTCCATACTGGCTCCTGTTTATCATACAATGGGTAACCACGGGTCAAAGAGATTCTTGATACAACCAGTGGGTCATGATAAAAAAAGTACCTAGTCATACCAGAGGTAACTAATATCTCAAGTCTCACTTTCTTACCAATGTCTATCTAGTAGTCTACATATCTACCATCTACTATTAATCTGTCATTTGTGGACGTAAGTACACTTCCATTACCCCGCTGGATTCTCACAGGCCCATGTCGATCTATCACTCTATCGGTGTATCAGCTTACGAAGTTGACTAATGCCCCAGGGACATTCAATCCTGTGCGCGAAGCGATCATCGCATTTTACAGATTTGGTGAAGGGCAAGAAGTAGACTACCGACGGTTCGATGTACCCTGAAAGTCACTGATAGTTATGAAAATCCGAGACAGACTAATTTGCGCATAAAGATTGAGAATAGTAATATGTGCGATGGAGCAGCTTCTCTAATCAATGTTCTTATGCAAGCAACCATCTTACATATGCACCTGTTGATGGTTACTTGCCCCTGTCGCCCATATAGAGCCTCCTCAGAAGTCCATATGGCCTTCTGTTCAAAAGGAAAAATTGGATGTATGGAAAGAGAAATCAACCAATAAACTGACATTATCTGGATATTATTTGGTACGATTCACATATTCACGTGGTTCACTCTTACATGACTTCACACCGCTCTTGGACTCGATTGTGCATGGGGACTTGGCGAGCATGGCGATCCTTGTCTTTGAATGTTCCTTCTGAAACAATGCCCCGCCCTTTTGGCCCTGGCCCGCCTTGGTGTCGCTAAGTCACGTGAAAGCAAGCCCTTTGCCATCTAGCGAGTAGCAGTCTTCCACTGCAGAAATTTATCCCCTTGACACTTTTCCATGGAGTCTGGCTGCCATTCGTCTAAGCCTAATACAACCAGCGAAGCTAGGCGTCTTGTTAGCTTCTGAATCCTGGCTGCCCTTGTGGCTTTTTTTTTTTTTTTTTTTTTGTGTCCTTTATACAATTAAAATTGATTTGTATCATGCTCTAGCCTCTTCTGGCCAGTTCGCTCGGAGAACAATCTTGTAATTCGGGTGCCCTCAATGCTTCCGCTATCTATCTAGCTGTGGAGCGGACCGCACAGAATCTGCTTCGCCAACCTGGACCTGATTGCGAGCTAATAAGAGAACTTCCAGCTTCGAAATACTAATCAAGCTATTCTTCCTGAGTAAAAATAATTATCCAGACCCGAATTCAAAATGTCTCTGGTCTCAGGTCCTGGTAGAGCTGTGGGCAGTCTTCCAGATCACACGTTGTGTGTACAGAAACATGTGGAGTACATCAGGAATCTGGACAGCGTGCGTGATACTTATATCTTCTCTTAATGATGGGGAAGATGGTTGACAGGTGACGCTAGAGGCGGGATGAGCTGGAATATTGGCTCACAGAGCATCTTCGTCTGAATGGCGTATACTGGGGCTTGACAGCCCTGCATCTTCTTGGCTTCCCGGAAGCTCTCCCTCGGGAAGAGACTATCAACTTTGTTCTCTCCTGTCAGCGCGAAAATGGCGGGTTCGGAGCTGCACCCGGCCATGATGCACACATGCTTTACACTGTCTCAGCCGTGCAGATACTCGTGACCCTGGATGCGGTGGACGAGCTGGAAAAACGTGGTTTGGGAGGCAAGCGGAAAGTTGCATCTTGTATGATTTTGCTTCCCACACTCTCTTGTAGTCATCTTCCATTCACACCTCGATCATACTAAACAGTCGCAGTCATCGCAGGGCTACAGGACAGGACGACAGGCTCCTTCATGGGCGACGAATGGGGTGAATTGGACACCCGTTTCGTCTATGGTGCCTTTAATGCCTTGTCATTATTAGGACTTATGGATATGGTCGATGTCTCTAAAGCCGTGGCCTACATTCAGAAGTGTGAAAATCTGGATGGAGGATACGGCATCTGTCCCGGAGCAGAGTCCCATGCTGGACAGGTCTTCACGTGCGTGGGAGCGTTGGCCATTGCTGGTCGTTTGGACCTTGTGAACAAGGATCGTCTTGGTAGTTGGCTCAGCGAAAGGCAACTGGACAATGGTGGGTTGAATGGACGTCCTGAGAAGTTGCCAGATGCTTGTTACAGTTGGTGGGTCGGGTCCAGCTTAGCGATGATTGACAGACTGCACTGGATCGATGGCCACAAATTGGCTACATATATTCTGCGCTGTCAGGTGTGCCGCCTCGTCGTCTACCAGAGTGTCGTCAGAACTGACTCGATGCAGGATCCTGAAGCTGGCGGTTTCGGAGACCGCCCAGGTAATATGGTTGATGTCTTCCATACGCACTTCGCAATTGCTGGCTTAAGTCTCCTGAAATTCGAAGGCGTCCAGGAAGTAGATCCTGTTTAGTACGTCACCCGCACGATTTACTCCTATGACACGTTTTGCTGACCCAGAAATAGTTGTATGCCCAGAGCAGTTACAACGAAATACTTGAAGAAGTAGCACCTTTCCAGCCAGTAAAGGCGCAAATGTCTCAACATTGTCCCCAACCGTAGTCAACTCGACCTCCTGCAATCTAATAACCCGTTGTTCTTTACCATCCATGGACTATGGGATACAAGGCAGGAGAAGAGAAATGGCCACTGCGACTTATTTCCGCTTCATATCATTCCACAATTGCCTGATAATAGGCTGTTAAGACGCACTGGCACAATATATCGCAACGCTCAACCTAATTTTATTCTTTCTAGATAGTTGATGAGATGAATCGAAAATATTTCCTCTATTGTTGCAATCAATCGTCATGGTCGACTGAAGTCGACTGCTGTAGACATGGGACATCCCCGCCACCTTCCCAATACAAACATCCAGTCAATTACAGGGCGCCCCTTCTCGAAGCAGCAACCTGTGTCGCTACGTCGAAAAGAGGCAAGCACATCCCCTTGCACGTCAATCACCTGCTCGGAGGGCAATGGGTATCTCAAGGCAAGTATCGTCCATTCTCGTCACTTCTTCTGCAATCAGGCGGGGTGTCCTCGATCAGGGCCAGTCTTTCTATCTTGGATTTTTGTTCTGCTCTATTCCGTGTTCGTGCAAATATCGGGCTACATTTCTTACTTGTCACTTCCTTTCAGATCTCGCTTGGGTTGGATCGTTCATTCCGACTGCCCAAGATGGATGCTGAAGCACTTCAATGCAACATTTGTCCCAAACGGGCTCGATTCAGCGATGTGTCTCACTTGTTAACCCACGTCTCATCGAAGGCCCATCTTTCCCATTACTTCAAACTCCAAGTGCGAAGCCATCAAGAAATTGAAGCCAGGAACCTCCTCGATGAATACGACAAATGGTACAAGGCCAACAACTTGGCCAAACTGCTTTCTGATCGGATGGCATCGAAGGAGGCTCGCAAAAGAAAGACTCACGGGAGTACGCTCGCACTTGCTACATCGTTGACTGCTCGACGTGGTGCTGGACCGACAGATACACCTAGAGCTATATGCCCTCCATCTCATCAGCCTTTACCTGCGTTCCTTGACCCACGCCTTTCTGACCCTTACCTGAACGGCGAACCCAATGTGAGGAGTAGAAATGCTTCTCTTTCCAGTCATCATGAAACGTCAGCTATGTCTTCAGTTCCTGATCCTCAGCCTCATGTCCGAACAGGCTATACCCTGCATTCGAACAATCTGCGCCAAGGGCTTGCACCGCACCAGTGCAAACAGGAACCTGACTCTGAATCCGAAGAGGAAGGTGGTTCCACCACGCAAATCAAGCCGAGCCTGTCAATTAAACGAGAAAGCAGATCTGGTAACACTTTGCAACCGCTGAGCAGCAGCTCCATCGATGACGACCCCTTTGTTGACGACAATGGAAGCTTTGATTACCTCAGGCTAGTCGGAGGTGACAAAGAGAGGGCGGACGAGATGACAAGACTAAAGGGTGTACTGTGGCCTGGCATGGATATTTTTGATTCTGCAACAGAGCAGATGAGGCGTAAGCGCAACCAGAAGAAAGATGAGAGCATACTCAAGATGATGGAAAAGACCTCTATGCGTGTGGAGCCCACGGAACTTGTGTTTTCGCCAACAGGCATCCTGCGAAAACAACGTGTTATATCAGGCAACGTCGAAGACAGCAGTCCCCTCAAGGGAGAGACACCGATCCCTAAAAGACGAGCCACTCGCCCGAAGCGTGCACTTTGCCAAGTTGACTCTAATGTTCCACGTGGACAGGATCGGAAAAGGAGCAAGAAAGGTGCGAAACGCGCGGCAATCAGACGTGAAGACGGCTTGGTCAGATATGACTCTCAGGCTTCAGGGAATTCTGGGGCTCAGTTGCCATATAAATACGGCGTTAATCCCCACTGCTGTTACGAAGATGAAACGGAAGAATTCAGTCTGGCGGTGAATGGGCTTGACTCCAGAGCTCGAACTGGTTTCACAGTTTTCCACGACGAACCTAGCCAGCACATATCCAGCTACGATGAGCCATACCTGCGCTTTGGAGTATCGAGTCCTTCTCGGGAAACTCTTTATCAGCGTGGAGCAACAGCTGAAAGTAGAGTCAACCGATTTTCGGGCAATAAGGCTCCATTGCCTTCTGTTAGGCTCGCTCATGCTTCTGCAGCGAAAGAAAACATCGACCCTATGCTAAACGACCACAGCCGGGGTAAATCCCCTCTACTGTGGCAATCGTCAATTAGATCGCAGCACGCAGGCGATGCGGGTTATGCATCGCAGTATTTCTTCGAAGAAGCCCAAAGTAACGGACTGAGTCCTTTTGAGACTCATGGTTTCTACGCCGGCTATACGTTCAACCCATTGGTTATCTCAGCCCCTAAGCTGCCGACTGAGAACCCAATCTTTGACGCCAATAGTCGTGTTCCCCGATTGCATTCTATCACACGCGCTACATCGCCCGAGGCGACTATATCAGACATTGAGGAAGACGACTTCGAGCAACTCTACTTGGACACGAGTTCTCTCTAGTCTGCGAAGTTCCAACGCCATCATTCTCTCTCTCAAGTCGCATCTGTTGCGGCACGCTTGAACGTGAATGACTGATCCTTATCCGCCACCGAACCGTTGACCTGTTTATTTATATATTAGCACTTGCTATCATCCAGTATCCACACGGACTTCTGCCTCCAAGAAGGCACATGATTCTAGGCTCAGAATCGCGCCTTTGCTACCAGTGTTTTCCGATTACTTCAAGGATTTGTACTATTATACATTTTGTCAGGGAGCAGATCGTCAGGGTCCGGTAGGATGGAGTTGCATGGTGGAACATTGCTGTACGGTTGTCTGTATACGATAACTCATACTTTGATTAGATGATTAGATAATCAACCATTAAGATCCGATCGCGCGCACGATAAGTTAGCGTGTTCTCCACGCGTCAAGCTCCAGGACGCAGCGGAATAAGTTTTGTCTCCAGCGTAACTTGGGATCATCTACAGAATCCAGAAGCCTTGAATCTGGCTGATTAATGAAGAAAATAGCTAGAGGCTTTTCAATAAGGTGCACCCTAGTACCGCTCGCTCAAAAGACACCGGAAAGAGTCAGCGCCACTTCTATACTTGCGATGCCAAACTCCACGCCTCTAACCTGATCCTGCTTCGCGTTGACCAGTTGACTCAGGAGTCCGCAGCGACTCCTGCGAGGTAAAATGACACTAAGTTCATCGCAGTCATCGCCGCCATCCTCACAGAATCTCAAGCGTAAACAACAGACCATTTCCAGCTTCTTCACGAAGCGGGCGCCGACAGCAGAGAAGAGAAGCAACGACCTTGAAGATGGGCGAGCGACAAGCCAGAAAAAGGCAGAGATACCGCTGCGTGAAGCCACAAGGGATCAGAATGATTTGGTGGACGATGAGGATGAGGATATAGCGGTTCCGGCTCCGAAGAGGGTCAAAACGAACGGAGTTGATTCCGAGAACAGGTTTGGACGCAATATCAAAGAAGCATCGAATGCTGCACGGGGACCAGAACCTCCATCAAGCAGCAGCCAGCGCACCAACCTTTACAAGTTTGCGAGCTCTCCTGCTGATGATGCAGGCATTGAGAAAGCAGACGATCCGGAAGCGAGGAAGCGGCAGCTGGAACGCGAGAAACTGCACAAACTTTTTGTCAAGAAGCTGGGAGGAGCTGACTGCCTTATCGGAATCGGTAGGAATGCCACGACTGAGGCTCCCTCTGGCGCGGAGGAAGTTGCGGAAGGCGATGAGGATGATGAGCCCGCACCTCCGCCCCGGTCAAAGGGGAAAGGAGCGTCAAAGAAGGGCGGGAGCAAGCTGACTCCGCTGGAGAAGCAAGTGATTGACATCAAGCGCAAGCATATGGACACAGTTTTGGTGATCGAGGTGGGCTACAAGTTTCGATTCTTTGGCGAGGATGCGAGGATCGCTGCTAAGGAATTGAGTATTGTATGCATACCTGGGAAAATGAGGTTTGATGAACGTAAGTTAGTTCGCAATACCTTTTTTGTCTTTCTGCATTGGGGATATGATTGCTAAAGGGTGTACAATTGCGAACAGATCCCTCCGAAGCTCATCTCGATCGCTTCGCATCCGCTAGTATACCAGTCCACCGATTACATGTGCATGTGAAGCGTCTCGTATCAGCTGGATACAAGGTCGGCGTTGTGAGGCAGTTGGAAACTGCCGCCCTCAAAGCTGCTGGAGACAATCGCAATGCTCCTTTCTCCCGGAAACTTACCAACCTATACACGAAGGGTACTTATGTAGACGATGTCGAGGGGTTAGATGGCGCTACACCTGCTGCATCAGGCGGTGCTTCCCCGGCTACCGGGTACATGCTATGCATTACTGAGACAAATGCAAAGGGCTGGGGCAACGACGAAAAGGTACATGTTGGTATCGTCGCTGTCCAGCCGAATACGGGTGACATCATCTACGATGACTTTGAGGATGGATTTATGAGAAGTGAGGTTGAAACTAGGTTACTCCATATCGCGCCTTGCGAACTTGTCATCGTCGGAGAACTGTCCAAGGCTACAGAGAAACTCGTGCAACATCTCTCTGGTAGCAAGCTGAATACGTTTGGCGACAAAGTCCGCGTGGATAGGGTCGCTAAGAAGAAGACCGCAGTGGCCGAATCACATAGTCATGTTGCAAACTTTTATGCCGCAAAACTGAAGGCAGCCAACACTGCGGACGATGCGTCAACCAGTAACTTACTCCAAAAGGTGCTTAATTTGCCGGAGCAGGTGACGGTGTGTCTTTCGGCTATGATCGAGCATCTGACAGAGTACGGATTGGAGCACATTTTCGAGCTTACCAAGTATTTCCAACACTTTTCTTCTCGATCACACATGTTGCTGAATGCGAATACCTTGGTCAGTCTCGAGATTTACCAGAACCAGACCGATCATTCGGCCAAAGGCAGTCTCTTCTGGACCTTGGACCGGACGCAAACGAGATTTGGACAGAGGTTACTTCGAAAATGGGTGGGCCGTCCCTTGCTGGACAAGGAGCGCCTGGAGGAAAGGGTGAATGCTGTCGAGGAGCTGAAGAGTCCGGACAGGACTGTGCAGGTCGAGAGAGTGAAGATATTGCTAGGAAGGATCAAGAGCGATCTGGAGAAGAATCTGATTCGGATATACTATGGAAAGGTACGTACATGTGACTTTGAATATGCTGGAGCGGACCTTTTGCTAACGAGGAAGCAGTGCACGCGCCCAGAGCTTCTCACTGTCCTCCAGACGCTGCAGACCATTGCACAGGAGTACGTCGACGTCAAGAACCCCGAGGACTCCGGCTTCACATCGCCAATTCTCGGTGAGGCTATTGCTCGACTACCGTCAATATTGGAAGATGTTGTCGAGTTCCTGAACAAGATCAACATGCATGCGGCGCGAAACGACGACAAGTATGAGTTCTTTCGGGAATCGGAAGAGACAGAAAGAATTAGCGAACACAAGTGCGGGATCGCCAGCGTTGAACATGAATTAGAGGAACACCGCTCTGTCGCTGCTGGGATCCTCAAGTGGCCGAAGGTGACTTATGTTACTTCGTCGGGGATTGAGTATCTGATCGAGGTTGAAAACACTGCAGCGGCCATCAAACGAGTGCCAGCATCATGGGTCAAGGTGAGCGGGACCAAGAAGCTTTCTCGATTCCATACGCCGGAGGTCATTCAGCTATTACGGCAACGAGATCAGCACAAGGAAGCGCTCGCTGCAGCGTGCGACCAAGCGTTCGCGGCTCTTCTGGCCGAGATAGCGACTAATTATCAGTCCTTCCGTGACTGCGTCCAGTCTCTCGCGACGCTCGACTGTTTGCTCTCGCTGGCTGCAATTGCTAGCCAGCCAGGATACGTGAAGCCCGAGTATACCGACCAAACGTGTGTTCACGTGGAACAAGGGCGCCATCCAATGGTGGAGCAGCTTCTGCTCGACAGCTATGTTCCCAATGATATTGATCTGGATAGTGACAAGACTCGTGCCCTCCTCGTCACTGGTCCGAACATGGGCGGCAAGTCCAGTTATGTGCGGCAAGTAGCCCTAATTGCCATTATGGGCCAGATTGGCTCCTACGTGCCCGCTCGGTCCGCGAAGCTCGGCATGCTGGACGCCGTGTTTACTCGCATGGGAGCTTTCGACAACATGCTGGCGGGTGAATCGACCTTCATGGTCGAACTGTCAGAAACGGCCGACATCCTCAAGCAGGCAACGCCCCGTTCGCTGGTCATCCTTGATGAGTTGGGCCGGGGGACGTCTACTCATGATGGGGTTGCCATCGCGCAGGCGGTTCTGGATTACATGGTACGGACGCTCCGAAGTCTGACCCTCTTTATCACCCACTATCAGCATCTCTCCAATATGGCGCAATCCTTCCCGGACCACGAACTTCGCAACGTCCACATGCGTTTCACCGAGTCCGGGTCTGGCAAGGAGGAAGAGATCACCTTTCTCTACGAGGTTGGGGAAGGTGTGGCGCATCGCAGTTACGGATTGAACGTGGCGCGGTTGGCGAACCTACCAGCGCCGTTAATCGAAGTGGCCAGGCAGAAGAGTTCGGAGCTAGAAGAGCGGATACGCCGTCGTCGACTTGCCGGACTTCTTACGGCTGTTGGAGGATTGATGGAAGATCCTGCAAAGGGGGATGAGGACTTCTTCGAAAGACTCATCAGCAACGCGGAGCAGCTGTAGGTTAGCTTGCAGACTGCGAGAGGTTTCGGAGATTTGGCATGCTACTGTACATATAGGACGACATAGATCGGGTTCAATCATCATCCTTACTCCGTATCAAACCGTAGTTAAGTTTACGTTGAGAATCGGTCAGCCTGTGGAGCGCTATCATATAGACTTGGCTCGAAAGTTACCACGCATTACGATCTATATCAAGGACTGTCGGTCATCGTTGTTCTTGACTGGGGAAAAGGTAGACTCATTGCGACTTGCATTTGGCAGGAGTTGGACTTGCGCGGCGACTCACAACATCTCTGTTACCAATGCAGCCTCAAATTTGTCCCAAGAACCCCAATTGCAGCGAAGACCTAGATCCAGTCTCGATGCAAGGACGTGGTTGTGTGATCGTCATATATTTGTCCTCGATTTCCCCAGTGACCTAGACTTCTATACCCCATGTATCATGCTCGCCATCCTGAACGGAAGATCAACCAGAACACAAATTCTACTCGCCTATCGCCTTCGAGAAGGGCAATGCGATCAAGGGTATGACAAGCGACAGACGAAGAAAAAGGACCAAGGTAGAAAAGCCTGTCCATTCGAGCCTCGTTGCTTTCAAATTTTTTTGCGTTTCATTAGAAAGGGTTGAGCTTGGTTTCCCCGTTGGCTCTCTCTTTTATTCCCTGATATCTCGAAGACAGATAGGATAATGTAGAAAGATTTGGATGGAAAGCCAAAGTATCACAACCGTTTCGTTCGCATCAGCCCGTGCAAAGTTGAACCCAGCCACGCATTTCTCATTGCTAGAAAAACTTTTGCCTTTCCCGACCTCCCAGAATCATTTCCAACGCAAGCAAACGTACACGGCCGGCCTCGAGAGGGGAATAAAAGACGACAACTCGGCGAGAAAATCGGCGCGGAATTACCGCAGACGGCGGGCCTCTCTCTCGGATTCGAGCAGGCAGAGGATGTCATCGACCTTGACTGTAGGTTGCGACGAAGATTCCTAGTTAGCCCATGCACATGCACTTGTTTGAATATTCGACCCTGGTTTTCCCCTTCCGATGGTCCCCGATATCCGGATTCAATATGGGTCGGGCTTGCAGTCGCATTCGCATTCGCAGTCATTCTTTTTTTCTCCGCCATTGCACCGAGATGACCAGTTTCTTCCTCCGTCTTGAATCGTCGCAATCGGATTGTCGGCCGGGATACGAGGACCACCGAAAGAAAAACCTCCAAAACTCAATCGCTGAACGGAAATCGCATACCTGGACCCTTGACGTTACGGATGATGCTGCGGGAAGTGTCATCCATGAACTCGACGCGGACCTGGGTGACACCACCACGGGAGCCTAAAGCGAGAAGCAGTTATTATACCAAATCCAACGCGACATCCATCATTGTAGATTGTAGATCACGTACCGGTACGGCCGAGAACACGAGTCACCTTGACGAGCTTAACAGGCTGCTTGGCGGAATCCATCTTGGAGGTTGGGCTCGACGACAGCGAGAGGGTTGACTTGACGGGATAGAAGGGAAGATGGCGGCGTTCGGTGGGTTAGATGAGGCCGTACAGGTATAGAGTGGTGTGGTGGACTGTGATTGCAAGCGAGGAATTTGCCGGCGTGTGTGGGTTTCTATTTTGGGCTTAGCGCGGGAAATTGGAACTTTACGCGAGGGCTCAGGGCTAACTGACACCTGGAACTTCAGGCATGAAAGCAACCTGTTTCAGGCATAGATGTTCAAGGCAGCATTCAGGCCACAAGGCACCAATTTGGTCTCCGATGAGGATCCGTCCAACACTTATTTTTCCCCTTTGATGGCAGACTCCATGTTCAACCTTGGGATCCTCGTGGTCCAAGAGAATAATGTGATTTGTAGAACCTGTATTTATGAATTCGGCTTCCATGTACATACTCCAGATAGCTTTATTTTAACAGATGTAGTCGCAATTGAGTTGAATTCCTGGCTGTCCTGCTCTTCTGCCCCTCACCGTTCGAGTCAGAACCTGAACTCCGATTTCGTTCCTGCAATCCAACAACTTTCGGTCAACTCTTCATTCTAGGCACGTCGGCGGCGCGCCAGTCAATTCCCGTTGGATTTACTGTATAACATTGTCATTATCATTCAATCTCACTTGTGCATAATATAAATCCTTTCCCCTCTACATTTGCCGCGATTCCTTACACAACTCACATCTACCCCGCGCCGTCGATCATCAGACATGGATCTCGTCAACCAGTATGTGACCTCACCACCAAGAACAGACCTTTCATTTGACTCAATTGCTATACCATAAGTCCGTCTCATAATCACTAACATTTTCTCTCAGCCTCGAAGGAAGACTCCTCTTCGCCGTCCCTAAAAGCAAGTTCCCTCTGTGACTCACCTCATCATTCGCAATCGCATTTCCATTCTTTGACCGCAAGACCCTACGATCGCAACAGACGAAGACTCTCCAGCTAACTCATACCTCTTGTTCACAACAGAGGGTCGTCTCCAGCAGGCTACCCTGGACCTCCTGTCAGGCAGCGACATCCAATTCCGCCGCGAAACCCGCCTCGACATCGCGCTGGTCAAGAACCTCCCCATTGCACTCATCTTCCTCCCCGCTGCAGACATCCCGACCTTCGTCGGCGAGGGCCGCGTAGACCTGGGTATCACCGGCCGCGACCAGGTCGCCGAACATGATGCGCAGCTGGCCGAGGGCGAGGTCTCGGGCGTCGAGGAGATCATGGATCTCGGGTTCGGCGGGTGCAAGCTGCAGGTGCAGGTCCCGCAGAAGGGCGACGTCACGGAGGCGAAGCAGTTGATCGGCAAGAATGTTGTGACTAGCTTCACGGCGCTGACGCAGGCCTTCTTCTCTCGGCTGGAGGGCGTGGAGTTTGGCCAGAAGCTCAGCACCAAGATCAAGTATGTTGGTGGTAGTGTCGAGGCTGCTTGTGCTCTGGGTGTGGCCGACGGTATTGTCGATCTCGTTGGTATGTGGTTCCGATTCTCTTTCAGCTTAGGGATTGAGTTCGATGCTGACGGGTGCAGAATCCGGCGAGACCATGAAGGCTGCTGGTCTCAAGGCCATTGATACTGTCGTCGAGAGCACGGCCGTGCTGGTCAAGTCTCGGTCAACCAAGAACTCGCTAGTCGATTTAATCACCTCTCGTATCAGTGGTGTTATCAGTACGTCCCCCTCCCCCCAAGTCTCATTGAATTGGCCAAATGCTCACCTCCTGCTACAGCCGCTCAAAGATACGTCCTGTGCCAGTACAACATTCCCCGCTCCGGGCTATCAGTTGCCTCGCAGATCACCCCCGGCAAGCGTGCGCCCACAATCACCGCTCTCGAAGAGGAGGGCTGGGTGGCCGTCAGCTCCATGGTCGAGAAGAAGAAGATCGCGACGGTCATGGACGAGCTGCTCAAGGTCGGCGCATCGGACATTCTGGTCCTCAACATTGCCAACTCGAGAACGGGTTAGATTACAATTTCCTTTTTTTACTTTTTCTCGCTTTTAGAATTCTATGCGGCGCGTGATTTGTGGTATCGTTATATCTATTGAACTTGGAGGATTATCTTGGCGGTTGGCGGAATACTATAGACTATGGGTATATGAGAAAAAAGTGAAACCGATCATCAGAATATAGCAAGGATAGATCGATACGTTTATACATGTCTATCTTCTCTATATGAACGATTGGAGATGTAGTATACAAAGGCGCCATGCAGCAGATAGCACCAGTCGGGTCATTACTCGTATTGTCGTCATCATAAAACAAGCGCTTTGGGGTATCAAATGCATGCAGTCCGTAGAAGAACTTTACGAAGAAGGCGCAGGCTCAGGCTTCGGCCCAGGCCCCGGTCCCAATCCCACGCCCTCCCGTCGACCACGGACCAAAGCCCGCAGACACTGGCCCACACCCTCCAGATCGCCCAGCAGCCCAACATGCCCGCGCTCGCTCTTGACCAGTCCGCCCTTGATGATCCGGTAACCCGGGGGCAGCATCGCCGCCGACGCAAGACAGACGCCGTCACCGGCCGCAAAGGCCAGATCGTCGTATGCATCCTGGCGCCTGATCTGGTCGGGCGACCAGACGCGCGCGCCGTAGACGGTAGGGACGGATTTGCCGTAGAGGACCGCAGCAGGCGGGTAGCGGTTCTCGGCCTGGTGGGCGGGGTTGAAGGCGAGCTCCTGCTTGAAGCGCTTGACTTCGGCGAGGGTGCGTTCGAGGTAGGCGATGGCCGTGGCGCGGGGATGGTGGAGGTTGTTGCGAGCTTGGTGTGCGCTGCGGCGCCGCGGAGGTTGGCCGTTGGGCCGACGAGGCCGTCGGCTGTTGGGGCCATGGCGGAGGCTTTGTTGGCGACGTCGGAGACGGGGTCGGTGGTGTAGGGGCGTTCTCGCGGTGGTGTGGGTGGTGGACGGCGCGGCCGTCTGTGCTGCGTCGGCTGGGTGTGTCGGTGATTTCCTCGGCGGAGCCGTTGTTGATCTCTCTGCCGAGGACGGTGGTGAAGCGCTTGCGGATGCCGAGGTCGGGCAGGTTGTCCTTGAAGTTGCGGGTGGCTGTTAGCGGGGGCAGGGCGGGACTGATGCAGGGCGAGAGGCGGTATTCATCCCAGTTCTGGACGGAGAAGAAATCGACGCGGTATTCTTCCTTGGTGCGTTTGTCGATGAAGCAGCGGCCGTCTTCGGGGAGCAGGGCGAAGCTCGTCCGGAAGGTGAAGTTCACTTGCGCGGTGAGCACGCGGGTGCTCAGGAGGACCTCGTCTCCGTTGCGGAGTGGCCCGAGGATGTTGACGCAGTGCTGTGGGACGCCTGCGTAGAGGACGCCGGCGAAGAGCTCGGGACGTTGGTTGACGGCTTGGCGGGTAATCAGACCACCCAGGCTGTGGGCAATGACATACGCTCCTCTTTTCTCCGGTGGCACATCGGGTGCATTGGACGGGAGGCCTTCCAGGAATCTGATCAGTTTCTTCGAGAGCAGGTGCGGACTCAGTCGCCAATCGTAGCCGTAGTTCCAGACGCGGAGCTTGCCATTGACGGCGTTGTCACACTTTTGTAGTCGCTTCATCAGCCTGCGGCAGATGTCCACGGGCCCGACATGCGATAACACGCCCGAGGGAATGATCGTTTCCTCCATCCGCTCTTCGTCCTCCGGGTTCAAGCCGACTTCGAGATCGACCTTGCGAAGATTGAGTCCCACTTTCATCGGAACCCACAGCTGGCGATGGGGCGGTTTGGCAGAGCGCAGGATGGAGCCCCGGTAGCCTCCTAAGATGACAACGTCGCCGGTCAACTCGGACATGGCTTCTGCCAGGATGGGATGCGTCGAGGCTGAATTATTGCGTGGGGATTGCTCACGCGAATGCGAGGCCCCTTCTCTGAGAATCTCCCGGTGGGACTGCCGTTCGGCCGCCTGTGGGACTGCTTTTCGATAGGTGACTTCGCTGAGAAATGGCTTGTATCCCCACTCGCTGCGGAGATCCTGAAGGTGCAAGGTGGGCATGCTCAGCAGCCGGCTACTAGAGTCTTGGAGACTGTCCTTGATGGCCTTGAAACGACTGTTGATCTGGGAATGAATATGTTCGTACCGGGGTGCCTGATCCAGGGACGACGCCGTGGACGATGCTCTCAGGTACAAAGATTGATCCGATGAGGATCGCCTGAGCGAGGCTGCGTTCCCGGAGAAATTACTTGGTTTGCGCGTAAATGAATGCTTCGCAGCCATCATCCCGTTCAAAGGTCTCAACTCCGGAATCGGCTCCTCCGCAGCAGGTAGATGCGCGTGGGGCGTTGAGCACGACCGCCGCCTCTGCTGTTCAGCGGCCGCCTGGGCCTGCTCAAGAGCCAGTCCGGACGGCATAGGCTTCACGGTCTGGCTGCGGGCTCGGTTATGCAGAGTATTTGACCGAAAGGGCAGCGAAGACCGCTTCGCCAAAGAGCCCAGATCCGGCAAAAACTTCTTCAGTCGCAGGTTGGATATAGCATCTCCAGACCAGGCCCGAGGACGCGGCAGTCCATTCTTCAGGATCGATCTGGTGAAGCTGGTCCGTTGACCGTCTTTCGCCGGGGCAATAGTGCTCTGGTGCACCCTATTCTGGGCCAGTTCAACACGGTCCTGTTGACCAGCTCCCTCTAGCGGATGCGCTTGGGATTCTCGAGCATCTGGCAGCGACTCTGGTTCAGAAGTGATCTCAGGAAGAAAGAGACCGTCGGAGTCGGGAACATTGTCAGGAACGGCATCAAAATACTGGCCATTGCGCTCCATGATGCGAGATTTCTCCTCCGCGGGCGTCATACGGGCCTTCATGCGACTCTGCGTTGGGCCGATACTGACACCAACCATCTCGTCGGCTTCATCTTCCTTGGCTGCGTCGACGGACTGGTAGCCCAGTTCGTCGCTGTCAGAATTGGACTGCAGGATCGGAGAGCGATCCTCCGGGCTGGAGGATGCCTCCACGATCGCATTGAACTGATCATGGCCTTCCGGATTGACCAGCGAGTGCGGCATGATGTCGAAGTTGGCGTTGCTGGTGGTGGTGGATGACTCTGTCCATGCAGTAGTAAGGAGAGTGATGATGCAACAAGAACGATAATAGAAGACAGATAACGATGGTTTATAAATAAGCAGACTAGTACCACGAATTTACATGTGAGAGACTAGGACAGTCTAACGAGTGGAGATGGAAGTTGTCTGAGCTGGGATGAGGCGATGAAGCTCTCACTTGTCGTATTCGTATTTTGTCTCGAGAATCGCAGTGGGAAGAAGTTGCGTGGTTTGATGATAATAAGAGGAGGAATTTCCTTCAAGGTCTTTCTTCTCTTCTCCTCTCAAGTATAATGATGATTCATAATCCTTTCATAATCTTGTTTTCCAACTGAAGTTTCTGTTGGTTTCATTCTCGTTCCTTTTTTTTTTTTTATCGCGGTTCCACTGGAATTGCACAGCCTCCGGAGCTCCCGGAAGACACTTACACGACTGTTGTGGATGAAGTTATTGAAGGATGATAATGATTCGCTGGTAAGCAGAAGCTGGAGAATGCTTGAATCGCTCTTGAGCCAGTTAGCCCCTGATTGTCCAGATGCTGTGTTCCATGGCGCTGTGGAGCGGTAGGTATATATTTGTTGTTGCTTCTATACAATATCTTAATGAACAGTGTCGTAGAGCACGTCATAGAAGGATAACCTCCCCCATAAAAGATCAGATAAACCAAACTCTCTCTCACTTGGACCTGGCTATTATCTTGCCACTGCATCATAACTTAATACCTTGAACATACGACTACATAGCTATGACACATCATGTCCATCGCCACAGCACAATGACTATATGGAGTAAGATACGGAGTACAACTTGATCACAATCTCATGTAGTCTCAATTGCAAAGTACAAAAACGTGGTATCATCATTCATAACAAAAGTAGACGTAGACTGCTTATCGAGTTTCCCTTTGGCCAGAAAGTGTTCCTGACCGGATCTCTTGCTCGCCCTTATTCGCTATGGCCTCATTCTTCGCTGCACCTGCTTCATGACCAAATGCCTTGTCAACAGCTGCATTCATTGCTCCCCGCAACGACTCCCCAGCACCCTGAAGTCCTCGTTAGTACTCATGTCCGCTCATCAGGAGAATGTAGCAGATCGACTTACGTGAACGCCAGCAATGGCTGATTTCACACCACGGCCAATTTCCTCGCCCTTCCCTGCCGATCGGCCCTGTGGTTCCGCAGTATACTGCTTGTTTTCCGTGCTGGGCGCATATTCAGCTCGGTAGTCCTGCTTATCGTAGCTGCTGGATCCCGGGGCGGGCTGGTGGCCCACGCCGCCGGCAGTCGCGTATCCGGACCCAGTTGCGGGGTTGTACCCCGATACACTGGGGTCATATCGCGAGCGATTATCTGCCACCCCAGGCGATCCGACGGAGGTGGTCGAGGAGCCCTGCGTGACACCTGCACCAGCACCTGCTCCAGAGGTATCGGTAGGATTGCGGGAGGCGCCTGTACCCGTCTCGTTGGTCGTCTTGGTCGTGGTGTTGCCGGTCTGGCTGTCGACACGGGGGTCGAGCTTGTTCATGACCGAGGAGCTGTGAGGGCCAGCGTTAGAGCTGTCTGGGTTGTTGTAGCTCTGTGTGGCGCCCGGGTGGACGTTGCCGGAGGAGGCCATGCCTGGGGCGTACTGGGCGCGGTTGTTCAAATCGCTGTCGACGCGGGGATCGAGAGTGTTGGCGACGTTGGAGTTATGCGGTCCGGCTGACTTGGACGCAGGTCCAGTAAAAGGGTCTGCGGTGCTAGCTGCAGTGTTGACGTTGGTCCCAATAGGAGTGGTGGAGTTGGGGTCTTGGTTGTAGCCTCCGGTGGAGGACTGGTAAGGTGCTTGGGTGGTACTCATGATGCAGGTCAGAAATTATCTGTCGATATGAGAGAAGAAGTTATTATTCAGTCTTCGGATTGCAAGTCCGTCTAGTACCACGGTAGATGTTCTTATAGTTTGCCCCAGTTTGATGCTCATCACCTTTCGACATCATCGCCTAGACCGGTGACGTCAGGCTGATCGCACATTCTGTCGGGGACCACATGCTCTTTGGATGAGATCCGAAGTGGTATTCGGTAGATCATAGGCTATCTGAGATCAAAAGCTCGCTCAATTCAAAACGAGACCAATTCAATCTCTTTGAGCTGGGATGAGGGTCGTACAATTGCTCAGTGGCTGTTCCTCTCTCTATTTCCCAAAAGAGAAAAATCCTTATCGATAAGATGGGATGCATAACTACGTCATGAATGCACAAATGAACATTTATGCATTGCATAAGTTAGCAATGCAGTTATGTCCTCCCCCAGTTCTTGCAATGAGCCAATGACCCTATTAATTTCTAGCCTTCTTCTAGAACTAGAGACAAAGTCCGTTAATTTGCGGAGCCAAACTCTCTCTCTAGATTAGCTCCTTTGGATTGTCCTGAGTCAGGCAACTGAAGAACGGACTGATAACTGAATGCAGAACTTCGGCCGTGCCGAGGCACTTTCGCTGCAAGTCAAAGGATGCGAGAAAAGGTACACAGATAACCGAAGCCTATATGTGAAAAGGATCGCTCCTTCTTTCACCCCACGTTTTCCATCCTTGCACCCTATTTTCCATCTATATTTTCATCTTTGGTCCTAGCAAACAGACAGCCAAAATGGCCATCTCAAACAGACAGCTCATCTACGCCAACACGCCGTCCCCGGCCATCGACCCCTCCTTGACCAATGGAACCTTCAAGCTCAACACAACCTCCATCCCCGACCAGATCCCCAATGACAAAGTCCTCGTGCGCGTGCACTACCTCTCCCTCGACCCGGCCATGCGCCAATGGCTCACAGCAAAACGGTCATACATTGCCCCGTTGAGCGCGGCAGCGTCATGCGCGGCCAGAGCATCGCACAGGTGATCGCGGTCGGAAGCGGACTACAATCCCAATACAAGGTCGGCGACTGGGTCGTCGCTTACTCCGGGTGGCAAGAGTACTGTCTGCTGGGACCCAAGGAGGCTCAGAAGGTGGTCGTCCCTCCCGGCTGCCAGCCCACCGATGCCATGTCGGTGCTCGGAATGACGGGGTTGACTGCCTACTTTGGCATGATCGAGGTCGGACAGCCGAAGCCCGGCGACACCGTCGTAGTGTCTGGTGCGGCCGGCGCGACCGGCATGGTCGCCGGACAGATTGCCAAGGTCAAGGGAGCCAAGCGGGTTGTTGGCATTGCGGGCAGTGCCGACAAGTGCGAGTTCCTGGTCAAGGAGCTTGGATTCGATGCGGCGATCAACTACAAGGATAAGGATTGGAAGAAGCAGTTGAAGGAGGCTACGCCCGAGTACATTGATGTGTACTTTGACAATGTCGGAGGAGAAATTCTCGATGCTTGTCTCGCGCGGGCCCAGAAAGACTCTCGGTTCGCGATCTGCGGTGCGATCAGCCAGTACAACTCGGCCAAGCCGCAGGGGCCTGCGAGCTTCATGAACGTCATTGTAAGTTTTCCCTGCTATGGCATGTGGTAGCTGATCGGTCGCTAATGGTGTATTGCAGTCGCAACGAATCACAATGAAGGGTTTCATCGTGTTCGACTATGCGAAGAAGTATGACATTGCCTTGAAGGATCTGTCGACATGGTTGACCCAGGGGAAGATCAAGCGCAAGGAGCATATCATCCGGGGTGGACTGGAGGCGGCGCCTCAGGGTCTAGTGAGCCTTTACGAGGGTGCCAATACCGGCAAGATGATGGTTGAGGTGGCACCTGTTAGTGAGGCTATTGGAGCCAAGGCCAAGCTGTAGTTTGTATACATAAGTAATGTAAGCTTGCTACAGGATATTCTAAGCGTGCATTGATTTCTGTCATGACTTCAATGTTATGAAAGGGCATGTAAATAGAACGTGGTAGTGCATTTTGTATTGGAACTTTGCGTTGAGATTTGCATGGAGATCAAGGTACACAGATGACAGCAACAAAATGAATCTTCTGTATGGAAGACTTAATATTCCAAGATCGTTTGGACCGATGCAGGAGATCAGTCTGGTAGAGCTCGTGGTTATCACCGACATCACTTTCTACCAAATAAAGTACTACGGATCGACGTCATGGTGATGAACCACACACAACACCGTGGGGGGTGAATCCTGTCTAGACAGTCGCAAATCTTGCCAGACATGCCGCAATCGTTTATCCATGACGATCTAGATGAGAGAAATGCCTTTTATACACTCTAGAAATCCTGTTTTACTTTTGTAAACGGCCCGACTGTTGCAGTGATGATGCGCCCAATTGCTCCCCTGCGAGCTGTCTCTCGCCAGATACTTCAACCACGTATCTACCACCGGGCTGTATATAATAAAAGCTGCTTGTCTTCGGTACAAAATTATTCTAGTCATTTTTCTGCGTTTACGTACAGGCCATTTACCGCTACATCGCATCGATCAGTCTCCGAAGAAGTCAGAATGGAGGCCCAGAGTAGTAACCAGACCTTCAAGCTCGACAATCTCTTCAATGTCAAGGGAAAGGGTATGCGACATTCGTTCTTCTCAATACCAAAGACCAGAGATACTAAACCTGGACAGTGGCTTTAATCACCGGCGGAGGCTCCGGCATCGGTCTGATGGCCACTCAAGCTCTCGCTGTCAACGGCGCCAAAGTCTACATCACCGGACGCACAGGCGAGAAACTGGACCGCGTCGTTGAGCTGTACGGAAAGAATATCCCCGGCGAAATCATCCCTATCACAGCGGACATCACGGACAAGAAGTCAATCGAGAAGCTCGTGCAAGAGATCTCCTCGCGCGAGACGCATCTCTCCATCCTGATCAACAACGCCGGAATCACCAGCCACTCGCAGACAGTGGAGCACGAGGAGCCGGCCGAGCTGCGCAAGAGCCTGTTCGATGACCCGGCCTCCAAGCCGGAGGAATGGGAGAGCGTGTTCCGGACGAACGTGACGCAGCTGTTCTTCACCACCACGGCGTTCCTGCCGCTGCTGGCCAAGGGGTCCGAGAAGGAGTACGGCTGGTCAAGCACAGTGATCAACATCTCGTCGATCTCGGGGATCGTCAAGGTCTCGCAGCATCATTTTGCGTATAATGCGTCCAAGGCAGCGGCGATCCATCTGTCCAAGATGCTGGCGCATGAGATTAGTTCGTCGAAGTTGAAGATCCGGGTGAATAATATCGCCCCGGGTGTGTTCCCCAGTGAGATGACGGCGGGGGAGAGCGATGAGAAACAGAAGAGCTTTATCCCCAAGGAGAAGTACGAGCAGAAGGTGCCGGCGGGCCGGCCGGGCAAGGACGAGGATATGGCGAGTGCGGTGCTCTTCACGGCGACGAACCAGTATCTCAATGGGCAGACGATCGTGGTCGACGGAGGGTACGTGTTGGCTGCAGGCACTGTCTAATGAGTGAAAATGCAATGATTATATGTAGCATAGCCATAAACCTCGTTTTACGACAAAGAATGAATATCCTTATCAGTGTCTGGACCAGCCATGACTACCTATTTAATTACAACCCCATCTCTCCAGCGCGACAAACCCTCACCGCATACATCCACTCAGACCGGACCACCTGCGATGCCGTGATGCGCCGCCTCTGATTCGGATCCAGCATCGCATACACCACATTGCGACACCGCTTCTATTCTCTCAGTCAGCCATCGTGCTATTCTATGCTGGTCTTCACAAAGCGGCACCTACCTCTCCCAGCTCTTCAATAGGCGCGTACCCTTCCTCCCCCTTCCGCCCAACAAGATACTCCCGGTACCGCCCATCCTCCTCCTCGCTCGCCATGCGCCACAGCAGCCGCCGACACCGCATAGCCATATACACCAGCCCCGCAGCCCAGACATCGCCCGCCCGCGGGTCGAAGCTCTGAACCTCGCACAGCTCCTCCGGCGCAATGTAGGGTATCGTCCCGAGGAGTTTGCGGGGCGGGGAGTATGAGTAGGTCACCGCACCGACAGACCCGACCTCACCCTCGGTATCCGAGTCAGAGGCATCACCACGGGGCAAGCACACCGCGCTCCCAAAATCGGCCAATTTCACCGCGCCGTAGACGGTGAGGAGGATATTCTCTGGTTTGAGATCGCGGTGTGCGATGCCGCGGTCGTGGAGGTAGGCGACTGCGCGCATGATCTGCTTGAAGAAGCAGTTGATGTCGGAGAGGGTGAGCGTGGCGCCTGCTGTCGCGATGAGGGTGCAGAGGTCGCCGGCGGCGCAGTACTCTGTTACCAGGCAGAGCTCGCCGCGGTCGTTGAGGAGGGAGTCGATGGTGCGGAGAATGTTGGGGTGGGAGAGGGAGGAGGAGAGGGATTGTTCGAAGCGGTGGTGGGTTATGATGGTTGGGCTGGAGGAGCGGCGGAAGATCTTGACGACGTGGAGCTGTTTGGGGGATGTACCTGTAGGACTTGATGTGGGTTTGCGGGCGTATAGACGCACGGAGCTGAACGAGCCATAGTGAAGGATCTCGAGGCAGGTGCCGTACTTTTGGGCTAGGGAGGAGGGTGCTGGTGATGGTGATTCGGAGATGCTGGAGTAGACGGAGGAGGAAGACAGCAGTAGTGGTCGTTGTTCCGGACTGCAGGAGTTCTTGGGTGCCCAGCAGCGGATAAAGACGTCGGGAAGTTTCAAGCCTTCGAAGAAGTTGTAGGTCTCCTTCGGTTCCTGGGATACCAGGTCATGGTAGTGATGGTTGTCATGGCAGTGGCTGGGGTTCAGCCTGGGTATGGGCGACATGACTGTTACTGAGTGTATAACATGGACCTCAACGCATCGTGATACATCCGAAGAAGCGTGTATTTATAACTCAAAAGACGAATAGCAGTGCCATCCATCTATATGAGCGTGCTAGAGTCCAATCAAGGGATGAGGATAAGCGGGAGGAGAAGGCAGGAGTATATCCGTAGTATCGACTGTTGTACAGCCGTTGTCCCACAGAAAATACCTCAGATAGCTCAAAATGGCGGATCATATGCTCATAGTCCTGGTACTTGACGTGGCTTGGATACATACATACAGCCGCAGATCCATTGGCAGTTGATGAACCGTTGAAATCGCTCATCGCCCTTGTTTTGCCCGTCTGCAAGTCATGGTGATCTCCCACGATCTGTGTGACTCTCAAATATGAGTTGTTTGCTGCATGATGGGTACTACTAGCTGTGCTCCTATCTTGCCTGTCAAGTACCAGGTATAATAACAGCTTGATGCCCCATGAGCGTCTGGTCCGGAGCCAGCCATCTGCTCACCATTGACTTGACTGTCAATTGCAATGATCAAAGCTGTGCTTCGGTCCGGCCGTTTTCCATCTCTCTTGCCAATTCGAAGACGGAGTAGTGTCCCTCATTAACTTAGCTGTCCCGTCACAGGCAGCAACAAAGCTCTATGGACAGGAGCTATCGACCCCGTCACATTGTCTGCTTAACAGACGGAGGCCGAAAGCGCTTGAATGAACCATGGTGGGGAACCGTTGCAATCAGCACTTGGCTACTTTGGAGTCAGTCAGTCCGAAAATCTCACTGAAGTGGGAGGAATCTCTTACGTGCTGTTTCAATCAGCGATTTGCTCAAACAAAAGACTCATGCCAGAAGACGCGGCGGGGGAGTTGGCTAGTTTTCCGCTGAGGCATTTTCCGGACGAAAGAGAATCGAGACGGCCACGGCTGCAAGCGACAGTTGCAATTCTCGTTTCTTCTCACGATATCGCACTACGTACTTGTTATTCTATTGTGGATCATGCACTAATCTCGTCTGTCTAGAGAAAATCTCCGATGTCAGTGTGGCGCTCCTGTTAGCGCACGTACTGAGCTTAATTGGAGCAGCCTCGAGATGATGGTGGCTTGCGGCTATCATGCTGAGGGATTAATCCTGGCCAGGAAAAACTCTTTTACTGATGGAGACCAGAGCAGTGCTTTTCAAATTGCGATCCAAAATCTGTCGAGGCTATACGGAGTAGTATCTGTTCAGATGGAGCACATGGAAGTGGTACATTTTCTGTGGAGGAGAAAATTCCCTCACTGATCCCTCTGACCATCAATCGCTCTCTCGCTCTCTCAAACTGTGGCAGATTCCATCCTAATTCCAGTCTATTCTACGAGGAATCGGTTCTATCCGTCGACACGAATTGATGCTACTGACATTTCTCAAGATCATCAGCCTTGGAACCATCTCAGCTATGGTTCAATTACTCCATACAGCAAAGGATACACGCGGAGCATACTCGGACAGTGCCATCTCTGCTCTCCATCCTCCCTAAGTCCACATCATCTCTCTCTGCCTTGTCCCTTTCTGTCTTGTCATCGTCCATCCTGTACACTGTCTCACTCATCCCGTACCGGACTTCTGATCTCATAATTTCTTTTTTGCCTCCACAGTTCTATCCCTCAAGCGACAGTCTAGTGTCCGTGGTGACCGAAATCCTTTGTCATGGCTCCCCCTAATCGATCAAAATCTCGCATCGTAGAATCTGCTATTACCCATTCGTGTCCTTTTATCCGTCCTGGGTTAGTAGATCTACTGGTTTTTACGCATATAAGACAGCCATCATGCCTGCTCCATGGCCTCCTCCGTCCTTTCACCTTCCCTCTACTTTCCCGTCCCTCCCAGAGCCTCTGCCATAATTAGACAGCAGATCTGAGTGTTCAGTCTCATACACTCCTGAAATCCCTGCTGTTGACATGGCTCAATCTCCTGCTTCCTCCGAACCTTTAAAACAGGATCTCGAATTGGGAGTTGATAACCCTAACGAGTCCCCTGATGATCGAACGGGTCGTACAACCCGCATCCAATTCGATGGTGCAGTACCACCGGAAGAGGGAAGTGGAGGAATCTACCACTCTCGACTCAGTCGGCATCGTTCTCTGAGCCGAGACACCATTCGGAGCTCTCACGACGCCTCCCAGAGCAACAAGGCCGCCGGGATACCTATCGAGTTCAGGACCCTCTCGTTTCAAATTTCCGAGTCCCAGAAC